ATTGAACCAATTTCAAGTATCGTCGATACGAAAATAAGCTGACAAATTGGGACATGTAGTTAATACTGCAAATGAACATAATTAAGTACTAACAATTACATTATATATCAACAATATGATTTATGAGTCTAAAAATGTATATACTCACTCTCCATCGCTGGGAGACACGTTATTACTGTGGACGGAGGATGACCTTAAAGAAGTCAAATCCCACTCTCGATCATTAGCTGGGTCGTCGCCATTGTCTTCATTTTCTTGCTTAAGTTCAGAAGATTCTTGTTCTGGCGTTAACCTTGGATGAACAAAATCCAAGCGTCGCTACACCAGATTGGCAAAAAATAAAATTAAGTATTTAAAAACTTAAAAATTTCAGCACAAATAAAGCATCACACCAAAATGATAATGTGCATCTGTCGCCGTGCAGCAGTGTCCACTTTAAGCACGTCATTTACTGCTTTCCAGGATAGGACCTGTTCAATTTTACACTTGATTCAATCATTTTCATACATTGAAACTCCGCAATTTCCAGTACCATTGTTTCGCAATCCGTCATTGCTTGAACTCCTACGCTGCGATACCTATTTTATTAGGACACTTTGTTAAGACTTTATAAAGCGTTTTCCATGATGAAAACTACAACACATACGTGGGGCATATTATGTTAATTTCGCCAATAAGTGATCCTGAGGATAGATTTATGATCCTTTTGTTGTTTACCGGGTCCACTATCTTTTTCACATAAAGAAATTAAACTAATAAATTACATGAAATTTCAAGCTGAATTATGTAACTGTATGTACTTGAGCTTTTCCAAATGTTAAGAATGTCATATTTCTGTCTGCAGTATCAGGTCGTATAATAAAATCGCCGGCGAAATACGTCCTACTTTCAACTGATGGGGCTAAAAATTCAATTGCAGTCTTTGTAAGGGTTTGAAGAAGTTCGGACTAAATTAACCAACAACATATTAATTAAAAACTATGCAAATTTATTTAGGAACTAGAGATGAGATTTCAAATGTAAATTTTATATACGGCGTATATCAATGGGGCTGCTCTTTCTACACATACGGTTTGCTCAAGGATCGGTGGCAAAAGATGTCTCTATAAATGTTGCAAATTTTTTCATCGTTGTAGAAATTCCCTTAAAAAAATTAAATGACCAAAATAAAATTAAACATTTCAAATCGTACAAGTCCTTTGTCCGTATAAACACGCCTCCTATTCCAAACATTGCTTAAACAATTCATCACATTTGTCTCTGTCGTGTAATCGAATTTCAGGCGTTTCTATACGATAGAAATACTTATGATCGACACATTAAAAATTTAATAGATTATCTGGTTGATTAGGAAGAATCGTTTAAAATGTATGTAATTACCATGAAACTGCGGACGCTTCGAACTTCTGAAAAGAACAGTAAACGTGGCATGTCCACCATGAGAGTCAAATTCATAAGGATCAGCATTAGAAAGAACTGCGTCATGATTGAAAATGCCATGAAGACAATGCAGTAAACCATTTCCCAAGTTTCAATTGGCGCAGCATAGAACGTACTAAAAATATATATGTATATTTTGTATGTATGTAATAATAAGTACAAACAAGTACATACAAGTATATTTTTATGATAAATGCTGTGCATACGCTGAATTTCGAATGGTCATCCAACTCCACACAAACGCCACCATATATTGTCCTACATAGTTAAAGTACATAATTAAAGTGTTGTGCACATCAACATTTTATGAGATTGTGTATATCTTTATATAATAAAGGTCGTGCTCACTTAAAGGGTCAGGTTGGTCCAATCTGACTTTCGTATGAAATGGGTGATACCCTCTGGTCCCCAGTATATTAGTGTAGTTATGATATCGTTGCAACCACCCTTGCCAGCAATGTGGTGGATCAACATCATTTATGACAGGCTATATATTAACATCAGATTTTTCAAATTACTAATTTACTTGGTATGCGTTAGTTTGCTTCATATTTAGAGAAGAATCAAACTCACGTCACAATTCAATCCAAACCATACGCACGCCAAGGCATGAAATACAACCAGGGAGCACGTACCGAGAAGTGGTAACGCTGTTTTCCATAACCTGCAAAAATGCGTAAAGAAAAATCAAGGATCCTTCTGGCATGAGATTTACAATTTCTGATAAAATTAATCCTGCTAATGTTGATTACATATGTAGAACCCTATTTCTGGTTTGGTTCGTTTTTCTTCCATACTCAAGTCATGTTGTGTGACATTGACATGACCGATTGTTTGTAATAATATATGTATGAATATAATTGACGAATAAACTACGTTAACCTAGTTAAACTAACTATCTCCTTATATGTAGTTGTGAAAATCTTCTATCTTGTCATTAAGGGAATTTAAGGCGTGATCCATATACGTACCTGCCCGGAAGTGTTACACAGCTCCGCTCTTTTTCGGAAACTGCAGTTTTAAAATTATGAATAAGTGCTAAATAGAATCGATTACACTAAATAGGTGAACTTACGAAACCACCGGTACAGATATTCCAGGCGAAGCACTCGATAGAGTCGCATGTATGCGTAAATTCTCAACCACTTGGCGGACCTCGTGTTTTTCCAAAAAAATGTCAAGTACTCAAGTGGGCATAGCTGGATTAGGAAAATGCACGACTTGGCGTAATGCCACCACTTGTCCAAGGCTTGCGACCATTGATACCTAGATTAGAAATCGTGTGTGAAACATTACGTACGTTCTATGCTTTGAAAAGTGGTACATACCAGGACCCTCCGTCTGGTTCATAGCTATATCGAAAGAGGTGAAGATCTGGAAGAAGACAACAACATTTTGACCGACATTTTGAAGTAGGTATTTTATTTATTCGGCTGAAATACAATATAGTGGCGCATCATCGTATTTTTATTTAAACAAAATAAACCAGTACTTCGAAGGATTAGATAAAAATGTGCTACAAGTATGTATGAACGAACGCATTACTTTCTCTACGTCAAAATCGTATACAAAAGCATAAGTACATTTCGCACATATTTCGCACCACTTTGATCATTATATGCTTGTCAAATTTCGAATTATATGTATGTCATTTTAAGGGTTGTAAAGTATAAGGGAAACATATTTAAAATGAATGCTGAAAAATAAAAATGTACGAGATGTGGTCAAATTTTTGGAAGGAATGTGGAACTTCCTGCTCTATTGTTTTTCAACATCAAATGGATGAAATGCATGTAGGTGAAATTGTGTACTCATTTAAAAAAAGCATTCACTTTTACCTTCGAAAACAATCCTCCATAGCGTTTCAACCACGTGAATAAGGTCGGCAGCGTGTAGAAGTAGACCGGTGGTGGTGCTGTAGTCTATGAATCTTATGTCATAAATCGCCAGGTAGGTGGGAATCATGTACGAAAGTATCATCCCCACGATCACCACGTACTTGAAGAGGAAGCAAATCCTGAGCCATCTCGACCCTAGGAGGGTTGTCCGTGCTCTAATGTTGTTGAAGGTGTAGGCAGCATCCTGGCGCAATGTGTCGAATTTCTGGGACAAGCGTGGGTTAGAGGAAGATTTGGGTCTCATAACGAACTTTGTTTAAATGTGCAAATAAATCAGCCAGAAATTTCTTTGAATTATATATGGCGTCATATTTGAGGTTACCATCTCCTACCAAAATCAGAAATATGTATATTTTTTCGAGCCAGATCAATATCATAGTTTCTTGGCAACGCTTACATGTGCTGTCATACACGATTACCAGTAGGCATAACGATGTCGACTTATCGACGTGTCGACGTATAACATAACTAGTATCGATAAGTTATGTATGATAAAAATTAAGCGAGTTAAATAAATTATTAATTGAAGTTTTTCATATTTTAAACTGGTCATAAGGTTTCAACGATGATAAACATAATGCTTGAAGATGGGTCTGCAATCACTGGAATCAGGGTCAATATGGTTAAATTTAAATTGAAAGCAAAAGCTGTATATCATCCACCCCCATATGTATATTTACCCAACAATGTCTTTTCTCTCTGGACAAAACGAAAACAAAGCGTTAAAAATTATAAGCAACAATTGTTCGAATTCTCCTAGTTCAGATTTTTTAATGTTTAAAGCGATGGCTGACACAACTTTTAAATATGTAACAATAAATTAAGAAAGACAAAGAGAACGATTGACTAGGGCTAGTTTGGTACAAAAAACTTACTGCTTAAGGCTGCCTGGGACACAGGCACAAAAATAATTTCTTAAAAATGATGTTTAGGGGTCATTTTTGGACAGAATGGAAAACGGATCGGTAATTCTGTGGAGAAACCCGATCCCCACAGAATTACGGATCCGTTTTCCATTCTGTCCAAAAATGACCCCTAAACATCATTTTTAAGAAATTCCATCTCCCAGGCACGGTTAAACCTTACTTAAAATCACTGTAAGTCATTTTAGCAGTACTGCTAAAATATTTACTTAAATATTTTATTTATCTGTATAACTCAATTATTCTGTGCAATTATTATAGACAAGCAATCACAATCGTGATCCTACACAGTGATTTGTGGGATGTAAAATATTCTTATGATATGTTCGACTTTTTTTGCATATCTGATTTTTGAATTACTTAAATGCCTCGAATTATTCGAATCTAATAAAAACGAAACAATTTTATTAGTTCAACTAATAAAATTGTTTCGTTTTTAGTGAAGTGGTTTTAGATGACAACTAATTTAGTTGTCATTTTCAGTGCCATGAAATTCCCAATATTTGTTGCTTGTTTTTATTCGAAAGGTATCCCAACAATCACTGTATCGTTCAGATACATTGCGCGTTTATGATTTTTGTTAAAATATCTCGAGTTTCATCCAATTCCTTGACAGATATTGATGAAGACCTAATCAATTATATGCATATGACAACAAAACAATCAATATGTAAAAATCATATGGATGGAGAACAATGAGACTCGATCTTGTAAAAGTGTCAGCTGATGCTAAAATCTACTGACTGTAAATAAATTCCATACATGTTGTGCAAAAAATGTCTACAATTATATCGGAAACAGATTAAAATGATGGTGAACTACAGTCTTCCTTGCTTCTATTAAGTTAGATTTCATGACTCATAAACGTCATTATTTTGACTTTAGGTTTAATTTTGTGACAGTGACTATAAATTGACACGAGGGGTGAGTGAGTGGACAGTGAGTCATTCTAAAATCCAAATCTGAAAGATTATAATGATTTTAATGGTCATCACACGAAGTGCAATCTTAAGATAAGTTATTATTATCGTTTGATCTGGTTAGTGGATTGTACAAGCTTACATACAAACAGTTATTATACATATATTGTAAATTGTATATCTACCTTCTTCAACATTCGTGGTGGTAAGCAGGATAAAATAAACAAGTTCAAAAGTTACTGCATTAAATAATAATTATTGGCTCATTCAATTCACAATTATTATGTCATATTTAACTATTTGTCTTTATTTTCATCCGATAGTGAATTGCCAGAAGAGCAGAGATCAACATATGTGAATGAGGTCTATGTTGGACCTCCAAAAAAAGAAGTCATAGGTCGGTCATTGATATTGCATGTTAACATTGCATGACACAAGAAGAGAGGAACTGCCTGTGAGAGAGGTAGGTGACTAGTTTTTTTTTTCTGGATAAATAACCAATCCCATCGCAAAATGCATTACATGTGCCAAAGTGTCAATGCCAACGTAAATGTCACGGGCAGAGATTACTTTTACATATTCATTCATGTTGCATACATATCTAATAAAATGTGTCTGGTTTATTATAGCGAAACCTTGACCCTGACTTGATCTTCAGTCGCAAACTAGCAAAGCGTTTCGAGATGGAAATTAAACCATACTTTAATTTATATGTTTTCACTGTTCTTGTGATCTGTGTGAGAAGCATTTCCTCTGATCCGGACAAACCGATAAGCTTTCAAACAATAGTGCTTACAGGAGAGGTGAATAAGGTGGACACAAGACTGTTGAATAACACGTTCGAGTACGTGTATCAGTACACCTTCAATATTAGTACTTTCAAAGTACCCTGGAACGATTTCGTTAGTATACGACAACGACATGCTTCTTAAATTAAGGGTAATGATTTTAACTAGCTTTTGATGTTATACAGGATGAAGATATAAGGGTCCATGTAAGCACAACTAATAAAGATACTGAAACTCCAGTTTTATTCGTGGTTAGACAAAAGAAAGCCGTCCTAAGCTGGCCCCTACCTATCCTCTCAAATTTTGACAAGTACGTCAATATTGTAGATGTACATTTTTTAGCGGATGCACCAAAGTGCTTAATTTTATTACTATGCGATTTCAGCAAGTTATACAATGTTGCTAGTCGAACTTTATGCGGCGAAGTTCAAGAAGGTGCAGCTGAAAAAACCATCTACGTAATCGTGTCCACGTCCAGTGAGAAGAACATTTCGTTTAGTATCCAAGTCTCCTTGGAGCATAATTTCATTATGAGGTTGGGTTTGATTGACTAATTGACAATGACAATGATTGTTCTACTAAAATTCGGTATTATTCCTTCTTTAGACTGAACGAGAGCTTAACTACTGATGTGTCCCCTTTATCTCCAAGGTTCTATCGCTTTGTTTTTCCAAGTTCTCCAGTAAACCGATTTGTCCTTTTGGAAGTCGTATCCGAAGATGATCGATGTATGACAGTGTCAGTGCAAAATGCTTCGGTATGTTTGTATCACCATTTCAAAATATTTTGAATTAAACGATGAGTCCAAGTAACTTTATTTTAAAGTGTCCAATCTTGGACCAAGAAAACAACGTACAATTTGAAGGCTACTGGCAAACGATGAAAAGAAAAGTAAGCGTAATTATTATACCTATTTAATATTTATTCAAGGTATTTAAAGTTATTTCTTAACATCTTAGGCTGGAATGACTTTGCGGGTATTAGTCCTATAAACTCATATCATTCACATGTAACTTTGCTTATGCAAATGTATATATGTGTGTATTTGGGTTTGCCAGAAAGAAGATTTTCCCAACGGGTTTTACGTTGTTTTCGTCATGCATGGCGACAATAGCAGATGCGACAGAATCTCAAACAATGAAGAAGAGTACACTAATTGGATGTGGACATGGTTTGACGGCGACATACCTCGAGTGAAGAATGTAAAATTCATAGTAACAGAAAAAATCTCCGACCTCGAATATCTGGCTGCAATTTTTGGAACCGTTGGATTTTTTATGCTTTTCTATTTGTTTTCGTTCATAGTTTCATGCGCTTATTTATGCAGGTAATTTCAATGTAATTGTGTAATTATAATTATTTCGGTAACCCACGCCGAAATTTACACGTAATAATATTTTTAGAAAAGACCTACCACCTGTGTTTCCAATTGAAGAAGATGCACCTGGAACAAGTCAGACTGCTGGTCGTGGTCGACGTGGAAATAATTATCCAAGCCACCCGGAAACCAATACTCGAATTGAAAGTGAGATATGTCCAATAATTCAATCTGATGATGAGGTTGACGGTGAAAGAGATCCGAGGAATGCTGAGCCTATTGTCGACGAAATGACTAGTTCTGTCGCATCTAATAACAATGCTCACGACGATCGTCAACTTCACCAAGCAACTGGGGATGAAGATTCTCACTGGCTCGCTTCGGATTCATCTCTCGACGAAACTGATATTGATATGTTGGAAGATGCCATGCGAGATAAAAATGTCTATCGGTATAAGCCTAAAAAATATTCAAATAATTTATAAAATGGTATAAAAACGTATTTATAAAACATATTGTAGAACGACAACCGGCGTGACTCTGTCTGCCTTGGCACGGAAAAATCCCAGGATAATTGCCAAAAAATCCCAGCTGTACCTGTGGACATTGATGACTGTCGCTATATTCTACGGTTTACCTGTTGTTCAGTTGGTCTTTACTTATCAAAATGTAAACGGAGCAAAGATTTTGATTTTTGGTTTAATTGAGTGAATACAATACTAATTGAAATGATTATCTTAGGTACTTCATACAACGGGTAATCAAGATCTGTGTTACTACAATTACCTATGCTCACATCCTTTGGGCCTTTTAAGCGATTTCAATCACGTATACTCAAATACCGGATATATCATGTTGGGATTTTTATACCTCCTGCTTGTTATGCGCAAAGAAAAGATTCACGAACGACTTTTATGCCGTTATCCCAACCTTGATTTGGTAAGCTAGTTTTGTTTTACCTGTTACTTAAATTATTTGGCTACACTGGACTATTTTTTATTGGACTATCTTTCAGTCAATATATTTACATATGTTTACAGAAATACGGAATTCCCAGCCACTTCGGTCTATTTTACGCCATGGGTCTGGCTTTAATTATGGAAGGTGTATTAAGCGCTTGTTATCATGTTTGTCCGTGCAAATCGAATGTGAGATCAAATAACAAGTTACATTAGCTTAAAACGCTGACTAATTTTGAATCTTTATTTTTATGGATAGTTCCAATTTGACACTTGCTTCAGTATGTTTCATATAAATATATTGCTGACAATTATATATAATACAATAGACAATACATTTTGTGTGTTTAATTAGTGTACGTCAACGCAATGCTCCTCATGCTCAAAATTTATCAAGCAAGGCATCCTGATATCAACATTAGCGCGTATGTTTATAAATGAAATACCTGAATTTTTAATTGAAATTTCGTCAAATATTTATAATTTTGTCTAGTTATATGGCGTTTGCTGCACTTGCAATTGTTGTTCTGCTCGGGGTTGTTGGTGTACTTGCTGGAAACATTTACTTTTGGGTGATGTTTAGTATATTTCATGTTCTCATGGGTTTTTACCTATCAGTGCAAATTTATTACCTTGGACGATGGCGATTAGGTATGCTTCATAAAATATGGTTCCATTTTTTTCATAAAAAATATATAAACAATTTATATTTTAGATTGCGGCATGTTTAGAAGAATTTACAATACATGGAAAAATGACTGTTTTGCAAGCCCTCTGATGTGTCTCCGTCCACTTTATATTGATAGGATGGTTCTCCTTCTCATTGCCAATTTTTCCAACTGGGGGATAATTTATTATGGACTCTATGATATGAGTCAAGACTTTGCCTCTCATCTACTAGTCATCTTCATGGTTAACTTATTTCTGTATTCAAACTTCTACATAATTATGAAGGTAACATAAAGCAGCAAAGTTAAATTAGAATGCAATTTTTGTTGGACTTCAGGATCATGTAACTTTATTACCTTATAGGTAACTCATCGGGAGAAGATTACCTTCCAGCCTTTGGTCTATATTATTCTTTCTGTAATATTTTGGACATTGGCAATGTACGTGTTTCTTCAAAGATCTACTTCTTGGCAAACGACTCCTGCAGAGTCCAGAAACTTCAATCGCGAATGCATATTGCTAAGGTTCGTTTAATATTTGTATTCCTTTTTTCACTTAATTATTTTAATCAAATTTTCTTATCGTTACTTACTGTTCGAAACAAACAGTTTTTTCGATGGACATGACGTGTGGCATTTTTTGTCTGTAAGTAAATACTCTTTTACTTTAGCAAAGTACAATACCCCATTATCCCATTACTGCATAATAAGTAATTTTAATTTTAATTTCTTCAGGCGGCCAGCATGTTCTTCTCATTTATGGTGAGCTGAATTTTCTGTTCACTGGGTAGAACAATTGGGACAGCAGATCCCAAGTATTTAATCGTATGGTTTATAATTTTTAGATTCTGCTGACACTTGATGACGATTTAATATTTGTTCCAAGAACGAAAATTCCAGTATTTTAAATAAAGAAAATTCTGGATTTGGTCAGCATATGACTCTTTCGTTGACCCTGGTACATATATGTACATATGTATTACAACCTTTATTATTAAAAATCAAACCTACTATAATACCATACTGTGATACTTTCAATAATCAAGACTACATATGTATGTAAGTCGAATTAGTAACCGTGTCGTGCTCATTACTACTTATGGTCCTGGAACCTTTGTTTTGTCTAATCATATGTACATGTGCCAGTTGCCCGAATTATAGATTTGCACATATTCTAAACATTTATGCATGTTTTATCTATTACTTAATGTCCTACACTTTGGCAATTAATGTTTTTTGTACCAATTTATTGTTAATATAATGAGTCTACTTCATACGAATAATAAATCAAATGTTCAATTAGACTATACGAATGACATTTATTTCGCACCTAATCACATATTTATTAAAACATAACATCAACTATGAAAGTTCATTTTTGTCATTTAGTAAGTTTTTTTATAGCATTTTATACATACAACTTGGCACAATCTAACCGACAAAATAAAGTATTGTTTCATTGTATTAAATTACATTACACCGAGATTATTCCATTCTACTTTTACATATGCATTAGTTAAACACGTGAATTAGTGGCCAAACCCATTTTGCACACCATTTGTACCATTACTAGTAGAAGAGAGCACCGCTTTTTTGGAAAGGGATTTTGCATGCCCATTTGTTACCCCATTTGAAACATTACCTTTAGACGACTTGTCTGCAGCTTCCCGAATTACAAGCGTCTCATTTTCATCATACCCATATCTTCCTTTGTACTTATTAAATAAGTTTCTGATTTCTGCATAAAATTGTCTGTACAATTCGTCAATCTCTTCATCTGTGGGGTCTGGAATCATTCTTTCAACTCTAATTGGTTTCCCGTGAACGACAGAAAGGAAAATTTTCTTTCCAGACAGAGGAAGCCAAGAAAAGAATCGCCCCCAGAAAATTATCAACGGGGTTCTCAAGTTTTTCATGAAGAAGGATTTGATTGACTCCGGAATGTCCAACTTGCGGTAGGCGTGCTTCTCACCTATATTTTATTTTTATTATTATACACAATATATTATTGTCATAATATTATTATTATAATATTAACATAATATTAATATTAATATTATCATAATATATTATAGATTTATTATACCAAAAACAAAGGAAGGGACAAGGTCGACACCTTGTTGAAGGGCCAGGCGTATAAACCCCTTTCGAGCGATAATCGTAGTTTCAGTAGATGAAGGATCGGTTAGAAATATTTCATCAGATCCGCCCGGGTACAAGAGAAGATTCAGCTTATCAGTTTGAAGAATACGAATAGCATTCGACCGGTCGGCCCTCACAGCGCCCATCCACAGGCAGATCTCGCGAGATCCAGGAAGGAGAAACATGGGTGTGGCCGCTGATTTGGAAATAAATAAATTAACGGCATTGAAATAAAAGGATAATCTCAAACAGGTTAAACTTGATTATCAAAATTATCAGTACATACCTAAACATCTCTGTTCAATTCCTGAAAAAATTTTCTCGAACACGCCCCCATAGGTACTAATTCTGGATAGAATTAGAATCCTGTGCAAATTTTTAGCAACCAATTTAAGATAAACCAACAATTGAATATTTACAACACTGAAAATGAAGTCGGTTTTACTGGTCTCCTTACCCATGAGGATGGTATCCGAAAATGTATTTTCTATCTGTATCTAACTCACATTCTCTTACGATTTCGAGTTGTCCATAGTGTTGTAAATATTTCCAAAAGCTGTGCTGTCTGATCCACTCCCATGGCCTCCCATATTTTAATTCGTCCTTGTTAAAGTAGGTTGGAATATAGAGTGCTAGCAAGATGAACGACACCACTGGATAACCCAACGAATAGAGGAGGTAAAGGGATAGAAACATTGGAATAAACCAAAGGAAATAATGAATAACCACCATTCCGACTACAATTTGGCTAATTTTTGACCAAACTGTATTCACTTCAGGGTATCGAATAATTTGAGCGCCAGAACCTTCTTGATAAGCATTGTGGTGAGATCGGAACGTTATCAAAAGTGGTTCACTTTTCTCTACTTTTACTGGCATTTTTCTGGCTGGCTAAGGAGGTACGTATAGTTGAGACGATTATTATTAAAAATATTAAAATATGACCAAGAATCAATGCTGAGTCTGAAATATGCAAAATTTCCACCTCCTAGGAGACAACGGTATGTATGACTGACTGCGAGTGACTGACGGATGATCAGCATTTACCTCATCTCGTGCTCATTTAAAAAGTATATGATGATGATATGACTTTGTGATAACAAACTATACACATGAAAGATTATGATAGCACACTGCACCTTGAACCTAAGAGTTGACTACATACACTGATTATGGCTTGGTTGGAACTCTATAAAAACCTGATTTAAGAAGATTTTCACAAATTGAGGTCAAGAGGAGGTATACTTTAGTCTAAAGTGTAAGGTGATGTGTGTAAATGCTGCTGGTCAGTTACCAACAACAAAGTTACGATTGTCTTTTTTGTCGTTGAAATGCATATAAAAAATATTGCTGTGTCCGACCAAGTCTAATCCGATGAGCATTAACGGGATTACATAAAAGTGTTTGCAATTTGAGGATGCAAAACTAACGGCCAAATACTCCAAATTCGCACTAAAACAAATCGTTACTTTTATAATAAAACAAAAATTACCACTATCGTAAGTTATTTGTGTAAAATGCTATGTTTCTGAATTGTGAAGAAGCTCTGTAATGTAACTACTGATAGTGAGAAATACATGACCAAGAAGATATGTACATATGTATGTATATAACTCATGAAACAGATAAAAGCGAATTTGACTTTTACTTTTAGCTGGAATCACTGATAATACAGATTGATTTATCCGCAGCAAAAGAGAAATTATTAGCTACTAAGACTGCATTTTTATGATGGCACCGATGATTAAGTAATGCTTCAAAAAGTTATTCATCTTCCTTCACAAGGTCAATATTGCCCACGCATTGCATTGATGTACATCATGTACATATGTAAAAATATTCCAGAGCTTACACTCGGGGGCACCGAATGAGAGATTGTTACCTTAATTTAATCTCTTTAGAGAGATTTATTAGAATATTGGAGATAATCCATGCTCTGTGGTGTTGACGAAATTAGACATTCGAGGAGTTACGAAACTAATTCGGCAGTAAAAAATTGAATATATCCTGCTGTAAATATTAAGCAAGAATAAACATAATTTCATGAAAGCCCATAGTACATACCATAGTCTTATTCTTCCATTACTCTTATTAAACCCAATATTGCAAATTTTCTAAATGCGTTAAGGATAATAGCACACACACTTTAATTGTTTGTGTGAAAAAGTGAGACTTCTTTTTCTATATTTCTGAAAAAGAAATCCAATGGATTTCGAGAGATCCTGTATTATAGTTTTTCTTTTAAGAAACCATCTCTTGTCGTCATTCACTAAAAATAATATGCATCTTTCCTCATATTTTCTATATTCAGTCCAGTCACAACTACATATTTAAATTAAGTAAAAGTGTACAAGTTCAAACAGTCGGTTTGTGATGGCCCAATTGCCCAATCTGATGGTCAAGGCCAGTACTTCACCAGAGCGAAATAAATACGGATTGCTTCAATAGAGTGCAAAAGGTCACATCAGCGAATAAGCTAATATAATGTACATATAGGGGATTACTTACTACCCCCGTGGGGGGAATGGTCGAATGTTAGTTAAATAGTTTCTATTTGGCACCAAACAAGTTTTGATTGAAGTAGTTATAAATCCTTCCCCTCACTACCAGGACAGTGGGGCTCGCTTCTTTTAAAATCTCAAACTTCCAAGGCTGTGTATTTGCTACTTTGTTAGACATGTTTAGTCTCTATACCAAATTTAATTTCAGCTGAAAAACAGTATTGTCACCCTCTAGGGTCACTCTACACCATGCATCTAAAGGAATTACATATTGCTCACGAGTCATGGCATGAGCCCATATTCTTTCATGAGAAGCCTATCACCGATCCGAATTTCAGCGTTTTAAGACAATTTTTGAAAATCGGACGGTACATATCCCCCATGGTCCATCTGGTTAAAAAAGTTTCCAATTTCACCAACTTTCATTACAAGCCATTGGCAATGTGTGCCAAATTTAAGCTTTCTAATACTATTTTGAAATCTTGAGCATAATATCCAACGCATCTACTTATACATGACCCATTGGTCACTTGACCGATTTTGCTCATTTTCAGAATGTGCCTAACGTACATGTGGGCAAAATTTGAACTCAATCGGTTTGGCTTTATCGTGTCTCGGACGGATGGACAGACATTGCGATTAACCTCTGTCTCGGGCGAAAAAGTGATTAGCCAAATTTATTATGTACGTAGCACATGAAAAACAGTACATTTTACGAAATAAAATGGATACTTATTGTTAGTATGATATGATGAAAGTAAAATGCGTCTGTCTATGTATTATTGTTAGACTACGTCCATAATATATCCGTAATGTCTTTTCAATCGTGATTCACGATTCGTGATTCGTGAATGTCAATTCGTCAATGAATGCATAACATCCTCATATGAAATTATGGGCCTGCTGTGTTGCATTGCGTTTGAGCGAATCTGTCTGTAAAAATGGTTCAGACTTCAGGCGGGTCATGTTTTGTTTCCAAAGATTTTTAAACACAAAACCCAGACACAAACACAAATATTAAGAAAAGCTATTTTATAATTTTACAAATACAATACAAACTCTACTCTTCAATTCAGTACAGTGTTACACAACTTCCTTTGCTAGGAATCCTAGCCTTCGCCTAGATTCACTATTCGAAATAAGATATTCGTTTTAAATTCATATAATGATTTCTGTCACATCTGATCTACTGTCGAATGACGACCTTGTAATCGACCTACCCAACCTTAAGGAAAGGATTTCAAGCTGGACAAACAAGTTGAAGGAGGGGGCAAATTTGGTCGCCAAACCCAGCGTTCGATCTGAACCGTTCAAAAATATTTACGCTGGCATTGAAAGCATTTCTGTTGTCAACTTTGAAGTTGATGCTATCTCAAATGTACCCAGCGTTAAGGTCAATCCGGTACTGAAATTTTGGATTAGATTAGCCAAAATTCACGTCCTCTCATCACTGGCAAAGTGGTACGAGCTTAGTGAAGAACTTTCGGTTGCTGAAACACATCATGTCCAGTGAGTTATCTTGTAATGTCCAAGAGAGATATACGATAATTTAAAACATGCATATCTTTTAGATGTATCGAATTGATTGAAAAGGAGCTAGAGGAAGAAGAAATGAGTCTTCCTGAATCTATGACTCAGATGACCATTTCACCGTCGACGGAACCGGATAGTGAAGAAAATGCAAATTCTTTAAATAATGAAGAAATGATGAGGGCAAAGGATCGTGTCAAGTACATGTACATTTATGAACTAACACGATATGCAATTTTATGCTCTGAACGAGACAATCAAACTAAAGCGCTAGAGTTTTTGAAGAAAGCAGAAGCTTATTATCACGAAAATTGTACCGCTGAAAATTTACAACCTCCGCTCGACCCTAGCTCCTTGTTGGGAATGTTGGACTCTCTAAATTCTGAAACTTCCAAGGATATGTTCACCTATGTTTTGTTTTATCTGGGCCAGGTTCGTGAAAATTGAATTAGTAAGACGATTAAATTGTATAGTGATTTTTAATTCATCTTAACTTCAGGCGTACAAAATAAAAGGCGAAAAGGAGCGAGCAATTCTCTATCTTCACATGGTATTGAGGCGCCAGTTAGAAAAGGGTGACTATAACAATATTACTTGGGGCTCAGACTGTTCTCGAATGGCATCCGTGCTGATGTCGAACGAACAGACGTTTGAAACAGCGAGGGACATTCTTGTAGCGGCCACAACTATTATGAAACACTCCCCTGAGGAAGAGAAGGGTTCCGATCACTTTAGACAAAATTTTGCTGAATTAGGAAGATGCTGGGGAAAATTTGGTACGGTACTTCTAGAAATCTCTGGCAATCGATTGAAGGATCTGCAAGATGAAGACAGCAATAGGAAACAGCTAAAATTTGAGAGCAGAATTACATTGGATAGATTTGAGAAACAAAGTTTAGAACTTGCTGGTGACCAGATGGAATATGATACAATATTATTAATAAGGGCTCTCAGATTCCCTACACTTGATGTCAGTGAAGTGAACAAAGTTGAGGTATAAAATAGTTTTTTAAAATGTACTTTATTTGTTAATACTGCAGATTTGATTGCTAATTTCTATTTTATATGTAGATGAAAGGGCGCTTTGTCCGAGATTTTGATGAAGCCCGAGCAGTTTTTTTGCCTGCTCAAAAATGGATCAATATTGCAAAAGAATATTATAATCTTGACGAGTATGCAAGCGATCACATTGATATTATATCTGATTATGCTTCTTTATATAAGCATTTGTCTTTTTATGAGCCTTGTCTTTCACGACAAATTACAATGCATAAGAGAAGAATAACTTTATTGGAAGATTTGCTTTCAGCATTAAATCCAAAAGTGTACACAGATATATTTCATGGTCTATTAAGAGAGTTGGCTGAAACATATGAAGTGGTTTACAAACGCAAGGTATTGTATATACATATATATTTCTGATAACGTATGATGGTCAATAAATGAATAATATATTTAACACATGTACATATAATTTATAAAACTTCTGGAACTCTGTACGCAGGTTGATGAATATAAGGACAGGGGGAAATCTCTACGACCAAAAGACATGCAGCTTGTCTCGATGCTCGTGTCGGCCGTAAATGCACACAAAAGAAACCTTGTCATGTTCGGATTTGACATGTATGTACAATAACAGCAATACGTTTGTTTCGCAAATTCATGGATATATTTTTATCATTTTTGTTAATTTTCAGAGATCATCCTGAAAAGAGTTTCGCTCAGGATTATGAAAAAGTTCTGATGGCATTTGTCTTGTCAATTGGCCGCATTCTTGGGAATATTTGTCATGATCATCCGCTTCACTCAGATGCTGTGATACTAGGCGAGGAGAGCAAAAGATTTTATCAAGTATGTGTATTTACCCAAGTGAATTATTCATATTATTACTGACACAATGCACAATAATATTTAGTTAATGGACAAACAAAAAAATTATTTTGCAGTTCTTCTTGGATTATCTGGATCGTCACATTGAACTTAAACGGGAATTTATTACATTATATGATGGAAGCAGAGATATGCCAGAACTCCTGGACTCACAAATTCGAAAAATTCGACATCATCTCAGAATGAGGAGTGCAGCTCAATCAGAAAACGCATGAAAAGTCCGATAAATAAATAATAATCGAGTTGATGAAACATAATATGATACCTATACATATCTAAATATGCGAGTATGATCTGTACCCGTCCAAGATAACCAGAGTCATATTTTCGAACTAGTCATACAAAAATAGTGTTTTCACTATAACCTAGTCGATACCTAATTTGAATATATAATTGAAAATTCATCCATGAATCCTCTTGAAAACTACTTAGCTTTGTTGCACAAAGGAACAAATGATGCACCTATTCTATGCCTATTCACACACCAAATAAACGGAAGCTTTTTTCGCAGCAGGGTTGGATTAGATGTACAAATGAAGTAAGATGCGTCAATCTAACCCTAGACTGCGAGTATCATCATCATCATCTCATCGTATGGGGATCTTCGCTAGCCTCCTGCTTCATGAAAACATATCTGCGCCTATCTCTTTCTTTATTCGAGTCAGATGTTGTTGGAAATGAGAGACTTCATAGCTCAAGAAGATAGTAGAGAGTTGAGAAAAGTAAGAGAATAAGTTCATTGCTTTTGGTTAGTATTATCAACCCTGTGAGACCACTGAATAGAACTGTGGTGAATTTCTACTCTGCAAAAAACTACCCTCCTCGTTCAAAACGCAGGAGCCTTGCTTTTACTCCTTCCTCGTATTACTCTACTTGGAAGAGAATCAATAAAAATTGAAAAATAAAATACTCAGCTAAAAGAACACGGAGGAAAAAGCTCAATCCGCTCAATCTAATTTAGCAATTAAGGAAACGTTAACTAAATAATTTTATGTGCGAAGTTTACAAGGGGAACGTCGTTTTTAACATTTTAATTTTAATTATATATTACATCACGTAGAGGAACTAATAGTGGGTTGGGGCTTCAAATTGCAAGTTCATTTTTTGTTGTTTCACGTTCAACGTTAATAGATTATCGATTTTAATTGAAGGTAAATAGTAGGTAAATGAATTCTTGTCATCTTGTGTCTTGTACATTACAAGCTCATCGACAGACTTCCAATGTGCAATAATAAATGATGATGGAAAGGAAATTATTTTTTAGAAAATTGTAACGGTTTCGACTTTGCAGTGTAGAGTGAATCACACTGTGTGACGATAAATTGATAACTCTACAATTTAATGGAAATGCACAATGTGACCCGGCCGTAAAACAGTGCTTGGTTTCATCTTCATCAAAGTTTGTCCTATCTATCTTCGTCTGGTTATCACAAAATAAGTTTTAAAATCCTAGCATATTGTGGTAAGTGTTCAGTTCAAGTTCAAGCTAATCAAAACAACCCCTGTACGACGATGATGGTCCTTATCTCATTTCCTGACATTGTCGTCCTCATGATGCATAAAAATTCCCAAAGGCAGGAAAATTGCTCCAGCTTTAATTTCTAAACAAAAAATCAGGTAATGAACTTGTCTCGAGTATTATTATCTATCACAATGGTATTTTCCATTTATATCAAAATCCATACATAGTATGTAGAAGCAAGCATATGTCTGTCAGTGTCTGATGCTATTAATGATTACATATAACGCATTTATCAATCAACATGATCCCACGACGAATATTATTCATATTATTCATCGTGTATTAATTTGTACGTTGTGATTCACATTTAGATTGGATCGATAAACTTGAAAATTAAGAGAATTTTCAATGACATAGGGTGACGTGTTGGTTGGTGTAGTTGACAGAGTGTAATTAAAAAATCAAATTTTTTAAACAATGCACAATGTATTATGTGAGCAAGGACAATAATTGCAAGCAAAATGTATGACATCAACCACGAACCCGTCGACACCAACGCCATGCATACAATATCGTAACAAAAGTGCAATTTTTACATTAAATGACACAAGTTTTATGAGGACTTGCCTATTTTATTTATTTGAGTATTTTTAGTTTAGTAACTGTACAGCCATTTGCTTTTAGGACAGTCGAGATCGAGAGGACTAATATTTGATTATATGCAACTATGTTTACACATACAAAATTGAGACTCAATTATTGAATACTTCTTTTGGTGTCTGTAACTGGTATAATTAAACGAGGAATGGGTTAGGGTTTAATTATTATGATGATTGCTATCGTTTTATCTCTTGAGTTGCAAGTTCCTTTAATTTTCTCACCATGTAAGATTAGTGAGTGACAGTTTGCCGTTATCACTATCAGTCCATTCATTGATGAGTAGTAAATAAGTATGATTCATTCAGTGAGATACATAAATTCTAATTAACACCAAACTGCGCTATTTTAGTACGAACTTATAAATATTAAACGCAGATTAAAGTTACATCTATCTAGTAAATGGCAGTCCCTGTGGGGGTGGGGTTATTGTTGGCCAGGCTGATATTGAAATGATTTTGTTCACGAGTACATGACGTTGACATTTGGTGACAATGGAGAATCTGGTTTTATTTTTTTTATGATTTTGATTTGAAAAGTTTCATTATCGTTTGTCTAACAATATATTGAAGTAGCCTTGACCTTGAATTTGTTTTCGACAGTGAATTAAACTTTATTATTAGTCTTCTTCTGGACAAGAAAAGTTATGTCTGCCTATTAAGATAAAGTGGTTACGGTCGTATGCTCCTACATTTAAAATGGCTTAATTTTGAGTCAGTATACATACTGTACATGTACAGTACACCCTGTGTTAATTGTTTTATTGTTGTTGAAAGAGGGTGGAGGGTTTGTGTGGATGCCACGAAATAAATCAATTATTTCTATCAGAGGGTGATTATAAAAAGTACAAAATGACCCTAACAAAATTGTAAATTATAAATTTTCTAGTTATAAAAATAAAGTTTTCAAACGAGGATTAATGTCTATTGTCCATTGGCATATTTTATCCTGCACTGCGTACCGATAAATGACTCAGATTTTAAAATTTAGTTTATTTTTGAAATCTAGTTTGTTTTTGCGAAAATTTCTTCAGCTGCAAACGCTAAATTCGTGTGTTAGCGTGAATCTCTGTTCATTAGAAGAACATACAGTATACACCCATGAAATACGAAACTTTTAAGCTGTGGTCACGAAATGTCAACAACTTTTTCTATAGGATCAAATGTTGGACAATAGTTTAAACGTATCAAATGCATTAATAAACATTTAAACTGGGCTAAGACGTTCGCTTAATATTTTCATTTCTAGTATGTATCCATTCCTTCATCAAAATTTAATCTTTTTGTGAAAAGTTAAGCGTATGTACATACGTTTTAGCAACCAAACTACATAGTTTACAATGTCTCGCGACACAAGGTTACGTTTTTAGTGTAAGGAAACCGGAACTTCCACCGAGTAAATTGTCCGTTGGAAGAGGTTGGAATTTCCTGCTGGAGTTTGGGGGAATTTTTGTTGGCGTGTGTTGTTGATGGGGAGATTAGTGTGTAGGAATTGCTATTCGATCCATAATAATAAGATATCCACATTGTTACATGCTCTTCTTGTCTGTCTCTTCGTCCACGTTAACTTTGCTCACAAAAGTTCTTCGTTGAATCTATAAATAAATCTTTTAAATACTTTTACCGAAGTTTTAAAGAGAAGCACAAAGGAAATGAGAAGTATATGCAGGGGAGGGGTGTTGGTTTGGTAGTCATTTGGTTGGTGGAATGTATGCCAAGTTTCTTAATAAAGATGATCCATTTTCATCAGAATATGGACATGGTGCTAAAACCTCATAAATATATGCATCTCAATATATCGCTGATCAATACTTACGAAATGCTCAAACAACTAATTTCTGCATTATCTAGCGTTTTGTCCTCAACAAAAAATATTTTTTGCTCTTTAACTTTTCTATTTGATATCGTCTATAGTATCATCATTTTTAAGCTAACCCTTTGCTCTCTTAACAACTGAATAGGTTAAAAGAACGGATGAAAACACATGCAGATATTTATGTGACATGAAAAAATTCAAACTATGAACTGGATGGTTACGATTTTGACTGAATACTGGCATTGCACATGAGTGAGAAGTATAGTTGAGTACATACATAAATATCTATGTAGCTTTAAAAAATATATTTCACTTCATCATACACACAGTTATGAAGTACCAAGTTTAATGAATTCGTTTCTCTCTCCACATCAATAATGGAAGACTGTGATCTGTGATACTTACAATTAGTTAAATATTTGGCCAATAATTGTTTTAATTAATCAGTCTGTAGATTTATCCAGTTTTAATAATATTTAACTCAATCATAGTTATCGTTAGACACGATCAGTTTTTACAGTGTATACATGAACATCTCACATTGCGACTTCATTTGTTTTATTGCCAAGATTCTGACTGTTCTCATTTTTCAGTGACTACTTGTTGATAAGGATAATTACACATTTAGAAGGTTGTTTGGCATGTCCGAGTTTTCGTCTTTGTCCTCATCGATGCATTGTGTTGTGTAAGTGTAGTACACTACATGCTAACTTCAAAAAATTTACTTAGGATTAGCTCAGATCCAGTGAGTCATCATTGGAGTACCTGACGATGTTCGGTCATTGCAAATCTTACAGTGACTGGGAAGACATTGTCTCCAAAGTATCCAAGTTGTTGTAAGTACAAATCAAAAAGTTTGATGAGGCATCCAAGTTGTTTCTTTTCCCAGCGTTTGCATAGCGTATTTTGCGGCGTTCATTTTTATTTAGACACGGAGAACGGATGAATAATGTGGAAACTCTATCGTGGCAAGCAGAATGACTCATCTTTCATTGTTGAACTTGACAATTTTGTTTATTTGGTTGCTTCTATTTTGCAGATCTACTGCTTGAATGACAAACCAGGTTGAGTTTGCATGCTTTTAGAAGAAAAAGCTATTTTTGATCTCTAAAGATTTGGTATAACTAAACCCATTGGGTGAATTTAGTAGAAAGTCATACATACATACAATGATGTACCAATGATGTACCTAGACTACATGCAATGCAATCTGACTTTGTGAAACGTGAATAATGAAATGCAATCTGAAAATCGCTTCATTATTTAACTGCTTCTTCAGATCTTCTTTGGTTGGCCCACTCTACTTCCAACTTCAGTTCACACATCACGGCATGACTAAATCAAAAACTATCAATAATCTCTGCACAACAAGAGACTCGCACCGTGTTGAGACAAAAGAAATGGTGGGTTAATGGTAATAATAGTACGGTTTGTAGCTCTAATACAAATTTACAAATTGCCATATGACATGTCATTCATTTAATGTTTACCCTGATAATTAATCTTTTCTCCTTGTAATTGTTTATCGGTTTCACTTTTGCAGGGTACGTAGAGTACGATATGAGATACTGACGATACGCTATGTGCAACCTTTAAATGAGAAAATAAGCCGTATTATTTACATTTACTCGCTCCTGCTGCCTAATAATAATGAGTAGATTGATTGGGGAAGAACTGTATTCAGATTTCTTTCGATGATGGTAGATATTTAAGAATTAGGATGTTTAAAATTATTTAGCATTCTCATTGATGGTCGATTGCGGATGATTGTTAAATTTTGGTGTTAGTAGAACTTCTTACAAGTCGCAATTCAACAGACTGCAACCGGTTGTTCGCTTCGAGGTAAAGTTGAGTTGATTAAAAGCTGAAAGAAAGGTGGTTTAGTTCATTTGGACCATTTTATGATTGTTCTAACTAACTAGGCAAGTTATTACGTTCGACGGTATACATAAGGACCCACGAGATTTAGGTGTAGTAAAAACATCAGATATATATATATAGGTGTGGTTCACGTCCATTGTTCTGCAATAAGTATTTGTGGTGGATAATCTTGTTGGTTCAACCCTTTTAAAGCTTCCAACATGATCAATAATGCATTTAATTTGTCAGCTTTGTTTGTATTGTTTAGAATTTGTGAAACTTGGTTAAGTTAAAAATTATAAGGCATTGCAATTTTGGATATAGAGTTGAACGTAAATCACTGCCATTGGTAATAAAAAGTCTCTCCCCTTAGTTCTTCGTGAATGGGTTCAACCAACGTAAAGTATAATTCTGTAAAACATGACTAATTACCTGCAGAAATGGCTGAAAGCTATATTATAATTTTCGTTAATAAATAAGAAATAAATGTTTTTGATTAATGAATTGAATGATGTTAACATCTATTTTACGTGGCATTATTCAATGTCTCTCCTTAAATCTCAATTCCTGTCCAACAATCATTTTGCAGAAAATTCAAGTAATGCATAGAGTTACAACTTTTAATTGCGCTAGCCAAAGTGCGAATTAAATAAAATGACAGCATACCTTGTGGGACGCTGATGACCCCTGTATTATTTTAGTGTACATAAAGCATGATGTTTTTGCAGAGCAAATAACAGATGAGTTTACAAATATTGTAGTCAAACAGTGTACGATGGTGCAGTCACTGGAAAAAATGTGAAAACTTGCTATAGTTTAAAATTGCTAGTAGTCTGGAGTTTGAGGCCTTATGCATAATCTTCTACAATCTAATGATTGATTTATTAACGTATTGTATACATATGTTGGTAAAATTGGTTTAAAAGTGCCAATAATGGTTATTGCTGGGAATCTGTTTTACTCAATAAGCGTGTCTATTAGTTATGCATGCGGAACTCACAATAGTAATTGCAGAGACCAAGATCAACGTAAAGATAAGGACGCCAATTTTCGTTTCAATTACTGATAATGTTTTCCATGTGGGTTGTCTTACGTGACATGTCATGCATAGTTAGTTACTTGTTAATATCCAAAAAGTAATTAACATTTCTAGTTCTCGTATGCGCAGGCTTGGCTCTTTTTTGAAACTATCATTTTTAGCTATTTGCATTGGGTTAAACTACAGTTTATAAAAGCTTTTTTATAGACGACACTTCTTGCTCACTTCTTAATTGTTAAAAATGCAAGCATTCAACTTAACAATTCAGCATTCATTTCTGCACCATTGACTCTTCGTTTATTTGCCTCTTTCATTTACTGACGGATTATGGTGGAAGCGAATGCCTAGTTTGGAAGAGAAGACTAGTTTGTTATGGGCTTTAGCGATGATAGACTAAACTAATTCAACTATAAACGAAGTAAGTCCACATCTCATTGCGTTACAATAAGCATCAATATGTCAGTCAGTAAGTCAGTACAGTCAGCGTAAGCTATCAGTGTAGCGTCGCTTTTTAATACTTTCATTCAACGATTTGGCTCTCGTCCAAGAAACTTCAAGTTTTACTTTTACATAAAGAGCTCCGTAGTTTTCGTGCTAAGGGGGTCTTGCGTTATGGTTCGAATCACCAGCGTATCATCATCCACCCTCTGCCATAACCGGGTGGGGAAATAGTAATCTAATCATTACCAACATGTAGTTTATAAGTGTTTACTTATAATAAGCAAGCGAGTTAAGATATCGATAGATACGAACAATTGCAAAAACTTAAGCCTGTGTTTCCTCCGATGCATATTTTGTTTGCCTTTAGCTTAGAACTAAAGGCTACTTAATGCATTTGTGGACCCTTTGAATTGGCTGCATGTGCTTGCAATAATTCGATCAAGGCGTGAAATTTCCCAACTTCAGAATACTTCTACTATACGGTTATTCATTAGCAGTTTAGCACATGCTTGAAATCTACATTGCCGAGCAGCGTGGGTAGTGGCACGAGTTGAAAAAGTGCATAAAAGTGCACCAGTTTAATAGAATGAGAATTTTCCGGCAAACGGTTGACCTATCAAATCAAGTAGAGCAACAGCACCTATTGGTTTTAGGATGAAGAATTATTTGGGACAGAAACAGTGAACTGTTGAAAAACTAAATCTGCTGCATCTGGATGTTAAAGTTTGACAGGGTGTATAACTCTTTCGTGTTGTCATTTTTCGACGATCGACACTTACTTGCAGGATGGTATTCGAAAAGCTAAGCGCACATTTTACTATAGAACGAGAACCATGTGTAAAGTTTACACTGTAAACTTTGGAAACCTTGCTGGCTTGGATCGGGAATAAGATCGAGAAATTTTAAAAACGGTCTGATAATTTCGATGCATAAAACTCAACCTCCTGGAAGATACAAAAACGTGAAATCGTGGCGGATATTTACATGACTGCACTCAACTTATTTCTTCCTAAGATATCCTTTCGTACATTCAAAAGTAGGCTAAACAAACTGAAAATGTGCTACTGTTAACTTAAGAGTTGAGCTATTTACACTAAAGCTATTTTTCTTTGTTGCCTGCTGGGTGCGTGGTATTGCGGCTTTACAAATATGTATCATCTACTGTTTCCTTTAATTGAATGCAAATTAAGACGGTTCAGTTTGGTGGTGTTGAACATTTTAGCGTATGCAATATTGGATTGACACTCAAGATGCAAGATTTGCAGAATTCCTTAAAACTTACCTTGTTGGGATTTTTCATACACTATTCATCTTCAGAAGGAAATTGTTGGTGCAGACAAATTGTGAGCCTATGTTTACTTGGCACTTTGCTAAAACTAATAAACGAAGTTCAGGAATACTGATGATGTGTACTTGTGTACACAGGCAACAAATACAAAATAATATTTGATAATGACAATGATATCAATTTTTTATATCAGTTGAGTTTTGATGGTCCAGCAGGATGATACTACACTAAGTGTAGTATCAACTTAGAAGTGTAGTACACTTCTAAGTTGACGTAAAGTTTTTTGGGAGGTGAAAGTTAATTTGCAATGGAGTGAAGTTTAATAATGCAGTAGTCTAAAATGTATCTAAGTCGTGTGCATAAAATACGACTATAAGGATAAATATACGTTCAACAGATAAATATCTAAATTTCCAATGGCCATTTCAGTTACTAAAATAGTACGTCCTTCCTCATCGCCCTGCATTGCCATGCATCGATAAAGCCAAAGTTGATTTTGGGAATAAAATGCATAGGCGTATGGTGATATTCCATGTAATAATTACAATTGTCAGTGTTTAGCTGACTTGTATAAATGATATGTAGGTGGATATATAAGGAACACACACTTGCTTACTCAATTTTAATGTCTTTTTTTTCTAGACGGAGGGAAATGTCGGGGTCAATGGTTGAAGTGATGTCGTCTTCAACCACACCCAGGATGGGACGACGTTCCATGGCATTATCTGACATAGACCCAAAATATGTGTCACAGGTACTTTTACATTTGCATTGGGCTATAAAATCAATAGTGTGAAGTGATGCCACGTGAACTAATTAATCATACACCGGAAAGAAAATATGGGTGGGACCATGTCAGAACAATTGTTAAAATCTTTAACACCATTATAATTGAGACAATTTTATTCAGGATTTTCCTAAGTTCGTTAATTTTATAAAGAGTCATTCATGTAAGTCCTACAAGATTTGTCTTTTCTTTATGAAAAATTGTGTTCACCTTTTATGTCACTTCGAAGCTTTTCATCACAAATGATGTTTTCCTACCTGCGTTTCTAATTTCCGCACGGTGATTATGAAAGCATAAAAATGTAAATGAAAGATAATTTTATGCACAGTAAATTTTCTGGAATGAAACTAATATCTTGTTAAATTAACTATACTGTAACACAATTCGTCAGTCTTTTAGTATTTTAGAATTGTTTAATATATTGTAATCGGTAAGACATTGTTAATGATTTCGACCAGATAAATGCTAAGATTAGGATGTCATTGACAATTGCATTAGAATGTTTCCAAGTTTCAAACGTTGTCCATTTTTTTCAGAGCGGTATCTGGGAAGCTTCGGAGGTGGAGACGTCACGCGGGAGTATACGCATTCAACATTTGACCGCAGTTTCAGCCGCCGCGGCCAGTTCTCGAGCGTCCAGTGCGAGTATGGGATCAGCTTGTGGGGGAGGAATTAGTGGTGCCATTAGCTCTGCGTCTTCTGGAATTACTGCTGGCGGCGGTGGGGCTTCGAATAACCCAAGGTTTCCTAAATTGGAAGAGTGTGCCCATTTTCACTATGATTGCGTGGAGCTTCCTCAACTGAAGGTATACATGAATATGAAAGCTTTTTGAAGTAAATGTTTCTATCCACATGCACAGAGTTGTTGTTGGCTTCCGATTTCAATGATACAAAAAATTCCCATATTATGGCAACTCGTTTTTCAATTAATAAAGATAATTTACATTTTTATTGGTTTGTAAAGTAATGATAGGGCAGCATGCGGCAGGCAGATGAATGATTTTCACCACTTCTTACTCATTCCGCATAATTTTCTGATGTACAAAGTAGTATACCTCTTAATTAAGTGAAATTTAATCAATTTAGAACGAAAGATTTCTATCACAGTATTTCGTTGTTTGCCTTTTAGCATATGAAACAAGGTGCTTTATTATTTACTTATTTTTGCACAAGTAACTTGTGACAAGTAGTCCTATAGTAATTTTGAGCATTGAATGTTTTTTTCTTTGTGAAAGACTACAAACATGACAATGGTGCAGATATATAATATGTATTTTATCCTAGTTAATGCTTAGAATTAACATAATATCCAATATGACCAGTGTTTTTGATATGTAGTACGAAGGTTATTGTAACAAGTGGGTGCGGCTGTGATAAAATGAGTTGCTTGGAGGAAATTAACAATTCTGGTGTTTCGTGACAGTTTAAGGAGAAATAAAAGGTCCTTTTAGTTCGTACGTACATATTTAACAAAATGAACACGTGTATGCAAATATTAAAAAGTATAATTGAACTTGCGAAGAAAAACTTGAGATTATAACTGGTTTATGGAAACTGAAAACTATTATTGTTTGCTACAATCAATTTATGAAGTCAATTTCCTTTTACTAAAATACGTAATCATTGTTTTACGGAAGCCAATTATGTTGAACTTTTGTAATTGTTTGCAAGATTGGACTTAAATTTGCAAAGTCTTTTCAACATAAATACATAAATATACAAAAAGCCTTGACACATGGGAGTATTGGACATCTTACCAAAACTCGACAGACGCACATAACACACATGACAAAAAACAAAGAACCTGCAGACTGCTTATGTATCTCAAACGGTCAAAAGATTATTATCGCCTCTTGTTCGTCTTGCTTTTAGTTGGAGTTTTCACTTTCTGCTAGGTTTGTATATGCATACGTAAATTTTGGTGGATTTGGCCATATACTTGTCAACTTCACGCAAACAAGTTGGCATTTCTTGTTTAGTAATGAAATACATATATCTCGCCATTTATCTAATCCTGTTAAAATCTTGTTTCTATCCATTAATTCTGCTGAAGCGGCTTTACTTCTTTCCCTGATGTGATTAATGTTATGGGATTTGGAATATCGTTGAGAAGTATTGTCAATTGTGTGTGGTGGTTTCATTGGAATTTTAACAAGTGAGAACTGGCTGACGGCATCTTTCATTTGAGATGAGACTGTTCTTTAGCTTCTTGTTGACCTCTCCTTCGAATACTGGTTTCACTTAGTACGTAGGGCAGGGCAGGGTAGTATAGAAAACTTAAATGGTGACAGATTGCTACATGATTTATCTAAATTTAATGCAAAATTGATTTAACAAATTATGAAAGTAAAAGTTTAAAATACTTTAGGAAAACTTGAGAACAAAAGATTAATACATAAATGTTGTAATACACGCATGTATGTATGTAAATATGTATGAACGAGCATATGCATATGTAAAACTATTTTTGTACATTATAAAGTTATTAGTAGCCTTAAAATGACATGAAATATGTGCGAAATTTGAGTTATTTAATTTTTGTGCTTCTAGAATTGTACAATGTCGTCATTTTTCAGATTCGAATTCGAGATGATCCTTCAAAACCAATATCCGTCACTGGAGATGAAAATCAGGACAAATGTGCCTTTTCAATAGAGGTATGTCGCTCTTTATAAGTTGCGTGTCATTGAATGCCTATAGTGTAGTTGATTGGGAATAAATTCGTGTTTTTCTTTCAAACTACTTAACTTCACTTCTGCTTGATGAAATTTTTTTAAAATAAGATGAAGATAAGTTGACATAAAATATGATGACCAGATTCACAAAAATTAACATTTCAAATCTAAATATAGTCTGTTCAGAGATACATACAAGAAGTAGGAGAGAAAGTTCGGAGATAGGTGAAAACAGTGTTATATTTATAAATAATTCTGAAAATTCAACTGGGATGTACGTTAAGTAAATTTTGTCAACAACTTAATTCATATCTATTTATAACGTCCAAAATTATCGATTTCTGAGAGACATTGCTGAAACTCAGAAACTATTGAAACGAGAAGTTGTTGACTCTACTAAAGTGAGACTGTGAAAATGTATAGCTGAACTTGACTCGTGCCATGTATGGCATTATTTCTTTGTGTGGAATAAAATTATCTATGCAGAGATTATTGTGATTGCAATCCTTATGTGCGACAGATATTATGCAGTCGTGATACGATGCGTCCATTTATTGTATTTCAAGAATTTTTAGTTGATGACAATTTGTAGGATATTTTCCAAAGTTTTTTCATACACAATCCCCTGAGCTTAATGCTTAAATAAACCAACATTAGCGAGCTCTTTCTTAAATGCGTTGGATGAATTGCGGATGATTCAATCAGTATTTTAACTGACTCGAACATGACAATATGTATAACCTTGCTTTAGATTACATCGAATCTCGTCTCAACAGCTACAAAAAATAAATGATGATGAATGGTTCGATTTTACTCACTATAGCCTGTAACTGATCCTGAATTGAGAGATTATAATGCAGTGGTGATGTTTATGATGAATATGACTAATCTGTCCGACAAGACGAACTCGTGACGATTTGAGTTTTAGTGAGCAATGCATTAGTGGCGAAAATGATTTTTTTTTGTATTTATTTCTGCACCATGTACCTTATTGTGAGGACTACTATGATAATATATAAGGATGATGTGTAATGTAATTGAGTGTGATTTTGATTTTTTTCTTTCGTGAAGGTGGTTGCCGGTGGGCAGAGTTGGGCGATAAGGAGGACGCACAATAACATTCAGATGCTAGACAGCCAGCTTCATCGCTGCGTTTGGGATAGGACGTTCTCTCTTCTAGAAAAAGTGCATCAAGAGTCTGCTGTCGACCAACTCCAACAACAGCATGTGGGTGTCCCTTCTCTCTCATTCAAAATTAGCGAATTTAGACTTACTTCCGTGTTTCACTTGGTATTGTTGGCCATTGCTGTAGATATCCATTAAACTTTATCCCTCTTCTGTACTTTACTTACTGTTGTTGCTGTGTACAGCGTCTTTACCTTCAATTAATCCCAACTTTTTTCTACAAGTTGATCAGTTCTATCAGTTGAATGTCTTTTGCCAACAACATTTCCATCGAAGCCATATGGGATCATTTGTAAATCAAGAACTAAAAAAGAAGAACTAGTAAGCGAACCATTCATTCTGTTGAATTAATGGGTAGACTTGGTCCGTTTAACTTGTTGTCCATGATAATTATGTGCTTCAAGAAAACCATAATATCCGTGTTATTTCCCTCATTCAACAATAGCCCTTGCTAACCGGTATTTGTGCAGCAGCAGGTTGCTTTTGCTAGTCATTCAAGCCAAGTGCAGAATACGAATTAGAAATGCGGTGTTTAATAATGGTTGTTGTATCTTGTAATAGAATGGGTGCTGGGAGTTCGTTACAAATTATCTCGCGCGATTGAACCAGCTTCCAACATCGGCTATTACCTGTGGAACTGTACTAAGCTGGCTTGAGGTAAGTTTTGTTGTGATAAGCAAATTTTGTACATGTGATTGAGTTTGTTAAAACATTATAAAAACAAAATATATTTCTGGTAAAATTAGTTGGACAACCGTGGGAGACACATCGTGTCGTCAGATGAGAGTGCTATTAATACTCCAGCAGTTGCAGCGGCTTGTGCCGTGAAGAAATATGTAAGTACTTATGTAATTAATTAGCGATTTAAAATATAAAGCAAAACTGTTTTTTAGGGAGGTTTTTTTAGTGGTTTGTTTTACAAATTTGACAATGGTTTCCGGTTTCGGTCTTCTCATGGCTCTTGTGCAAACGTGGGTTTTTAAAATCATACAAGTCATCGCCCATGTTACCGTACACTGTTTTTTGACAATATCCAAATCAAAAGTGTCATACTGTCATCATTATCACCATCGCCGCTGATATAGGCTCATCCTTTTTCATTTTTGGTTTCTGCAAAACAGAACGAAGGATACAGTTCTACACATTTCAAAACAATGCTAGTCACTGTAAAAAGATGGCATTTATTTTATTCTTGAAATAGGTAGCATAAAAACGCTGTAGCCCATGAATTCGTCATATTTTGCAGCGTTTTTACTAAACGGAGAAAGAATCAAATGTTAAGATTATTCAAACGAGAAAAACTTATCATAATATTTTATTTCAGTTATTATCATTGCATACACATTACACGAATTACACATCAGAAAAGCTGACTACAAAGGAGTCGTACATTAAAATTCCCTAACCTGAATAAAAAACGAAGAAATCAATCACGAACGAGAAAAATAGTTATGTATATGTTACCATTTCCAGGTTGCTCAAGCTGCGGACGAAATATCATTCGAGGTATAAAAAACAACGGTTACTTTTTTACGGTTAATAAACTTGCTAATTGATATGATACGATTGATATGCTATTTGCCAGGTTGGTGAAATGATATCAGTAATTGACATGCCCCCACCAGAGGACTCGAACTGGTGGAGAGGAAAAAGAGGGTTTCAAGTTGGATTTTTTCCAAGAGATTATGTCCAGGTTTGACTTTTTTGTGGGTACTTAAGAATTTAAAGTTACAATTAATTGAAATATGTTTAACGAAAAAGGTTATTGGTGACAAAATCCCTGCCGGTCTACCGATTGTGCCATCAGTCAGAAAACTACAAAGATTATCTGTTTCTTCCTCATCCACTACTTCATCTGTTCCGGACAAGCCTGTGCTTCGGAAGCATGGAAAGCTTATTGCCTTCTTTAGGTAATGTCACGTACACAATATATAATAATAAATTAGCAACATTTCATGCAAAGATAATTATAATCAATTATATCAGTATAAAACGGTAGCTTTTTATTGACTGATTTATAATTTATAGGAGTTTTATCCTTTCGCGTCCATCAAGAAGGAGATTAAAACAATCTGGAATCTTACGTGAACGAGTATTCAGTTGTGATTTAGCAGAACATTTGCTAAATACGGGCAACGACAGTACGTCTTAAAAATGATTGGTGCATATTAATTACAAAGCGAAAACTGCGTTTTTCTTACTTCTAGTCCCCACTGTTTTGCGAAGCTGCGCAGAGTTTATTGAGAAGCATGGCATTGTTGATGGCGTATATCGGTTATCTGGAATTACTTCAAATATTCAAAAGCTTCGGTAAATTTAATCGATTTGTAGTGTTTTAAACCAGTTTTGGTATACATTAAATAATTGAAATAATTGTTTGGCACAACAATAGGAATGCATTTGACGAAGATAAAATTCCTAATTTGGAGTCAGACATGGCAATCAAGCAAGATATACATGCTGTCTCTTCACTACTAAAAATGTTCTTTAGGTAATTAATTATGTAGATATTTAATCATCAAGGCCTTCCTGCACTGATTAGAAATCACAAACCCATCTTTATACCACTTCTAATTTATTATTATTGTTTGAAAAATTAGAGAATTTCCTAATCCTCTTTGTACATATCAACTGTATGAGAAATTCGTTTCTGCTGCCAAAGAATCTGACCAGGAGAGATTATTCAAGATGCGTGAAGTTGTCCACGAGTTACCTCCTCCACATTATAGGTCAGTTAAAATATATTTTGTTGTTTATATAAACCTTTTTTCGTTTAAATAATATCATTCAAATACATAAGGCTTTTAACATTTTTGCGATCGTTTAGGACTCTTGAATACTTGATGAAGCATTTATCCCGTGTTGCTGAACGAAGTAGCGATACTGGTATGACCCACAAAAACCTCGCAATCGTCTGGGCCCCTAACTTAATTCGGTGCAAGGAATTGGAAACCGGTGGCGTAAATGCTTTAAAGGTATGTATATTAAATCCACGTTTAATAAATATTGTGCATGATGGATTGTTTTATTAATTAATATGGAACATTATTCCATATAGGGAATTGGGGTTCAAGGTTAGTATAGTACTTATACATATAATATGTTCTGAGTAACGATTATTATGTCATTTGCTGAGATTTTCACTAATGATTTCGTTCTTACAATTTTTTTACAGCTGTAGTGACAGAATATTTGATAAGACATGGTGGGTTAAATTAAATTTCATAAATAAAAATAATAAAGCGATAATAAATCACTTTAACGTCTGTAATCTTGTATTTCAGCTGATCTCATTTTCAATGATAAACTACCTACAAATTTCCCTACAACAACAACAGTATTAACACAAAAGTCTTCTGGAAGTTCCAGGCCAAAATCGCTGGCTATTTCGTCCCCAATCAAATTAATGTCACTAGAAGAAGCGCAAGACAAAGCAAGGGATGACAGAAAGTTTATTGACGTTGGAGGCGGCCCATCGTCCCTTCCTCCAAAATATCACACAGTGATTGATCTTCCTAGTAGTAGGAGGGCAGGGTTGAAGAATAAGCGATCACCGATGGGGTGGAAACACTTCTTTTCGAGGAATCGCAGTTTTAATGCTTCTAAACCTCAAAGGAAAGCTTTTACACCTGGTGACATCACAGTAATTGTAAGTTTTCCGTCCTTGTGATGTGTGTTTTCAATGATTAATTTGTAATTTGTAGTCTAGCTATACTAATTAATGTGCATTATTTCCAGACAAAAAATATGCCACAGCCAGGACCTCAAGGCATGCAAACAAATTGGACTGGTCGACTTCGCCCACTTCGTCCAGTGAAAAGTGTCGAATCATTAGTGTCGCCTCCACTTTATAACACCGCCACTGGCTCAGGTGCTGGTCACGGAAACGAATCATCAGCAATACTACGTGACCAACACTCTGAATCTGTCATCATGGAAGAAATGGAATCATCTTTGTCGAGATCAAGTCCCGCCACCCCAGTCGCTGCTGACGTTGTATTCCATCCTCTACCCGCAAATTCAATTGATGCGAGATGTCTTCAAAGTAAAACACATAATAGGTCTATCTCTCATGACTCTTATTTTGAGTTTGGAGAATTTCGCAACAGCAATAACGTATACATTGACGATACGCTGGAGGAAGAAACAATGTCTCAATCATCAAAATTGTCGCTAGATCTATCAGGCAGTGAAATCGGTAGCAATGTCACTAGTCCTGTCAAAGCTGCTGGATGCTCTCTCCGCTCAAAATCTGAAGAAAGGGAACGTTCTCGCAAGGAACCTTTTAAAAGTCCAATAACACCTCCACCAAGTGCAGCGTCAACTATGCATCCTAGTGATTCCTATCAAAATGCATTGTCAGATGAAAATATAGTAGTGACGAAACGAAACTCGACCGCTACCTCACCAATATTTTTCAAATCTCAAGCGAGACCAAGCAAGTGGAGGGATTCGGAAGTGCAAACTTCACAATTAAAGCTATCCGATGTTGGCGTGTCTACGGAGGAGGAGAGTGGTATTTATGGTACGGGTACAAGAAAAGGCGTTGATTCTTCTACTTCGATGGATGAAGAGCTAGGCAGATATGAACTAGATAAGAACTCCAGTTTTGACGAGAGCTCGGAAATGTCAACTCCAGAGAAAGAGCAGTTTCTCAGTAGTATTTCAACAAATATCATTTATTCCCCGCTCGTGAACGAAATATCTTCAATGTCTTCAGCCGAGCATATCAATCTTCTTCATTCTACTAGTAGCATATCCTCGACATCTACTCAGAAACTGTCAGTGAACTCGAATCGGTCGTCAAAATCAGTTGATGATGCTTTCACAACAACTTCTAGTGCTAATGTATGCCTGTTCGTCTGTCCACTTTACGAAGCGGGCGTAACAAACGAAGATTTGATTGGAAGACCTGCTGCTCACCAAGATGTTTTTAATCAATGCCAGGCGGCTAATGATGATGTGGTGGTGTTGGTAGAAACAACTAACAGCGTTGCTCAAGAAGCATCATCGTCAGAAATTGCTGATTATTCTGATTTAAATTCAAATACCTCTAAAGACCTTTCTCACATTGCTGTGAATAATAATCCCGTAGAAAATAAGTATGAGAATGATTCTATTGGGAAAATTGATGAGTTGACCACTGCTTCCAATATTCTAACGACCGCCAAGACGATTCCACCACAAAGCAAGGAAATCTGTCATATTTATGAAAACGAAAGAATTTATCAAAATGAACCAGTGGCACCTTCCAGAAAAAAACTAGCAGTATCAAGCGAAACATTATCATCGAAATCATCATCATCATCCGTGCTTCACCCCAACAATGTAACTACTACTTCAACTCAACTGGAATCCTTCTCTCAGCAAAATCAAATCTCTGAAGAGAAATCAGGTGCTGTATTGGAATTTGAACAAATTATAATGATCAAACCGAAAGCCAAAGAACCTTTGCCGCTCACTTGCATTGACGTCAACGCTGCATACACTGACTGCATAGGAGAGGAACATTATGAAAACATTAGTGAATCACATTACGAAGGAAATATTTATGAAGATATCGACAGCGAAAGTGACAAGCAGCAAAGAGAGGGTAAATACAGAGGGACAAATAGTTGTAGGTACGAAGCTGTTTCATCCCCACCCATAAAGCCTAGCGATACTTTTGCTGTCAGCCTCTCCTCTACGGGTTGTGGTACTGGTGGTCGACTCAAAGATAACTCAGCTCCATCATCATTTTACCCACCTCAGGATTTACCAGCAGAAGAGAACTGGGATGATCATGATGATGGTGATTATGAGAGCGTTCGATTTCAAAAAGTGGACGACAAATTAATTCCTCATCATTATTCTGAAATTGAAGAGAAAACAGCATCAACTACAGCTTTAGACGATAATAATGATGACAGCAAATCGGGTTCCACCCCTTCTCATTCACGAACTGATGAAATGATCACATATCTTGAAGTCCAAACCCCCTCATTCAAGCTAAGAACGGATAGCCTGGAGGATAATAATAAGAGTGAGGAACAGTCTTCGTATGAGAGCGTGGGTCTCAAAAATTCAGAAACCATTGATGATGTGAATTCTCCCATCTCAGTGGACGAAGTGATTCACTTTATTGATAGCCCCTTGGTTGTGGAAAACCCAGTTTATTCGCTAGAAATGGAGGGGATCAATCCTGAAGATATTGAAACCATGCACAAAACTCAAATGCAATGTAGTCGTGGTGCTGGTGGTGCGGAAGAAGATGATGGAGATTTCGACGTATCAATTAATGAAAGCGTTAGCCTCAGTTTATCCGTGGAAGAAGATAAAAGTAACACAACTCATGGGAAACCAATGCAACTGAAATCTCAAAATTTGAAACTTCTTGGCCGTTGTAACAGCGCCCCATTAACAGAAACTAAGGTAGACTTTGTCATTACGGACGTCTATCGACAATCAGATGACAGACCATCTTCCACACTGGTAAATGATCAACAAAAGCATCAACAAAATAAAAACAACAACGACAACTTAACCCTGTTTAAGCTCCCTTTAAATAAGCGACTATCGGAACCCTCACTGCTGCAATTCAATGTAAACTCAAACTCTCTCACCATAAAGACTGATGAAAATAATGCAACTGCTTGGAAACTCACGGATGCCAAACGTCTTGCCAATAGGAAGTCAAGTGTTAAAGAATTACTTTCAAAGTTTGAGAGTCGGGACTCGACGCCATCCCCCACAAACACATCTTTCAGCAACCATTTTAACACATTACCACACGTTCATAACAATAACAAGGATACTCAGGGCTCATTAGTTCCAGGTCTTCCAAAGCCAGTGTCACAAAATTCGCTTAAGGTGTCCGTTCGTGGTAGTGGTAGCGCCGTTATTGGAAGAAACAAAAACACCGATGCGTTAGGAGGATTTGGTGGTACTGGAACTGGCAGTGGACGTTTTCAGCATCATCGGTTTTCTATGGGTGATATTCTTCTTGGCCAATCCATGTCTGAATCGGATGACCTCAATTCTGTGTGCAGTCATTCTCCATCTCCAAAGAACTCTATGATTCGATCTGATACATTCCCAGAGTTAAGGTCTGCAAATTCTAGAGTTCCAACCGCATCAAAGGAGAATCTTGACTTAAGTGCATCGTTGGATAGAAATTCACAGTCACAAGGAAACCTATTGAACGATAATAATGATGCGAGTCCATTGGGTAAGTAATACACATATTTAACGAGCAGTTATATTTCAGTAATATGCATACTTACTAAATAAATAGTAGCAACTTGTAATATGTATATATTTTTTGTTTTAGTTCCAGAAAAAGGTGCTCAAAATGCTCTCCGTATCGCCATGAGTGCTGTCGATATGAATGATCCAAACACTAGGGAGCGGATTGAAAAGTACAAAGAAGAACGAAGATCATTTCTCCGTCAAAAGATTACATCTGAAATTAATTCAGAGTGTACTCAAAAACCATGTATTGCGACGACGACGACAGAAGAAGGCGAAAAGGAAGAATCGCCATCCACGTTATCTCCAGCAGACGTTGAATCCTGCAATAGTGAAGTTTTAAGCAATCGATTAAACGCTAATGATAATGATTCATACATTTCTACAATATCTAACACCACTCGTAGCAATTCGTCTTCAACTCAAGTTACGACATTTACTAGTAACAATAAATCACCATCAGATTCACCAAGAAAACGAGCATTTTCTGAAGATATTCCTCAAGCTTTCTCAAACTCGTATTTTACAAAGACGAAATCAATAAAAACGGAACCTGAATTCACCAAATATTCAGAAGAATCTTCCACCACAAAATCCACAATTACTCAAGGAATTAAAATCCATGAAAAGATTGCATTATGGACTTTACAAAAGAAGGAGATATCGAAATCTACTCTTTCTTGTGCTGAGATCTCCTCTAACAAATCCTCCACCGACTCAAGTCACAAACCTTTTGTGAAACCAATCTTAAGAAGAGAAGTTACCACGAGTTCAATTAGTTCTGTTGAATTAAGTAAATGTAAGTTAAATGTGGCGAGAGTTGAAAATAGTAGTAATGGTGGGAAAAAGATAAAGGATATGGCTGCCTTTTTTGAAGCCAAAAAGTTTTAACTAATATGTTTTACTAAAATATGTTTTATTAAAATATGTTTCCTTTTATGGTATTTTATGGTACTCAGTGTTCACGACACTTTTATAATAAGAAATGGAACAGTATATATTTTAAGTTTTTTTACAACGAAATAGAATTGTAACTAATATGAGGCCTTTTAAGATGAATTTCTAAGTCTGCTGCTTAACAAAGCTTGAAATTATATGTAGCTTTACCTGTTGTGCAGTATACCACAAGCAATGCAATTGCAACTTTTAACTTTTATTTATGCATTGTTACTAAATAGTAAAATTTCGTCTCATTTTAAACATTGTGGAATTGAGAATTTCTGCTGTACTAACTATTAATAGTTGAATCTCCTCGGTACACAAGTTTTAATTAGATGCAAATAAACACACAGCACAGAATTATCATTGGCTAGGTCCCTGATGCTAGCTCCCCATACCCACCGATACATATACCGTGAATATCTGCATGGTACAAATAATCATAAGTAATGAGGGTGTCGATGAGTATACAGGATCAGCATTACTAGTTTGCCAATATTATCAGTACGACAAATTGGTCCTTAGTCAGAGAGGATAATTCCGTGCTTGACCTGAAAACTGAAAATGAGTTTATTTGAGGTACGTAGTATGTAAACATTTTTATGCCAAAATGCCGTATGAGATAATAAATTGAGAAGGATGCCTACCTCAAAATAAAAACGAATTTTTGCGTGATATACTGTGGAAATTCTTATACACATATGTATGCAACGTTAAGTTTTAAAGGTTTGAGTTGCATGTCGTGCTTAATTTTGAGTGCCTTCTTGAATTTAGTAAATGCTAAAAAATACGAAATATTCGAAATACAATTTTATGAAATATGTATGCAGGATCTCTCTTTAAGATAGAACATGACACCTTCACAACAATAAATGATGCATAGGCATAATAATATGTATGTAGACTTAAGGTTATATATTTCACTGAAACACGTTGGTTTTTGCATTGGTTTCAGTATAGCTTTAAATTATGTGTTTTTGATTTTACTATTTGTTTGTATTTAATAACATGCAATTATACATACATAACTTCTATTTAAAATGTTTGCAACATCACCAATTCTGTCATGTTTTTATACTGTTTATTAAAGTTTTGATATTACTTCACTTTACACATTTTAATTGCAAAGAAAGGAACGGTAATTACGGCAGTATGGAACTCCCGAAACTAATTTATTGTAATAACAAATATGCAACTAAAGAACAAAGACGAAATATGTAATATGCAGAAAATTATGTTATACGTATGTAATTGAGCTCGTTCGCCTTAAAGAGTGGGAATAAAAATTGACCCTACTTTACAAATATATGTATCTAATGTTATCCGAAATTAAATCATCATAATTTTGTATCATATTATGATGTTTGTTCATCAGCTCAATATTCAGTGGTTTTGAAATAAATCAGTGTTTCCTTATGGAACAATGTCAGAGTGAAGAACCGTTTATCCAATTATGTAGCTTTCGACCCTACAATTTGTAAAGATCCGGATTACTGAATAAAATAGTTGTATTATTGGTGCCACCAGTTCATTGATGGATGATTTATTGTCTGTTGATTTAAAGCAATAAGTTTTATATAATATAGAAATATCGAAATTGACTAACAAAATACACTTTGCAGACATAACTTATCTAGATACAGATTATGCAATATCAGTCAACTTTTAACAATAACACTGGCTCAAAAACAGCCAAAGCATGGGTTATTCAATATCACGTAAGAATCATTCTCATGACATATTTTCATTATTCTTAGTTTACTATTAGATGGTGATTTTATTGTTTTTCGCATTGGTCTGATATCAGTTTATTCTATTCTAATAACCACTTTTGACTTTACTCAGTTGCTAATTTCCTATTATATTCTGTGAAGAATTTTTTAAAAAACTCGTAAGTGGAAATCATAATGGCACAAGCTGGAGCAACTTTTACAATTCTAGGAACAAAGCCTGCAAATAGTCCGTTTACTCCCGACGTTCTGTAAATTTTTATAAATACTTCCCTTGTTGTTGTCAGTCTCTGTCCTGAATTACATCATTTTATTTATTTATTTTTGCTCGTATTTGCAAGGACAACAACGTCGTCAAAACTCGCTTACCTTTTTGTTCCGAAAAATCAACTTCACCTAGTTCAATCTGTCTGTATGTCTTTACAACGTCAAATGGAAGCGTAGCTGTTCCAGCAATCTATGTATAGAAGTATAGGATGTATAGGAAAGTATTACGACATTATATTCATATTTGATAATGTAAGAAAGAAAAAATGATGATTATTAATTGTTAATGCATGCATACCGATCCAGCCACAGCTCCAGCCATAAAACTAAATGAAAGAGATGGGTCTTTTTCGTGTCCACACATTTTTTTTATTCCTTCATAACTCCCCCAGTATATTGCTGTATCCATAAAATGCATAGACTCATTGATTATCACAATTCAAAATTGTTTCAGCGTACCTGAAAATGGAACATCCCTACTAATGCTCGGAATATAGCCCAACCAAAATCCACGTAAACCTCTAGCTCCATATAGATCGGCACACGCCTGTTGAAGCTCTAAATAGGGACAACAAAATAGCAATGCTAGTTTACACAAGTATAAAGAGCTTAAACTGCAAAACCCTTAATTTACCTCTGTAAGTCAAACGCTTGGACTGCATCTTGGTGCGAATAAGTTCTAACGGATTGACGACGGTGACAGCCCACAGTCGAGCAAGCCCACCACTTACTAGTGGAATAATAACAGGTTGTTCAGCAACCCCGGTCATTTTGGTATAACTATCACTGAATAAAACCCTCAGTTGCTCGTACGAAACAAAATATATTATTGTTGCAGGAACAGCCATTATAAGCGTTGGGGGTAGACCACTCCACAATGATAGAACACCTTCGTTCCGAATTATTTTTGAAAAAGCGTCCTAAAAGCAATCGAATGACATTAAATTTATCATCAGTACTAAAGGCAGAGGTCTATTAGAAATAATGTTAATGTTTGTCATTGTTACAATAGTGGAAGTGAAATGTCCGGGTCGATTCACCCAAGCGTTGACTTTGCCATTTATACACTGGCAAAGATGGTCCATGAGGCCGTTGCAATATAGAAAGCATCGATTTGAATGAAGTGCTTTTTGTTGGGCTTGGAGCCTGATTTTTACAACATCCAGCGGAGTAACTGCAATTCAAGGATTCACGCATTCAATAATATTTGGAAAAACATGCATACAATTAAATTAAGCTGAACACAGAGGAATCTTTCTTCATACCAAGAACTGAAGTTAGGAGTGCACCCGTACAGGAAGACATCATTTGTTGAAAAGGAGTGATACGATATTTCTTTTCTTGTTCCAGCTCCTCCGAGCTTAGACGATCTCCTCCCATTTCTCAAATTTTTAAACCACGCAACTTCTGTTCAAGTTTCCAATTTGGCGTTTTCGTTGTTCAAAAACTTAAGGGTAGTCAATTATTGATCATATATAGTATATAATATAGTATATAATATATAATGCTATTTATTACGAAAGATGATGCAATTGCAAAATTTACATACAAGATCACGTAAAAAAGTTAACTTTGAAATTAGTTTGTAGCGATATAGTCCATGAGTGGTCGTGCCTTACCGGTAGCGTGCACGTATGAACATGCAGCCACAGTGGTCAAGATAAAGACGGAATATTATAGTTGACCAATTTCACGTGGGGCACGTGTAGGTGACCTTGTTGTGGTTAGTGAAACCGCAAAAAGCATTGCTCTGAGAGTTTGGTGCCACGGAATATTTATCAAGATCAGAATGGACTACTCTATGACTTTTCCTTATTCCAAGTAAAAGTTGAGTTGATTTTTTAGTCGAACACAACAACATAATTGGAAAGTAAATATTTGTTTAATTGACGATGCATGCCCAATGAATGGCAGTTTTCTCCATCAAGTTATTATATCGTGAGTCGTCTCTGCACAGGAAGAGCGAATAGAGTGTCGAATATTTTAGTCTTGTAGTCGGTGACGAATGAAAAATAAACAAGTGATATTACAATACAATCAATTATATTTTACAAATTTCAGTTCATTGAAATTGAGGATTACCTTATTCAGCTATCTCATTGAGGTATGTATTTATTGATACGGAAGCTTTACATGCGTCTAGATTTTAGGAGATTATTTAATTGCTTAAATTCAACAATTACAGGTCTGTTATATATTTTGTCAGTCAGTACTGTGTCTATTTCTTGGACCTATTCATAAACTCAGAAAATGTTGGGGGGATTTAAATGTTCAAAAATTTCTCTCATCGCTCTCAACATATTTTATATCGTGAGTTGAGACCGTTTTTTTTGTTGTCTTCAGAATTAAATGTTTGCATAATAACTCAACTTCTAATATATAAATAACTCTGTTTTCTTTTATAGACTGTAGGGATTACTTTAATAGCACTGGGCGCCCATTGGATGACCTCTAATCGTGTGACCAGCCTGCCAGTTATTGGAGGAGTGGTGGCATGTGGAGTATTCCTTCTCTTGGTCGCCATCGGAGGAATTTATGCGACTCTGAAACAACACCAAGTTTTTCTTTTCTTTTACATGGTCATCCTCTTTTGTCTCTTCATCGTCCAGTTCTCAGTGGCTTGTGCATGTCTCTCAGTGTCAAAGGAGACGCAGGAGGGGATCGCTAATCAGGGCTGGGCTACGTTGGACTATTCGCTAAAAGGTAGCGTCCAACAAACCTACCACTGCTGTGGATTTAGCAAGGATAGGTCGGACCTCATATTTTTGAATCAGACGACTGAACCTAATAGAGCACATCCATCTTGTGAGAAAATTGTGAGTCTTTGTAATTAGTGGAAATTAAAACCACTACTTCTAATTTGGAAGTTGCAAAGAATATATGATTTTATAAAAATGTTTATTGCTCTGTTTGTAGGAGACATGCAGTAATTGCGGAGCAATAAATGAAGGCACGAACAGTACCACTTCGTGCACATGCCCTCCATGTCTTCTTCAGGTTGAATCAGTTATTGGACAGGCGTTTCGAACAACTGGAGGTGTCTCATTATTTTTTAGTTTTACTGAGGTGAGTTGATACCTTTGCAACTTATCCATTTTTCAACATGGTGGGGTTTATAAATTCTCTTTATTAGTTTATTGGGATCTGGCTGACTGTGCGGTATCGAAACCAGAGAAATCCTCACATGAATGGAAACCCTTCAGCGTTTTTGTAGAATCTTGTTTGAAAATTTAATGGGAAACGACTGCATACCACATCACATGCTCTTATAAGTCTTTACTTTAGTCTTAACCTAGTCCTGTTATTTTATCATTGGTATATGTATATTTTAATTATAACGTTCGTGTTATATTAACTGACTGAGCCTTTTTTGTAATTTTCAAGTAATTTTGATTGAAAATTGTTTCATTATTACCTTGTTTTAGTTTGTTTAGCTGGATATTTCAATTTTAAATTCTACTTCGTACTGATATTATTATGTAACATATCTTCTCATGAAATCAAAATAGAGCTAAAATTGCTGTTTTGTAAGAAACGAAATGTAAATTTCTTTACTTATATCCCTGAACCTCTCAGGAGGGGAGCTTGCGAGGTTGATAATAACAGATCTTGGTGCCCTTTGGATATGTGGTAGGGACCCATGAGTGTACTAAAACCCTGAAGTAGTTTGACTCCATGGCCACATTTGCGCCCGCCACACCCACTCAAAAATGCCCAAAAAACGCTTTCACTCGAGTTTTCACTCACTCAAATCCACGTCAAAAATCCAATTTTACTCGGATTTTGAAATTTCTTTCACCATTATACTCCCAGATAGTTGCTTTCTTCAATCCAATATCAAACTCAATTTTATTGATGATTATTTCGCAAACATAATTTGTTTTGTTGATGACTACAACAATGCTCATTCAGAATTTTAAATTTTAAAAATACTAAAAATTTCGAAAAAATTGAGTTTGATATTGGATTGAAGAAACTCAATCCAGAAGTAGCAACCTGTGAATCAAGGTGTATAATTGGCTTGTATGTGAATGTCTAAATTTCCTAATAATTCGAAATAGTAAAGATTGGATATTTTGTGACATATTTAAGTCATTGTGTTCTCGCTTGTTTATTTGAGTTCCTCATAAGTCAGTCAGTCAGGGCAATAGGTCATATTTAAAAGTCACCGTCCAGTGCACAGTACTTAGAGATTTCCCCGTCCAGTGGGCGGATCCCAAATCTCACATATTTTGGTGACCTCGACGTGATAGTGCTGAAATACTGTCTCCTCATCAACGACGGAGGACATTGGACGTGACTTGACCAGTGGATATCGTGGTGGAAAGACAAGGAGTATTTGGGGGCGTTTCCCGACGACGACAACTCGACGGGTAGCGGTCGCCCAAGGACCGCTTGAATTTTTGGTGTACCGGAGCCCTTAGTCCGGACACTTGAGGTCAATATTTGTTCCTGATTCAATTTTTACAGGCAAATATTAACTTTTTTCGTTTGTCTTTTCCTTTCCTTTCTTCTTAACATGACGTCCAAGATTCGTAGCGCGTGGAGGACGAAGGCTACTACCTATTGCAGACAAGCAACAGAAGAGTTTAAGAAGCTTGCGCCAAACAAGAAATGGCTGAAGATACTAAAGCTAAAGTTGGAGGAGGTTCGCATCAAATTACAAGCCATTGAAGAGACCAGTATGAATGAAACGACCACCAGTGGGGATGGTGAGGATGAAAAGTATGAAGAGTACGATGAAAAAATCCTCTGTTGCATTGCCGACATTGAAGAGTGTCAACCAGACCCGCAACAAGCGCAGCAACAACAAATGGGTGGTGCTGGCGGCGGTGGAGCGGCGATGGGCGGTGCGGGTGCGACCAGCAGCAGCTCATACTACTTTCCCAGGATGAAGTTGAGGGAGTTTTCTGGCGAGTTGACTGAATGGCTGGGGTTTTGGGATTCATTCAAGATTGTACATGATGACAAGGGATTGGACGATGTGAGAAAGTTCCAGTTCCTACTGGGGTGCATGGTACCAGGGTCCAAGGCAAAGGAAGTTGTGGAATCCTACCCTATGAATGCTGCAAATTATGCAAAGGCGGAGGAGGCCCTGAGATCAAACTTTGGCAAGGAGAAACTGCTGCAGTTGGTATATGTAAGAGAGCTCTTATCTATGAGTAATGGGAGGAATGGGCATGAATCGTTATCAAGTTTGTTTAACAAATTGAAATCGAGATATGAGGCCTTACAGACTTTAGGAGTTACCACACAGCAGGCGTCAATATTTCTGTATGCCATTGTGGAATCATGCTTATCAGAAGATGTGCTAACAGCCTGGCAAAGATCGTCCGATTTTGGTAGGGATGGGAGCAAGGAGCGACCACCCAAGACCGATATGGATTATTTGATGGATTTCCTGCAGAGAGAAGTGGAAAATGAAGTGCAGCGAAATATGGCCAGGTCAGGATATGGTGAAACGAGTGCAACACCAAAGTCGTCGAGTGAAAAAGGGCACCATCGTGAAAGGAGAGACACTCCAAGTACGGCAGCGAATCTCTTCGGTGGTGCAGTCCATGACGGAAAGCAGCAGTGTTTGTTCTGCAAAAAGGGTCATCCTTCGGCAAAGTGTTGGAACGCGCAGAGAATAAGCCTAGAAGAAAGGCAACATTTGGTTCGTAATTGCGGTGTTTGTTTTTCTTGTCTTCAGGGTGGACATTTGGCAAAGTCGTGCAAAGCTGGGGTCCAGTGTTCTCTGTGCACAAAGAGGGGTCATCTCGCGCTGATGTGTAGGCTCGGGAGTGACAAGAAGACTGATGAGGGGCCTGATGCTAATGTGGCAGCCCATATGGTCAGTCAATCTGTGACGAAGGATGTGCAACTTTACACCCTCAACGTGAAACTGAGGGGAAAGCGAGGCATTGTGGATGCAAGACTCTTATTCGATAGCGGATGTCAAAGGAGCTATGTTAAGAAGTCGACAGTGGCCAAATTGGGAATCAGTGCTGTGGGGCGAGAAGAATTTCGCAAGGCGCTGTTCAGTGGTCAACTAACTGAGGTCAAGTCGCATAATCGGTATAAGCTTGAATTACTGAATGTTGATGGACAGAGACCGATGTCATTGGAATTTCTTGAGGAGGACACGATATGTGCAAAGATTGGTCGTGTCCCACCAGGCCCATGGATTGCGGAGCTAGCCAAGAAGAAGGTCACAGTAGGGGACGTGGGTCATGGTTCTGCTGAAATTGATTTGCTGATAGGTGGAGATCAATTTGGACAGCTACTCACCAACAAAGTTATCCAGTTGGAGTGCGGCTTGACGGCGATAGAGACAAGTCTTGGGTGGACAGTCGGTGGTCGTGTGCCGGTGGTGAGTGAATCAAGTGCGATGGTCGTAACTTGTCTTTCTGTGAATGAGCTACAGGATAGTCAATTGTGGGACCTGGATGCTATTGGGATACGTGATGATCCCTGTCGTAAAACAAAAGCAGAATGTGAAGAAGTGGCGAAACAACACTTTCAAGAGAATGTCACGAAAGATGATGATGGGCGTTTCTGTGTCGCTCTGCCTTGGAAAAATGGGGAGCAGAAGATGTCGTCCAATCGTGTCGTGGCTGAGAAGAGGTTGGAGTCGGCTACTAAAAATTTAGTGAAGGAAGGGTACTTGGAAAAGTACGACAAGGTGTTCAGAGATTGGGAAATGGATGGCGTTATAGAGGCAGTGAAAGAAGAATCCTGCGACAACGCTCATTATCTTCCCCACCGTGCCGTTATTAAGCCTGAGAGTGCCACCACACCAGTTCGACCCGTGTTTGATGGGTCATGCAAGTTCGGAAGGAACCCGTCGCTCAACGATTTACTTGAGGTCGGTCCTAACTTATTGGAATCAGTGCCATCAATTCTGTTGCGTTTTAGGAGAGGTCGCTTCGGTGTCACCGCGGACATAAGGAAAGCGTTCCTTATGGTGGGAGTGCGCGAAAGGGATCGTGATTACCTCCGCTTCCTATGGTGGGAGGACATTAGCAAACGGGATGTCTACAAAATTTATCGACATAAGCGGGTGGTTTTTGGGGTCAACTCGAGTCCATTTTTGCTCGGTGCAGCCATCAATCATCAATTGGAAGCTAAAGCCGATGAATTTCCATCAACTTGTGAAATATTGCGAGAGTCTTTCTATGTGGATAATTTGGTCTGCTCCGTGGATTCAAAAGAAGATCAAGACCGTGTCGTGTCTCAAGCTACATCGATCATGGGCGAGGTGAAGATGGAGCTAACGCAGTGGGGGATTAGCCTTGGCGGCTTGACCAGAGGGGCGACTCTCCCCTGTGAAAGCTCCCTTAAAGTCCTCGGCATGAAGTGGGACACGGAAGAGGATTGTCTGACGTTAGACATTCCAGAATTTGACATGGGCAGAACAGTGACAAAGAGGACAGTTTTAGCAGACCCCGCAAGAATATTCGACCCACTCGGTTTGGTATGTGCAGTAATGGTGCTGCCTAAAATCATTCTACAGAAGTCGTGGAAAGATAAGACAGGGTGGGATGAAGCACTAGGAAAAGAAGAAGAAAGTGAGTATGTCAATTGGCTGAAGCAGTTGCCAATGTTAAGTATGTTGAAGATCCCTCGCCATCATTTTGCTGGATGTGACCGGCCGGAGGGAGGAGAAATTCATGCGTTCAGTGATGCAAGCTACCGTGCCTACGCTGCAGTCATTTTTATAAGGTTTAAAATTGGAAAAGATATTGTGGTAAAGTTGTTGCAGGCGAAGAGCAGAGTTGCGCCGATGCAACAGATGACCATACCTCGTCTCGAACTGTTGGGATGCTTCATCACCGCTAATTTGACCAGAGAGTTGAAGAAATCGTTGCGATATGAGAACATGCCCACATTCTACTGGAGTGATTCCACCACCGCGTTGGCGTGAATCAAGAGGAACGACGAGCGAGGAACATTTGTTGGGAACCGGGTGTCATCTATTCTGGAGAGCACAGTTGCCGAGCAGTGGAGACACGTCCCGGGCAAGATGAACCCAGCCTACCTCCCGTCAAGAGGTTGTGGGGCGGCTGAATTCATTCGGTCCAGATGGTGGGAGGGACCGAATTGGTTATGCAAGAGCAAGAGCGAATGGCCAAATCAGAACGTGAAAGCCGACGAGAATGAAGTCGCTATCGAACTGAGGAGGAAAATCGTGTCGACAATGCCAAGCTTGTTTGTTGACAGGAGAGGAAAACCGGAGACAGTTTACTCAGATAATGGGACCAATTTCCATGGCGCTGTAAACCTGTGGGGAAAGCTCTACTGGAAAAGAATTGTAGCGGAGACCAGCTAAGAACCGATTAATTGGAGATTTTCGCCTCCCACCGCAGCGTGGTGGGGAGGATTCTGGGAACGCCTGGTCCAGTCAGTTAAGGACCTACTTAAACGAATGCTGGGAAGTGCCAAGTTGTCAGAAACCAAGTTAAGGGTGTGCCTGACGTCGGTGGAACGAGTCGTGAATTCCCGTCCACTCACAACTGTTAGCGAGGACTCGAACGACCTCGTCCCACTCACCCCTGCGATGTTCCTTATTGGTGAGGCTAGCACTGACTGTCCTGAAGCCGAGTTGATTTCGACAAGCTGGTTTCGAGAAGTCTACGCAAAGAAGAAATCTGTGAAAGAAGAGCTACAGTCCCGTTTCCGGAAGGAATATTTAAGTCAGCTCCTTCAACGTGCTAAGACTCTCAAACACGTTCCTATCAAAGTGGGGGATGTAGTGTTTATTGGGAGTGATGACAAGAAACGACAGTCATGGCCACTTGGACTTGTGGTGAAAGTAATTCCGGGTGAAGATGGAATCGTCCGTACTGTTCGAGTCAAAACCGAGTATGGAGAGAAAGTTCGTCCAGTCGGTCGCCTGTATCCAACTGAAATCAGTGCGGTTTCAGAGGTAACAGCGGAAGTTAAATCAATTGCAAAGAAAGTCAAGATGATCCAACAACAACAAGACGAAACTGATCAATGTGAACCTGATAAGCAAGTTAGAACGAGATTCGGCCGAATTGTGAATCGACCTAAATTATTTCAGCCATAAATTGTTTTGTATGAATTTGATAATGAAATGTGTCATGTATGTATTTATGTTTCGACTTGACTATGATTAATTAGGCAATTAATGTGGGAGTTATGTCAAGTCTCAAAATTGGTATATGTAAGTTGAACGGGATAGGAAGAGCCCTGTAATGGTATGTATAGTTTGACGTGGTGAATGACGTGTCACCTTTCTCATTTTTTACTTTATGAAACTGGGCTGTTCCTTTTCCAACTCATTCCAGAAGTAGCAACCTGTGAATCAAGGTGTGTAATTGGCTTGTATGTGAATGTCTAAATTTCCTAATAATTCGAAATAGTAAAGATTGGATATTTTGTGACATATTTAAGTCATTGTGTTCTCGCTTGTTTATTTGAGTTCCTCATAAGTCAGTCAGTCAGGGCAATAGGTCATATTTAAAAGTCACCGTCCAGTGCACAGTATTTAGAGATTTCCCCGTCCAGTGGGCGGATCCCAAATCTCACATTCTACTTATATAGTTGCTAGTCATTTTCAAAATATTTAGATAATCCTCAGCTAATAGGATTTATGTATGAACAACCTGAAAGCAAATTCAAAATTATCAAATCCATTAAATTTAATCTGAAGTATTTAAATATATCATGAAAACCTCCGTAGTAAAGTAAATAGTTGTATGCGCCAGAAACAAGTTAAGCTCTCATTGTTTGCAATATAATAACGCAAAAAATAATTACTCGCCTGAACTAATATATCAAATATATATCGGAGATTTGGAGAAGCCTTAAGGTACCACAAGAGAGTTGGCAAGGAATTATACCACTCAGTTTGATTGTAATTTTCTCAGAAATTATAGTAGGTAGAAACTTGGTTCAAATACAAATTTTGTAAAAAAATTACTACTCTAAATTTTGGTAAATGTCCCCTTCTGCTGTTACTTATACTTACGTATTTATATCCAAAATAGTCGACCATGATGAATTTTTTTTAAAACGTCCTAGCGTCAAAACCATACGGAGCACAAACGTGGGACGACTCCCACATCGTGCGAAATAGTTTTACTTGGGGAGCATAATGGGTCTCATTTCCATATTGTCTTCCATACTTTTCGAAATAGCATTTCTATACTTGCCCCTCCATATTATTTTATGTTTCTGAGGACAAAAATGGTTCACATCTCTTTACCAGACACAAATGAGCCCACAAACCGATTATACACCCTGCAGAAATATATAATGATTCCAAATAACAACCATTATGACCTTAAAGTCCATCCCCTCCATCTCGGGGAGCTCTTAAAAATGCCCCAATGCCCTTGTTGTTATGCGGAGCCGTACTTCATGTCTTGACTCATTTTCTCTAAAAAATCATGTTGCTAAGTCCAGAAAAAATTGAAATATTCAACCTCTTGTGGTACCTTAATGATATTGTCTTCATATCTAATTGGCGCCTTGCAGTATCGAAAACTTATAAGAAGTTTCACTGCAGAAAATAATTAGTAGTAAAATCAAGCAATATGACAGACAATGATAAATAAAACGACAGTATTATTATTTTGAGCTAGTCAAGTAGTCAAGTAAAGTGTATAAATGACAATTAACAATTAAGGTAATATTTTAAGTTAATATTTGATTTGATAGTAGTAATGCAGGAAACATTCATGATATTGTTAAATCACAGCCTTGTCTGTCATTATTTCACGTCAAGAAACAGGTTGCATGATGAAAGAGATTAATAGCAACAGTTAGCTTTCTCCTTGTTCCATTGCTATCTCAATAGACTCGTCATCTGAGTTCGCTTTGTAATCTGTTGTTGGCACTAACTTGACAGCCGCCGGACTGCACTTATCATCCTGGACACCACTACCAGCATCGCTTTTTTGATCGGTCTCAACATTCTCAACTAGTTCTGGCCATGAAAAAGGTTCAAGTCTGTCTTCTTGTGGCAAAAATCCATTCAGAATTTGCAAATTCCGTTCACACTCTTTTAACATACTTTGACACTTGGTTAGCGTGTGTGTTAGATCATTCATCTTCCCCATATTTTCTGCATGTTTTGCAAATTTTTTCTGCCTCTCTATCAATGTCTTAAAAAAGTGGGCCACGTCTATGTCTATTTCCCGGATGCATTTTGATAACCTCCCTTGTTCAACGTTAATGCAATCAGCGTGTCTCTTTAGTCTATCCTCATACAATCGAACAATTGTTATGAAGGGTGTAGGATGAAGTTTGGAGCGGATTTCTTGCAAAGCTCGATTTCTTGATCCTCCGAACAGTAGTTTGGACCCAGTTTCAACTTCGTGCATCAGAGGAACGAACATTGGCAAATCGTCCAACTTTTTGAACAGAGGATCATCTTCAACACGTCCAGGGCCATGGACAGGGTCTGACGTCGATGGCTGGTGTACAATGACAAGAGTACTTTTACTCCTCTGGTCCAGCGGATTAAAAGAATCATCGGAACCCCTTTCCAGAGTTTGTTCTGAGAAGAGCAAGTCGATGAATTATCAGAATTATGACACATATTGCAATTGCAAAGTATCAGGTTCGATAAAGGACATGATACATATAATCAGATATTATATTATGCATAGTCATAACAGAAGATTTACCAGAACCATTATTAAAGTGGTAGTCCAATGATTTTGTCCTCCCAACGGTGCTGTGTTGTGCACCCATATTTGATGTTGTTGGAGTTTTTAAATGACGTAGGAGTTAGTTAAAAAGTAAAATCTGGCGATAGGTTGTTTGCTTCATCGTTTTTTACTAGGCTTAAGGCCAGATATAGTAGGCACATAACAAGATAATCCACCTGAGTGAATCACAATACTTAGAACCAAGATACTTTGATTAAAAAACAACGAATTGCAAATTACATACAAGGATAAATTATGAATACCTGTTAATCTTTTTTACCAATCGTGTTCTGGGCAATCCTGTAGATATAATTCTGTCTAAATCGCATTATGAGTCACACCATGTTATTGCTTGAATGTGTTATTTAATTATTGCCTTAAGTTTAAATAATTTGGAGAGAAGAGAAAGCTTAAAATACATTTGTATTTATTTTTACGTATTTTGCTTCTTTATTTACAGTCAACAGTTGATTTTGCGACGAGGTTTTTTTTTAATTCACATTTGAGGGTAAAACGAGCAGCGGGACTTGCACTTTCAGATTTCTCCTTACTCAACTTTGTTATTGATTTGTCATTTAATTCTTTTAATTCGTTTAATTGACTTAAACAATTTAAAATCCTCAATTAATTGTGAAATGCACCGCATTAATATTCTTCTGGAATAATAATAAAATATAATTCACCACTCAACATATGCCATTTTTGTTTTTTCTACAATTTCCACTAACAAAGAACGACTAAGTTAACAACTGTGTAACAGGTAATATAGTCTTCTGCGTTATTTTTGGTATTATGTTTGATTAGAGTTGACTTCGGACTTGTCATAACTCTAGTTGTATTGCAAACCTAGACAATGTTTGTTCTTTAAATTAAATGATCGCGTGTCATACCTTTATCTTTCATTTTAGAAGACGTAACTTAAAGGTTCACTCAAAAGGAGACCAGTTTGGTCATTTGTCGACACAGTAGAATCATGGCATCATCATCATCACCAGGCGGTGCCAACGGTGGGGGTGTGACTGGAGGAGGCGGCGATGCTGGAGACGACATGGACGTGAGTGGCGCAGAACTGGATGCAAACAAGAACGAGAAGATGTTCACTTTAAAGAAATGGAATGCCGTGGCCATGTGGTCCTGGGACGTCGAATGCGACACGTGTGCCATTTGCAGAGTTCAAGTTATGGGTAAGTGGACAAATGTCATCATAATTTTTTTGTATACCTTAACATATAGTTTATTTAGTGTAAAATTTCGTAAATTAGTGAATCCATGTCAAATCAAAACATAGCTAACATCAAGGAACAATCATAAATATCAAGATTAGTTAGTGAAGAAATGCACGGTATTAACATTTACATAGGCCAACGACAACAGTAACGGTTCTAAAGTATAAAAAGTCATCTTCTCTAAACATAGCATCACTCGGATAAAGTAGAATATTATTACAAATATCCTTTATGTTACTAAACTTACAACACTAAGGAAAGTAGAAGTTTTCCCAACGTGTTTTCCCTCTACAACTAAGTGTCTTTTATTTTAAATATACTTTTGGAATCCAAATTTATTTAGTGTATTGTACACTTCATTTTATTGGTTGAATTTACATGGACATTGGGAGTGGTTTAAGATTAGCTGTGGATGAAATTCGCCTGAATGGACGGGTCAAATTCCTTTCAATGTCTTCCAAACTTTTTCCTTGCGTTTCAGGTACACTGTGATTGAAAAACATATTTTGTAGAAAAAATAACTTTTGTACATTTACTCTACTTTTTACTCACCAAAATATAATGAAAAATAATCCTACAAAACATACAAGCGCAAAGCAAAGAAATGCACTGTGACCTCCAAATACGGCCACAAATTCTGGGAAACTTTTGGTCACGATAAAAGTACAGCTCCAGTTGAATGCAGTAGCCGTTGCTGCCGCAGATCCTAAATAAAATACGAAAATTATGTAGCTCATTGACAGATGGAATTACTTACTATAATAGTAAATTATTAAATTACCTCGAATCCTTCCTGGAAATATTTCTCCCATCATTAACCAAGGAATTGGGCCGAATCTACATTAAAACCATTATATAATTGCATTTGTATCCTCATTAGGGAAATATAAACGGTCACTGCGAGTGAAATATTACAGTATTTTCATTTATTTTCACATGATAGGTTGAATAGGTTGGTGGTGGGTGTGCTTTTTGTGTACTTACCCAAGTGAAAATGCTACGACAAAGAGCATGAAAGAAATCAAGGGGATGAATCCTAGTCCTTCGATGGTTGTGGGTCGATACTCTTTGAGATAGAAAAAGATCCCAAGAGACATTAGGCAAATGAACATAAAAACGTCCGAGATGATGAGCAGAACTTTCCGTCCAAGACGGTCAATTAGAAGAGTTGCTCCAATTGTTGCTCCAATATTAACCTGCAGCGTACAATAAATTATAAGCGTAAATCTTCTGCACTGTACCTTGTGTTTCCATTTTAGTGTGCATTATTTTAAAATTTGCTCCTCACCAAACCAACAATGATGGTGGCCAAATTAGAGTCCACAGAGGATCCAGACATTTCGAAAATGTTTACAGTATAAAAAATAACAGCATTAATTCCGCTAAATTGTTGAAAAAACATTAGGCCTAAGGAAGTGAGCAACGGTTTGAGATAAGTTTTTCCTAATAGATCCTTCACTTTGGTGGCGTATTTAGTGGACAAAAGATGAGTATTCTTGATCTCGTTCAGTTCTGTTCGAATATCGGCTGAAGGTCCTCGGAGCCACTGAAGAGCTTTCTGAGCCTCTTCTTCTTTTCCTGATAATTTTATTATAAATCGTGATCTATTTAGCAAATAGTTTGGCCAATTTTCGATCCCAATTGTAGAAAATACTATTAGTATCCTTACCCTTTGCAATGTACCACCTCGGGGTTTCGGGGATGCAGAGCATGGCGAATAAAAATGGGAGGGACAATACAGCTCCCAGATACGCAAGGTGATTCCACCTCATATAAGAACTTGAAAGAAGGGAGATCCAAATGGATTTTATGTAAATTATTATTACATACAACATTTTCTTGTACCTAACTTTGTATGTTTATAATGAAAAAACAAAGGCACAAATTAACCATAACAAACAAATAATATAATCAATACTATTGCTGGAGTAAATCGTATCGACAGCTAAAAAATTTAAAAGTAACAAGTTAATCCAGGTTCAAAATCCAATGAGAAGTCCGACGTCAATTTCGATGTCCATCTATGCCGTCGGCAAAAAAATGAAATACAATAAGTGAGTATTTTTATAGGCATTGTTTTGTATATTATTTCGTTCACCTTTTCAGTATTCAACTACTGTTGTGTTCGCCATCTCAGCAATCACTGACCAATCCAATCCTTGATGCCACCTTTGGCCGTCGGCTGCTGGGGTCACCTCCTTTGTAAATTCCAATCCCGTAATAAATTCTGCAAATGTTTTGAAAAAAATGTCGTCTCTCTCGTCGTACGGGTCTACAATGGCGGACACCCGGTTCTCAACTCGAACCAAATAGCCGTCGGCTGTCCTGGCTCCAATCATCTCCAAAACAAACAAGGCCTTGTGCAGGATGGACTCCGGTTTGGTAGTCATTTTCACCATCTTCTTCCAGGTGGACTCCTGAAGGGGAGACAAGTTCGAAATAGAGGAGATGGTTCGGAGGATGTTCCTCTCTTCTTCAGTGGGGGTTGGTCGCCACATAAGTATCCCATCCCGATCCGTACTTATCTTGCCGACGGCAGCTCTGAGTATTGCGGTTGTTGGTGGTGCATGTCCCTTGGAAATTATCTTCTTGTTTTTCTCTGTTTTGAGGTTGTTGAGTGCGTCGTGGAGGGATTCGTTAATTCCAGCATAAAGATGTCCGGGTGCCCGTGGGGACAAGTAGACATGTGGCAGTGGTACTGCCACCAAATCCAAAGATGTCTCTTCTGAAAAAGGGGGACTTTTATTGTCAATTGGTCCTCCTTGGACGAACTGGATGCCATTAGTCAATAAAAATTCCAAAACGTGGGAAAGTGAAGCAGATCGCACCAACTGGTGATCGAATGGCAGGACTGTGTAGTTGGTGCCGTCGGCACGAGAAACATTCCGGAAGAAAGACAGCAGATCAATTCCAAGCTGTAATAAAGCATTACTATTTTAGTTTAGTTAAAGTAATATATTATATAAAAGATTAAATATAAGTACCCGTAAAGTATGACGCAGGCGGTCATCGTAGACGCCGTTGGCGAGTTCCTCAAATCGAACAATCAAGTGGGCGTCCTGGATGTCCAGATTGTTCTGTTGCAGAATTTTATGAAACACGGAACGCTGGTGTACCCAGGTGGTCCCAATAGGGTTGTTCCTATTCTTTGATTGGTGTTCTGGTCGAACTACTCCCAAAATGTCAATATGATCATCATCTTCATCCTCTCCCACGTCTTGGAAGAGGCCGACGGCCGTTACTTATTTACTCCAGCAATAGTATTGATTATATTATTTGTTTGTTATGTTGTTACTTATTTTTTTTACATTTTTTTTCAATATGTGCGTATTATATTAGAGAATTTATGACAAACTTAATTGGTTAAAAAGAATGACTGGTATTAACAGTCACTCAAAACGTACCCGGAAATGAAACAAATTAAAATTCCCATATTTCCAATAGTGGTTGGAAGCAGGCCTATTTATTGCAATGTTAAAATCAATATTGCCTCATCTATATCAAAATCTAGTTGGAAAGTACTTTGATAACATTGTGTTTTTTATTGTCACTTGCCAAGCGTCCCACGGACCTCGGGCTGAACCGTCTCAGCCAGGTAGACTGGAAGAGAGAGTGATGCGACGCCCACGCAAAATCCGGCGATGGCTCGAGCAATATAGATCATGTAAACGTCTGTTGCAAATCCGATTAAAAGCCACGCTATATGAAAAAAGTTGTTGCATGGATGCTTTAGTTGGGTAGTCATACATATGTTGAGATTCATTAGGTAATTTAAAGTGTACATACACAGTATAAAGGGACCTGAAGTGGCGAGAATTGTGCTTTTACGACCTAAAACCTCCACTAGCGTTCCTCCTCCTATTCCTCCAATTAGTGCTCCTAATGGGAGCAAACTACCTATCCAGGAAGCCTAAGAATAAAACATGGTAAATGTGACAAATGTTGCATCAACCAGGTCAATGCATAAAAAAAGTCAATAATCTCATCTCACCTCCCGACCCTCACTATCTATAATTAAGGTAGAGTTTCTTTCTGCAGTCATCGTTGGCAAAGCTGTTGCAGTGTAGGCCGAACCAAATCCTATAATCATGGAACCAAGTGATACTGCTATTGCTGCCATTACCTAAAACACAACAATTATTATATTTTAACATTAATTACTTGACGTCTTGTGCAGCACATAATTTACATTGTCACGAAATCTATACTTATCAGAATTTTGAATAGCCCAAGACAAATTTTACATTACATCATTCAAGCCATGTTTTTATTATCCATAAATTATTGACCCAACAGAATCAATAATAATCATTATTCAAGTTCATTAACATGTTGAACCGGCAAGAATATAGCTATTTATTGAATTGATGACTAAATAAATGATGGTTAGATTGAACTTGGACGCCTATTGTAAAATGTCATAATTAGGATGGATGGTGTGACTCGAGCACAAATGTTTTAATTAATTGGTTGCTGAGGGTCATTTTTCTTGCCAACTATCCTCTCGACTCTGTTATTCATCAATCATGCATTTAAATACGTATTACGTAGACCTCATGTATGTATGTGTACACTGTTCATTACGTAAAGTAAAATGATGTTCATAATTACAAATTGATCATCATACTGCATGAGAATATGAAATACTACATATGAGTCCTTAAGTTTGGTTTGAAATTGCAAAATTTCAAACGTTTATCCAAGAAGTGTAGGATATTTTGCTCTTACTGAATTTAGTCATTACTGAAAATCTGCATTAGAAAATCTACGCTAAATAGAACTGTGTGCACTTTCATTTCCCGTCGTAGGCAAAATGTAATAATCGCACCAGAGTCGTCCCACTACGACGATTTTATTTTTAGCCCGTGTTTTCCTCAATGTATAGTTCGCTGGATCACTGACATAGGAAATGCATGTCATGTCAGTACCTCGTGCGTAGAATAAAAGCTTATCAAAAATAAGATTATGCATTGCTTTTCGGACTATGTGTCAACGACAGTGTCAACTACAGTATCGTACAAGTACCTGAGAGAAAGTAGATTTCGCTGCTGCAGGTGGGGGAACGCCGGGCGGAAGTGGTATTTCCAAGTTGCAATGCGTATCTGATCTCAGCAACATTTTGAGTGTAGTTATTTAATAATAAAAAACAAGTGTTGTTTTGAGTCTTGTGATTATTAAGAAAGTCTATGAAAACTTATAATTGGACGTAAAACCACCAAAAACAAAGTCCTCCTGTGCACTCTGATGAAATGTTAGAACTGAACTAGAGGATTTCCAAGCAACTGAAACTGAACTGAATATGTTCTGAAATTAAAGCTAAACTTATACTCGGAGCCGATTTGGTTTCATAATGAATGAAATGAACTCAACAACCATGGAGCATCGTATCCACACAGCTATTCTCATTATTAACTAACTAGGGACCCTATAACTCGTGATGTTTTAAGACAAGCCTATCCACTGACAAGTCTTTTACTTGTATAGCTTAAAAGTGTATTTACTTGCAAGTTTTTTCCACTATGTATATTTTCCGTGATCGGGTGACAGACAGAGTTTCGTTGGCAAAATTCAGAGATTATTAGTCTCATTAATCATATAATAATTTTACAATTCTTATGCTTTTTAGAGTCGCATCAAAGTAGTTCAAATCGAGAATTCGGTGTAAACAGAGTTCTTGCAAACATCCCCAACAATAGCCATGAGTTTCTATAAACCAATCATTTGCTTAAGCGGTTACGTAACTACATGCTTAAGGAAATACAGATCAACATTAACTGACGTATAGTATCCAATAGAATTGACTTGAGACTTCATTTGAAGAAGTTGCATAACGGCATTTAATGTGACAACGCTGGTCATAAATTTATAAATTAGTAGTGATCCTTGATAACCTCACAGGTCTAACTTTTTATGGAGACTAAGATTGTCCTAACAATCCGTGTTAAATAGAGATCTTCAGAGAAACTACATATGCATATTAAATACGTGCATATGTATGTATGTACGCATATAAATATGTGTATGGGTAATAAATTGAGTTGCTGCAATAATACGGGATAATACTATGTATCTTTAGGAAATATGCCAGAATTTAGCAGTTTTGGGTAGTATAAAGCTTAATTGCAGCATAATAAGGCTATTTTCTGTTTATTATTATAAATCTGTCTATAAGTTTTAAACAAAATTGTTGACTTTTCTAGTCAAAACTCATATAGGTAAATGTATAGTGTATGTGCATGTGAGCAGTTGATAATTCAATTCTGACTCGAATTTATAATACACACTGAAATAATCGTTATGGATGGCTCGAAAAACTCGGATATTCAATAAGGATGTTTTCATAACTCACGCAATTAGATGAAAATTTAGAAGGGTGATGAAAACCGATGGATAAAATTAACTTTACATTCTTCTCAACAAATTGCTTAATGACCTTCCAGTTGTAGCTAGAATTTAAGTCATTAATCCAAAAACTCATTGAGATTCTACGGGTGGATCCCTTTACTATACATGTATATGTACGAGTATGTATTTTAATTAACATAATCTCCAATGACACAAATTACCGTACCGAAGTGTACCGTAATCTACCATTTGGGTCGATTTTTACTACAACTAAGTAGTACTAATGGTTATCTAATATGTACAACTTTTCTTATATCTATAAGAGAGTTTTGGATTGCATTGATTTACGTACCTGTGGCCAAATTTGTCCAAAAATAATACTACGAGATGGATTACTCGATTCTAACGGTGGTGATGGAAAGTTGATTTTGATATGTTTTTCATCATCTGGTGCAAGTGGTTGTAAAGTAACTGATGCTAGAATTGACGTCTTTTTCTCGATTTCATTATTGAGGAGTTTTGTGGTAGACAGATCAGATCCATCGGAGGACTCTCCCGATGATGACGAGATCGAGGTGATAGTTTTCTCATTTTCCTCTAAAAGTGGGATATCTGCCTCAATTTCAGTGAATTCCTTAACATCGGGAATGACCATGAGCATTGTGTCCGTGGTTTGGTTTGGACTCGGAGACATTGTTGTTAGTTAATTGAAGAAATTTGCTGTAAATGTATCTGTGTAATACATAGTATGATCAGTGCATTTTCTTCTGAATATTACTTGCGGGTCAGGTTTTGAAATGATGACAACACTGACCTTTGGTTTGGTTGGTTTAAAAAGTATAGAACTCAGTAACAACAGCAGGTTGGTGTCATTGTGAAGGTTCACTGCTTTGACGTAATCTTGGAAAAGAAAACAGCCCTTGACTTGTATTGTTGGAAATGCTGAATAAGGTTCAATTTCCCAAATATATTTACTTGGCCTTAATTCTTCAACGGACCTGCAAATAGCAAATGGAAATAAATGAGCTATTTATTTACATCGTTACATAGAATATGACATTGTGGTTCTTTTCCACCTAGTTTTAAGTGCTTATGCACATCATTCCATGTCATTAATAACGGAATAGTGGCCAACTTGGAGAATGACACAAACTAGAAATATTTCCAAGCGACATCCTTGGCCTTATTTCTTACCTAAACAAGTCAAATTTCTTTATCAACTATGACCGTTAGTAACTCTACACTACCATTAGTGGGGGCTAGTTTTTTATCATTAATAAGCCAATAATTTGGGATTCCTGAGTAGTGTGCATTGGGTCATTGTTAAGGTTAGACCTTTGGTTTTATTGACTGACTGACTGACAGGCAGACAGCGTTCATCCACTTTGGATAAAATGCATACCTTTTTGCCAATCTGTCTAGACACTCAATGGATTTGTCCCTTGTTCTTTTACTGAACAATAATAGAAGACCCAACATGGTAGGTTAATCTCTTTGTAGCGTCACTGTTAATGAAAGTAATGAAAGACCCTAAAAATTGGAAATCAACAAATTTGTTGACTAGAAATACCATCATGAAATGTTTGTTTTTTACTTATCGTTTTGTGGCCCATTCTAGTAATGAAAGTGAGAGATACGACCAGTACATACTTACAAAATGGGACAATATTTATTTTTTTACTGTTTAAAATTTTTGTACGTCAACAACTTAAATCCTAGCAATTTTGTTAGCCACTTAACTCCCAGAGCTAAACTCCATTGGTTATCTGATCTCTAAAGGAAGTCGGGATGTGAAAAGAGTACACGCGTTGATAAAATGATCGCCCCGTGTTCTTGTTCACTTCTCCGATTTCGGTGAATGTGCAATAAAGGCAAATAATAATAATAACGGCAGAATTACACTCGCTCACTCGCAACCTTCACTCCTTCAGCTCGTGTTGGTGACCTCACTTCTGGTGAACTAGATTTATCCAGTTCTAGCCACTGTCAACTGTCGCAATAAAGGGTTCATACAATGACGTTACCACGGATGAAGGGAATAGCATGAACTGACATTAAAAACTTTTAATGAGACGTAGACGTTGGGGTGAAGAAACAAGTGCGAGGCAAAATGAGATTTTCCAACCACTCTCGAAATGCCAGTGTTATATTTTCAAAGAATGAAAGTAGAACATCCCTGTACGCTGTTGAGCTTCGATAATACATTACGAAAAATCATGAGTACTTATATGAAAGATTATTAAATCTACCAACAGTATTTCACATTAATGCTCAAATTAAATATTACGTATAGATATACCAAATTCATTGGAGAAAGTAGTGGGTTGTGATACAGGTGGTTTGATTCACTTTGACACTATGTTTTTGGTTGTCCATTTAATCACTATTTAATCCTGATTTGAAACTTTGAAACAAAACTTGAATTTTTGCTGGGTCACTGGAGTGAAAAAAGTTGTGTAACATGTAACGTTGTGAAAGCTGAGTTAGCTGGTTGGGCAGAGTTGCATTCAAATAATGACAAGGGGATCCGGCATCGCCTGGCCTTTATATATGGGCAAGTTCTTCAAGCTTTATATTACTTGGTTGATGGACAATCCAGCCCAACTACTCAGGTTTAGCTTGGATAAATTTTCTTAACAGGATGAGCTAGAATTTTTCGAAGAGAACAAAGAATGCTCGTTGTGAACCTTAAAATTTATATACTTAGGAGAGCATACAAGTACTTTATTCTTTGTAGCAGGTAGCAAATCTCATAATGAAGACGTAATTTTCTCTACATCACAATTTCACTTCCTATTGGCTGTGCTACCCGAGAAAATACTGATAGGAAAAGCTTCATACGTCTGTGTTTTTTTGTTTGTGCACAAATTTTGCTAGGTTGCTGAAATAAGCAACAACCACGTAAAGCGTGTTGGCGATCACGTAATATGTCTGTTGTGATGTGAGATAAACAGGGTTATTTCAACGATTTAATTCTTCCCTGAAAGTTGAACCATGAGCTACCGATAAGTTGGTTAGTTACATATTCCAACGAGTCTGGGCGTTAGTATTGTATAAGATCTGTGTTATTATCTGGATCAAGAGCTCTCTAGGCCATTTTTCGCATGTACATATGTGTGTCAAGTTGTTGGCTTTGTTGTATGAGTTTCACAGAAGGATGTTGTCAGATTGCCAAAAATGCTTGGATTCTGGGACTATTTTGCATTTGAAGTTGATATGCACTTTGTTTACATCATGATAACCTGCATGCGTCGTTGGACATTCTATGCTTCCGATGTTGACCTTCCTTTATTTATCTTATATTATTTCCACGGGTGCAGTTGGGGATTGATTGTCGCATACATATTTTTCTGAACTGAAAGTTGTGTTTGTCGAGCGCAGACATGAAGATGTGATGACGTTGGGTGACGTTATTTCTTATCCATCTTGCTCTGAACTGAGAACACCTCGTTCTTACAATCATCGCTGTATGATTTGTAAACATGCATTTGATCAATTAAACCGATGTGATGGTTGTTTTACTAAATATTTGACGTTGTCATATTTGTTATTTGTCAAAGATATGGCACTGTCTACGTAGGCTTTCATTTTCTTCGTGGGAACACACTTGAAATGTATTTATCCAATGGTGCATGGAATGGAATTTTTTACAAGAAACTACAATATCCACTGAATATGGATTCATTAGTAAAACAAAGGGTATTTCTACTCTGATGTTGATGAAAGTTTTAGTTTTAGCTCGAGCCAGGGCTTAAGGAATGGTAATGTTCGTCTGTCTGTGACTAGCGAACTTAACCAACCAATCTTAAAATGAAATGAAAATCTCGATAACTCCTTGAATTAGTTCGAAGATGGACATGATCAGTCCAGTGGTTGACCGGCGGAGGGTTATAGATATGAACTGGCATGAATATTTTCTTCTAGGGACGGAAGGGGTCCAAAAGCGTGGTCTATACCCGCCCCGGTTTTAGAAATTGCTCGAAAAAAACTGAAATTTGACATGAAGATGAAAGTGCATATCAGATTTACGAGTAAATATGAAGTAAATCTGATACTAGGGGACGAACAGAGTTGCTGCTTAAAACAGCTAAAATTGCTAAAGCTTGATAAACTGAAAATGATACGCACTGTGTTATAAATTTTGATCAAAGGTGTGAAGAACAGCAACCCCTTGGGATTTTTGAAATTAATAGAAGAATTACTGACTCGGGCTATATCAGGTCTTTTTTGTACGCATAGAAAATTTTGTAAAGCTTTACTCACTCGTTGTTGATCTGGCGCAGAACTTTCCACGTTTACAAAATAAGACACGTGTATAGATGAACTGATGACCATTGTGCATCCTGTTTTGCTCTATTTGATAAACACTTCATTCATTAATTAAATACAATTTAATCCAGTTTCGAGCAGTTTAAATTTAGTACGCAACTTGTACGTAAATGACGAACATCATTGTTACATAATCTCATAAGTACATATTCTTTTCTCTGGAACCACGACACTGGTTTTTAATCGAAAGGTTCTTGAATGAACTTTTAGATATACTTATCTTTAGATTAAGTACTTACTCCACACTTTATTAAGTGACTCTATCCGTCCTATCCCCCCCTAATATGCATACATAGTCTGTGTATCTACACTATCCATCACAAATGCTAAATTACGCCACTATGTAGTGCATGATCAATGTACTTCTTAGTCCCAATCTCAATCATATAATTTTTTACAATACTGCCAGAGAAACAGTTGCACGACCTCTTAACTGACCAATATTGTCCCCATCGACCTTAGCTGTTGCATTAACAGTGTTAATTGAAATTTAGCAAGATTAGGGTTAATATGGTATAAATTGGTCAAGCAGGACTTAATGTGCATGAGCAACTCTGAACGGCAGAAACCGAGATGGGTCAAAGCAAAAAAGGGTCTGTGGGGCACCACATTACAAAAAATTAGAAATTTTGGCATAACTTAACAAGCATTAGTGGAAAATTTGTTTTTCTATAAAATTTTTCGATATCTCACCTCTGTGACCTGTTGTTAACGGGTGAAAACCCTATTAATAGGAATACCTTGTCTATTTGTATGGACAAGTTGAGAAAGGATACGAATTTGCAGATGCGGTTATCACCATCGTGTTTCTTATTCGCCCGGACGTTGCAATTTTTTATGTGGGGGTCGTGGGGCACACCCTCTTCGCTGGGGTGTGATAGTCTAAATTTGAAAATAATATTTCAATTTTTGGATATGTCGTTCATGGGAGCGTTCTACATTCGATGAGACTATGTTGGGTGTGCCGGAAAGCCGTTTCCGGCAACATTTAAGGTTTTGAAGGATGTGAATAATGCTATAAATGTCTAGGGGACATGACGGGAGACATTTTTGAAGGGGCGTGGCGACTCCCCACGGTGATGTGAGATATTGAATGCAAAATGTACGTAAAAAAGGGGCGAAACTACATGGCCCATGTAGTTTCGCCCCTTTTTTACGTACATTTTGCATTCAATATCTCACATCACCGTGGGGAGTCGCCACGCCCCTTCAAAAATGTCTCCCGTCATGTCCCCTAGACATTTATAGCATTATTCACATCCTTCAAAACCTTAAATGTTGCCGGAAACGGCTTTCCGGCACACCCAACATAGTCTCATCGAATGTAGAACGCTCCCATGAACGACATATCCAAAAATTGAAATATTATTTTCAAATTTAGACTATCACACCCCAGCGAAGAGGGTGTGCCCCACGACCCCCACATAAAAAATTGCAACGTCCGGGCGAATAAGAAACACGATGGTGATAACCGCATCTGCAAATTCGTATCCTTTCTCAACTTGTCCATACAAATAGACAAGGTATTCCTATTAATAGGGTTTTCACCCGTTAATAACAGGTCACAGAGGTGAGATATCGAAAAATTTATAGAAAAACAAATTTTCCACTAATGCTTGTTAAGTTATGCCAAAATTTCTAATTTTTTGTAATGTGGTGCCCCACAGACCCTTTTTTGCTTTGACCCATCTCGGTTTCTGAGGGGTACAAACACAGACACAGAGTTGCTCAGGTACACAACTATTCAATTCAATAATATTCCAGTCTCATCTAGAATTAACTGGATCATAATATGGCAACTTTCTAGGCCAAACTACTCGTACATTATGATATATATTTATGGGATGAAACGCTATTAAGCGAAGACTTTGCCCGTCCGTCAATAACAAGAGAACGCAGCAAGATGATCGAAATCGGTTTGCGACATCATGCATATGACCCAAAGGGGAGGATTCTATCAACTCTTGGGGTCAATCTGACCACTCTCCCTCCAGGTCAGGGGGTGTGGTCACAATTTTTTGGGAGTTACTTGTTTCACTCTATATGCTGCATTTCGCTTGCAACGGTTTATTATTACTCGTCAGTGGTTGACAGCTAATAATAGTATTTTTAAATTTTTTTAGATGCCTGTCTCAGATGTCAAGGGGATGCAAACAAGTCGGCAAATGGAAAACAAGCTGATTGTGTAGTCGTGTGGGGTGAATGTAACCACTCCTTCCACCATTGTTGCATGTACGTAAAATGCATGTTTGATAGTACATAGAGTACATTCTACTACATACTAAAAATACTTGTCTAATTGGTGCTATTTGATGATGAAGGTCGCAATGGGTTCAACAAAATCGTCGTTGTCCTCTTTGTCAGAAGGAGTGGTCTGTCCAACGAATGGGAAAATAAGATGGTTATGATTGCAGATGCTTATAGATTTCTCTTAACCATATATATTTTAAAATATACAAATAGTGATTGATTACTTACTTTATGGGTACTCCTCAATAAATGATTATTGTATACTAAATGTTCATCTTTCATGTTATTAATTTATTATATATACTGGTTATTAAATATTGTAGAATTCGCCAGCTCTAATAGCATTCCATGTAAATGGGAACTTGCGTGCATTTTACAAAATTTTCACTGGCAATAAGCTTTCACAAATGAAAAAGGGCTGGTTGGATCAACATTAATGAAAGTAAGATAATAAGTAGTAAAGTTGTAATAGTTCTGATAATTTTATGTTGCTGGGACCTGGGGGAGCCCAAACTCATCGACAGGAACTCCATCCTAGAATTTTTGAACACATAAATTGATATTGAACACGCAGTTAAGAAACTCGTTGATATGCAAGTGTCAAATATACGTACCGTATTTCTAACAGCACCGGGTCTTGAGGGCTCCTTATCTGGAGCATTAGGAGCATGAACAGCTTCGTCCAAATATGAGGTGTCATCATCAAGTGCAATTTCATCACCCAGTGCATCCAATTCGGCCTCCAACTCGTCTTCGTCAACATCAGGGATATTGTAACTGCGCCCCAGTGCCTCCTGTACATCCTCAGATATCTCAAGAACGTCTGCCAATTCATCTTGCAAGTCCTGCAAATTTGATATATTTTTATAATGGTTGTAAATAATGATGGTATAACGTATGTTAATAAATATCATAAAATCCTCGCCTCAATTTTATCCACATCAATCTTTTTAAACTCTTTTTTCATTTCTTTAACTCCAGCTTTCATCCCAGCCACGACAACTTGGGTGTCCTTTGCAGTCTGCAACGCCATAGTTGCTTGTTCCATGTTGAAGGATTGTGATCTAAAACTGTCTGACTGATTATCGAACCTGAAAAAAAAATCATAAAAAACACGTTCAAACATTGAACTATGTAAATGTTTATCCATAATAATAAAATAAATTACATTTTCTTTCGTTGCAGAATCCTTAGAGCCTTTTGCTTTAAAGCGTTTTTCGCCGGACCATCCCTCATTTTCTTCATTTGTTCTCGAATTTTTCTCAACTCGCCTTCACACTGTGCTGCCTTTTTATCCATATCTTCAGCTCGCTTGTCCACCTACACAATTTATAAGTCGACCAACAAAAAATTACACTTACAAATAAAAATGTCTCTGAATATGATTTAAGTATAAATAACTCACATTTGAAATACAAGCCCCCAGATCAGGAGGGGGTGCCTTGTCCTTTCCTTTTCCAAAGAGACGATTCATTTTTACAGTATTTTTTAAAGAAAAGTACCAATTAAAGACAAAGAGGGGACAGTAATGAAATGAACTTAATTTGTTGATTTATGTTTATGATTGAGACAATGAGACGTATTGGGACGAAATTATTGACGTATTAGTTGGTGTTAAAACAAGCCTTTATATTGTGAACGGATATGAAACTATGAATTTCAAGATTTTTCAAGTTTAAAATAATTTTTCAGATTTAGATTGACAAAAAGCAAGGAGTAAGCTTCCTAAAAACAAGAACAGATGACAAGTTTGCAATGTTGTTGATCGAGTGAATCACCCACTTCAAAAGAATCTACTACACCCAGCTTTCTAACGACACGTAATGCTCATGGGGGAACTTGGTATTCGTATGGATTATTATGTGACGTCAGGTCAGATCAGATAATGAGGAATGTCATTATTAGTCATTACAAGTGTTTAATTAATAATTATAATTAAAAGTAGCACAAGCAAAAGTCGGAAAATCCATATTATATTGTGATTTATTTCATTTCCATAATTTCATACGCTTTACATACTTTTGTACAATTTTGTCCAAATCTCATATGGTATAACTTTTGTACTTATTAGTACTTATCAGCAAGAGTGAATGGCTTAACTTTCTGTTTATCATCGTTTTTGGCTCCTACTTGCTGCATAAACCTGAAAACTGTGTAAATTAGCCAGCAGTTCAAGAGGGTTGTTGTAACTGCGATTAGGACAAGTACATAGAATAGCTCAGGTGAAATTATTCGAGATCCGAGCACGGAGAATGAAGCAACGCTTGACGCCATCAAAATTCCCATTTGACCTTCGTACCAAGCATTCATTTTCCAAAAATTTTCCTGGTTTGCAAATTATCAAAAAAATGAGCACCATTTGCAGTGGAATATTTAGTTTTAAGTTATTAATGTCTGAAAATTGATATAGTACCTGCTCAACTCCCTGCATCAACTTGGCACACAGGACAACTTGAATGATCCAATAAATTGCAAATAAGTATGTCCACGATCCATAAACTAAGATCAATTTCAGAATAATAATATAAAGAGTGCACGATTAGAATTAGCATAAGGTGAAGGTGTGTACGAAATATCAAACATACTGAAACGATTAATTAAAGGCCAATCATTTGTTATTAAAATCCCTGATTTGTCAGCATTGTAAAGTGATGTAAAAAATGTAATGTATTTTTGTCTAAACTCGAGTGACGTGTTCTCATCTAGTACTGCTTCGTAAAATTGTTCATCCTTATCCAAAACGACGTACGCGATAGATAGACAAGGACTGATTAGTATTATGCCTGAAATCACCTATTAAAGATCAATAAATGGTCAATTGTATAGCAAAATGTTTCTTGATGTTTATACATATCTACTGAATTTACCCAATATATGAATGAAATAACTGTCGCTCTCGTCTTATGCGAGCATTTCGAGTACCCAGCTATTGTGGGTGACAATTTTATTTTGTCGTTTCCCATAATTTGCAACGAAATTGAAAACCTATAGAATGCAGACAAAATCTACCATATGATGCTTACTTAATAATTACTACTAACAAACACTGACATATTACCATGAAAAGATGAACCTGTCTCGCAAGATGAAGTTGGAGGTATGTAGATCCCAATATTTTAAAGGTTAGTCAATGTCATTGTTGTAAAAAAATATGCATGTAACATGGTTTTATATGCTGCTGCTAAAACACGCTTCTGCTTCTAGTGCATGATGCATCCCATCAACCTTTGCAAATTCTAACTTCTTCAGAAGATCACATATGGGATTTAAGTCCTGTAAATCCTATTTTTAAATGTCTCTTTTGCCTACATGGTTGTCCAAGTTTCTGTAAAACAGATATGAGCTTTATTCAATCAATGTGATGAAATTATCAAATTAATGGTTCCATAAAGTATTTCCAATCTAATGATTGATTCAGCGATAAGTGTCGATTGAGAATATATGCACAGATACAACTGACGATGACAATGACATTGCGTAACGATGGGTATGAGGTTGAAGATTTGATTGACAATTATCAAGGTAGATATTGAGATTGATTAAATTTATTGGTCTGAATATGAGACAATGGGACAGAAATATGAGGCAGAATCTGATAAGTTAATTGTCCAACTAGTTGCTCGGTGGTCTTCGATTAGGACAGAACTTGGTGCTTGAAGTTTTTCAACATATATCGAAATGAAGTCAGCTTTGATTTTAGTAGTGCTTCTTGCAGCTAATGTTGCAAAAAGTCAAATTCTGGATCCAGATGCAAGAGTCACTGTTCCAGGCCTTGGCCCGATCCAAGGGCTCACCTGGCTTACTTATTCACTGGAGTCACCCCGGAAGTTCTACGTGTTTCATAGTAATTTTTATTTCTAGTTTAAAACAGTATGTTTAATCCCTTTAGTAATAAAAGAAGCCCAAATTAAAGCTGCCAACTTAAAATTTTAGGCATCCCATATGCACATGATACAGCCCAAGGGAATAGGTTCAAGGTTATTTTTGATACAAAATTCATTAATTTTTATCGTACTACATACTAAATGTATTTCGCATAAATGTGACAAACACTGTAAATGACGCAGCCCTCTGTCCTTCGAGAAGATCCACTAACCGAAGATGGGAGCGACTTTCTCGCTATCGACCCTTTGGTTGTCTGCCCTCAGGGTATGTTCACTAAGGCCAAGGACATGAACGCATCGACCGCCAACCTCTTCAACATCCTCAAAAAAGGTCTTTGGAAGTGGACAGAGGATGAGGACCCAATCGATAATCAACCAAACGCAAGGGAAGATCAAAATAAGCCGAACTGGCAAGAAACAGAAGATTGTCTCGTCCTTAACATTAATACACCAAAGGTTAATCTTAACTACATGCATAAATCTATCATTTATCATTGTGCATTAGTTAAGTTTTTTTTACTTGCTTGTTTCACAACTCTTATCTAACTGCATATTAGATCCCAGCAGACGGGGAAGAACTGAAAATGCCAGTCATATTTTTCATCCATGGTGGATCAAGTACTCAGGTATTCCTACACCTTCCACAATAATGCACAGTCCAAGATAGTACACTACCTAATTTACATATAATTCCGTAATGCTAAAAATAATGTGTGGGAAACTCAGGTCTGGGGAGCTCCATTCATGGGTCACAAATTTATGAAGCACGATGTGGTATGAATATGTCATATATAGAAAAATACATATAAATGAATACATGTATGGTCATATGCATAATTATGTATCTACAACTTGGCATTGTTTTATAGGTGCTTGTAACAATCAATTATAGGTATGTTTTTATAATTTTTTGTCGTAAATTTCTTCAATTGTTAAATTGAATTGAGTTGGATTTCAATTGTTGAATTTGACACATATGTAACTATATATTTGTGTAATGTAAATAATTTTTTGTCAGGTTGGGGGTTTTGGGTGCTTTAAATTTGGGAATAGGTAAAATTAGGTAGAAAATAAGTAAAATAAAAAGTGATATATGTGGTAAAATTTGTGAATAGATGATGCTCCAGGCAATGCTGCCATGTACGACACTCTTACAGGTATTCAAATCTCTATGAAATAATTATTAAGATTTTGTGAGAAAGCTTTGATCACCATAAATTTGCAGCACTCGATTGGGTCCATAAATACATTCACCATTTTGGAGGAGTAAGATAATAGGATAATATCCAATATAATTTTGCTACTGTTGCTCTAACTATGCATAACAATTAAAGGATAAAGACAGAATTGTTGTCTATGGTCATTCTGCGGGAAGCATGATGGCGTCCATGCTTTTATTTTCTCCCCTCGCCGAGGGAAAATTTACGGGAGTCATTGGAGCATCCGGCTCGTATGCATTTATATTTTTATGAACAATGTTAGGTGCTACATATATTCCATGTTTTATCATTTTCGTTCTAGTGCATTAGCAACATGGGGCACTGCAGAGTATAATTCTTTGAAGCATCATCTTGAGGTTTGCTTCCTTGCCGGTTGTTACCCTGAATTCGTTGAAGGTGAGGAACCTGCTGAAAATACCGATTATAACGCAATTTACGCCTGCATGCGAGACACAGAGGAAGGAGTGCTGAGACAGGCTCTTAGCAGATACTCGGTAAGAGATAATTTGTATCCATCTATGAATCCTATCAATTTTAATCTGATAAATGTACTAATTATACAATTAATTTGTTTACAGAACAAACACCAGAAGGCTGGAGGGTTAGGCTTCGATGCAAAAGTATGCAAATCTTCATAAATTTTTTGAATAAGGAAAACTTAATTCCTTGATTCTTTGTCACAAAGGTCCCCAGTGTCCAGCACAGCCCACTGATTACAATCCCCAAATTCTTGGAAGAGATGCCGGCTGAAATTTTAATGAAAGGAAAGCAAAATCCTGCCAATTTGATAATGGGGGCCACGAGACACGACGGCAGTTTCGCATTTGAAGGTAAGTGACTTGTGACAAGTACTAAAGTATAGGAAATAATGCAATGTTGGGCTAAAATATTTATGGATTTGTTCAGATGTTTATAAGAAGTACTTGGTAGAAAACAATTTGGTAGATGACGTAGACTTTATGAAAAACGATCTTCTGAACCAAATGATAAAAATCATGAGTAAGAAATCACATGCATACTTAAGTAGCTAAGCACGAACTTGTTCATTACTCATTTAATTCAACATTGTGCAAATAGAGGCAACGGATAAATCGGGTGCGTTTCAGCATATAGTGGGAAAAACTTATTTCGGAGATGCCATGAAAAATGGAAAATTTGAAGAGATGCTTCCCGGACTTATTGACGTAATAAAATAATGCCAATTTTATTTATATCAAGTTTGCTTATTGTGTTTTTTTGTAACAATGTAGTTGACCTCCGTTTGGGGATTCAAGGCGCCTGCCTGGGAATTAGTCGAAAAGCATGCTAGCGTGAATCCCAATTCATTCTACTATGCATTCGATTTTGCTGGATTTTGGTCGACTTGCGATATGGGAGGAGAGTCCGAAATTCCCTGTGGTGTTCCTCACATTGGTCAGTACATTAGTTTTAACAAAGAGCTGAAAGTAATAATTTTAAGACGAGTCACCAACAAAAGATCATAATTGATTTGTTTTTTTGTGTTTCAGATGACATGTCTTTCACCTTCCAAATTTGTAAGTCATTTGATAAAGTGCGAAAATAGAATTAATGGACACAAAATAATATCAATTATGTAATGTGTTTTAGTCCCAATAATCAACGAAGACTATCAAGTGGCGGAGCGCCTTGTGAAGTACTTTGTGAACTTTGCATACAACGGGTAAACATATTTACATATTTCCGCATAAGTACCTACATTTTTACAAGTTGCAAATATACAAAATATGGGTTGGTGCCATTTCAGAACTCCAAATAATGGATCAGAGCTCTTATTCTGGGAACCCTATGATCCGATGACCCATCCATTCCTGAAAATTGATGCGACAGATTCAATTGGATATGAATGTCGAGATTCCTGGATTGATAATGCTCTAGAAATCGTTTAAAATTATTTTTCCATTAAGACATCACAAATATATTGCTAATATTCTTTAGTATATATTTAGAAGTTGAATAAAAATGTCGGACCATTTAACATGAAAAATTGATTGATGAGATTAAATTCATAATTGATTTATTGATGGAAATAAAAAGGTGATGAGATTGTCATTGGCACGAGGTTGTTAAAGGTTAATTGTCAATTGAATCATTGGATTTAATAGATTCTTCTGGTAAGGTTACCATATATTGCATTATCTTGATAAGCATATATATACACATAAGAGGAGTAGCCATAACCCAAGATGTGCGCATTGTATTATTAAAGAATTGCGAAACACTACACAACCATTATATCGAAATGGGTTGGGTTTTCTCGATTGCAAAACAATTAAATGCGTCCATGTCATGCATAACATAACATTTAACCAATACTTTCAAGTGTCATTTATGTCACGATAAGCTACCGAACGATTTCAACTACTTGCGTAGCTGTGTCACCCTGTCTACATTTGAAAACACTGATATTTTAAGGAAACAATGAGAATTGGTCAATGCACTTGAAAAAATTGTATTTTGATAAACGACGGTATCTTGACATATAAAATATGTAAATGTGTTGATTTGATACGAAGATGATGTTCGATAGAATGTATTGACCATCAATAGATTAATCCAATCAGTAATTAATCCAACCAATGACCAATCATAATTCAAAATTCAATGTCATACGCCCAGTTCGGGTTTGGACTTTGTGTGAAACGGAAGATAAGCAACTTAAGCATGGGAAGGTGGGTCTTAGTAGGGGGGCTGTTGTTTGCTGTGCTGGCCTTGACCTGGGGTCAAGATGGGGGCCAAGTACATGTCGTCCATCCTATATTGGGAACAATCGTTGGGCGACAAGGAGTCACTTCGAGGGATCAAACTCCATACTGGACCTTTCATGGAATACGTGAGTTTCTATTTATTTACCACTCGACATTGAAATAGTAAGTGCATTTAAACTATATTCTATTTTTGATTTACAGCCTATGCTGATGAGGAGTCTTACACTGGCGTAAATCGATTCAAGGTATAATTTTTTCTCAGTATTTTTACACTTATAATATTAACTTGTCATTGTAAGTGGATTTTCCTTCCTGACTATAGCCTTCTGCAGTGCATAATAAACCACTGACTACGACCGGTGAACCCTTTGTCGCAAACAGAATATTGGTTTTATGTCCCCAACAAGAGCTTTTTGATTTATCTGGTATAATTCCCAGAGAGAATGAAGGCACTGAAAATTCAGAACTACTTTCAAAAGCTCAAGACCTTCCCCAAATTTTCCGAGCAATTCATCAACAGAAAAGAAATCTTTCAGAGGTTTTCCGACAATATAGCAGTTCGGAAGAAAGGAAAAGAGCATTCCAGGAAGAGCCCGTCAAATCTATGGGAAACGAGACGTGGTAAAATGCCCATGCGTTTTATTAAGTAGTTATACAAAATTACTGCGAAATGCTTGGCTATAATGTAAATCTTATGGTTTTCACATAGCCTGACAATTAATATTAACACACCACACATTCCTGAAAATGGTCAGAATCCAGAACCAGGTGAACTTCTTCCAGTTGTTGTTTTCTATCACGGGGGAGGCTCCGATTCAGTGTGAGACAAATAATCATCTAATGGTTTACGTGTATTAACTTTTTTGAAAACATTTTTTCGTAACATACGAACTAATCAATTATGAATATATCCAACAAGGTGGGGATCGGCATTTACCGGACTAAGAATGTTGGAGGACCCCGTTGTCCTTGTGACAATGAACTAGTAATTATTATTTACGGAAAACTTAGTCAATTCATAAAATGCCAAATTATTCTGATGGATAAACTAAAATTTAGCAGATTGGGCGTCCTTGGAGCATTCAATCTCGGTACGGATGATGCACCTGGTTGTGCTGGATTATACGATTCTATCACAGTGCTGGAATGGGTTCAGGCAAATATCAAGTAGGAAATGAGATCTAAAATGCGTGCAAAAATAACAAGGCATACGTTAAATACTTGATATTTAAATTACATCAATTAGATATTTCGGTGGTGACCCCGGCAGAGTCACAATAAGCGGCCAATCTGCCGGTTCCATGATTGTAGCAAATCTTATGACCACCCCTCTCACAAAGGATAAGAACTTGTTCCATGGAGTTTGGGGTAAGTACAAATATGTTGAGTAGTTTCTGGCTCATTATTTATATGCACCAAAACAATTAACATGGGTATTGTGTTTAGGATTTTCTGGATCAGCGATAAGCGTGTGGGCAGTCTCTAAGCACCCAAGCCTCGATAATCATCTTCGAATCGCCGAATTCTGTGATTGCTACCATCCAGACGCTCCTGAAGATATCCCCACCATCACGACATGCATGCAGACGGTCAGTTTAGATGGCCTTGTGACTGCATTAGCATTATGGAAACACGAAGAAGAATATGCTGGAAGGCTGGGATACGATGCTCGGTATGAAAAATTGCTTAATTTTTATCAGTTTTTTCTTGTATTTTGTATCTACACGGTATATCATTCTAAACAGGATGCCGTCAATTCAGGCAAGTACTGTGAAAAATTTATATTTACAATATATGTTTAAATTAAAATCTGCATGCATATTTAATACAGGCTCCGAGTCTTACTATTCCTATTTTCATGCCAAACCATCCTTATGAAACGTTGGAGAAATTGGAGCAACGGAATGTATCTGTTGTTCTGGGAGCAACTAGGTGCGGTTTGACTTTAATATTATAATATATTTTTAGATATAATTTTAAGCGACATAATGCTTAAATACAGACACGATGGCTCTTATCCACTGGACGATATCTACAACAACTTTTTGAAACCCCACGGACTGGACAAGAACGAAACCTTCCTAAGAAACGATCTACTTCCAACCCTGCTTAAAACTTTGGGTACATAGAAAACAAATATTTGTAATGGTCAAATGCATTTGTGAAATCATGAAATATTTATTTAAAATCATTTCAGGAATTAGGGATGACAGTGGCGAACTTTATCACACCATGGCCAACACGTATTTGGGTGAAGCTGCAGCGACTGGGATCCTTGAGGATAAGCTACCTGGACTGTTAGATGTACGTGAATCTGACAAATTTATATACTTTTAAACTAATATTTTCCATTCGTATGACAATAATTTCATAACACTTGCATTTAGATGGTTACTGTTATGGCCTTCAAGGCTGGAGAATTCGAGACACTCAAATTCCAGTCTAGGTTGACGAAACATGCATATTTTTACAGCTTGGATTATGTGGGACGTTGGAGTTTGTACAACTTTTTATGGGGGAATATGTATGAATCATATGCATAGAGTCTTGTATTCAAATAATTGAATGTAATATAATTTAATTCAATGCTTCTTCAGGTACATTCCTGGTGGAATATGTCACACGGTATGAATTACTTAATCATTAAATGTGCCGTGAACTGTATTTATTGTAATTTTCGTAATTTGGTACAGGATGATCTGATATATTTCTTCTGGCTTGGACCTCTCATTAATGAAGACATGAAAGTTAGTCGAAGATGGATGAAGTACTTTATAAATTTTGCTTATCATCGGTGAGATAGTAATATGGACTAAGGACGATAAAATGAAATCAAGATTCCATTTTTCAATTGAATAATATGTAATCAGAGATCCAAATGGCCCAGCGGGCTCACCTGTCGTTTGGGAACCGTACGACGCCCTGACCCATCCATATCTCAAACTCGGTCGTCACGACAAGAATGTGCACGATGCTCCGGATCACTGGCTGGGGGCAAGTGCAGAACTCTTTGTTGACTGGACACCTACTTCGGAGCCAACATCGACGATGTATTTTTATGATTGGATTCGAAGTTCAAGTTTATTCAAAGATTTCTAAGCCCTGTTTCTATTCTGCATAAAATTGTCGTCCGTAAATTTAAAATTGGAATGCAAATTAAACATGCGAAATTGTAAATTACAAAACATAACTTTGTTATCTTTGTTCTGGATCAGCATCTTCAGTAAATGCCACCATTCTACTCTTTTTTGTCTTTTTCTTAATTTTTTCTTACACATAATGACTTTTCGTCCAAAATAAATAAATATTCCTACAACTGCATGTCACGAAATTTTAACCATTAGGTACGATATTATGTGCAATTAATACACTATGATAGCAAATGAATTACAGGGCACTGACATACGATGGGTACTAGTAAGTATATGGGGACAAAATTATAGCAATTTTCATCATTGCTTGTTAAAATAGTGGTGGTCGAAATAGGTGACATTTTTACTTATTTCTTTACGTAGTCTATTTTTTAAATTCAAAGACCATATAATCATGAATCTCAAGCTCATTGTTCTGTCAGTATTTATTACTTCTTGTGACGCCTCCATGGAATGCTCTGTAATTTACACTCTAATCTAAACCTCAAAACCAACCACGCTAACCTGGCTGGCATTCGGACGGACATATGAATGACCACAAGTCTTTTTTTAGAGATTTTAAGACAATGTCAGTTTCAAGAATAAAAGACACTTGTTAATTTTGATACGACATTTTTCTCCACTTTCTCAAATTATTATACTTATTCTTTTTCAAATAGTTTGAATTAACATTGCTCCTACAAGAGTTCATAAATTATTATGGACTCAGGTATTTATCTGATGGTATCGCCGCTTATTCTTTTAGTTGGTCAGTTTCAGAGAGCGGTTATGATTCTTTATTAAATCCAAAAATGTGAACCTTAATTTATATTTTTCCTTACATTTTTACGTTGGAAAATGAAAGTTTTCAATCATTTTCAAATTCTAATAACAATTTTCATACTAATTACATCACAGTGTTTAATTTCTTTGTGTGAAACTCCTACTCCGAACAATTTTTGGAATATTCCAGAATATGGTCAAATACTTTCCCCAGATCGTATTAAACAGCCCGACACGCTGAATAAATCATCTAGCACAACTCGTAACCGAAGTAAGAAAGTCAATGCTTTATTGACAGCAGTAGAAATGTTGTCAGAAGATCCCGAATTCGATGATGGAGTTTATTCTGATAAGCCAGAAGATGATGACGACAGTTTTCATCACCCGGTCGAATATGAATACAACGAAAGTGGTAGCGAAGAGGTTAGAAAAAACAAAGACGACTCGTCTAACTTACGATTTCACAAGTCAGGCTCCAACAGGAAAGACGAAGAGGAGGGCCGTGGTTTCGAATCGTCCAGCAGCTCTTCCGCCCTGGTGAATTTTTTGATGTCACCCCTCAAACCATTCTCACAAAGATTTCAACTCCCCTCTGTCTTTGGTCGAAGTAAGAAACGGAAGCGACGGCGTAAACGTCCTCCTCCAAAAGGTACACGAGATGGGGATTCAAGATTTGATGACGGTGATGATGATGATGATGAAGACGGGTTTGATTTACATGTGGATTCTGACTCGAGTGCAGGTCACAAAAGGAAAAGGAAGCGAGGTCGAAGGGGTTGGTGGTGGTGGCGAAGTAGGGGCCGTGGTCGGAAACGTCGAAGGAAGCCAAAAAGGGGTTCAAGAAAGCGACGTCCACGTCGACCCAAGTACAAAAAGCCCAAATATGATGATGAAGAAAATTATGATGATAGTGATGAGTACGAAAAGGATCGAGATTACGAGAAGCATGTCCCATTAAAGGTGACGTACAGTAGTGACCACAATTTACTCCAACCACAAAGTGGAATAAGTTTTGATTCTGACCAATATAACAAACCAGATCTGCATCAACTTAAGGAGACATCGACATTAGGCGGAGGAGGAGGACAGCAGGCAACATTTTTCGAAAATTTATTAAAATTGGCAAGTGGTGGAGGAAGACCAGACTTGTTTTACACGGATAGAAATACGGGTCATAGTGAGACAGTCGTGAAGGTCAGTACTTAAAGTTGTAAATCATGCACACTTCTTTGCAAATATGTTGACCAATCTTCATTTCAGGGCCAACGACATTTCCCTAAAAGTATTTACGACAAATTGCCACGTCCTGCCAAGAACAAAGAATACAGGACTTACCCGATTGCTCCGCCGAACCATCCCATGAGGATTATGCGACCACCACTACCGCCAATAATTACCCCATTTCCTCAAGCTTATGATTATCAATATGAAAATAGTGAGAGAAATTTAGGTGGCATAAAAACCGACGACCAAATGGGGACACCATTGGCATCAATTAGTTTTCCAAGGTTTCCACTAGCGTTACCCCAGCCGAATATCGAGACCAACCTTGGTCTACCTTATCAAAATCCCCCTCCACCATATACGGCTCCACCACGACCTTTTTCTGCAAAGTTTAACCAGATTCCAAGAAAGATACACAGATTAGTTGGGCTAAGATATCGCAGTAGAACTCCCAGAAGAGGAGGATTGCACTACACAAATATGAGGAACAATGGATTTAATTATTATAGTAACAACAATGGGAATTATGCGATGCCCCCAGACAGTCATTCAACCCCAGTAGTACCAACATACGGTAGTCCAACAGTTTTCCACCAAAGTCCATCAATGAATGCAGATAATAATTATATTAATTATTACGATAATGAATTTCAAAATCAATTGCCCATGAACCCGGACCAACAACCCGCAAGCAACCACCTAAACGAGAATCGGATCCCGAAAATCCAACCTCAAATAATTTATGGAAAATGGAATCCACTTTGGAAAATGGAATAGATGTTTCACATTAAAAGAATCATCAAAATGCAAAAACTAATGATAATATATAAATAAATAAATATACATAGTGTATAATACATTATGTATTGCTGATGTATTTTAAAAAGTACTTTATTTTTACGCTCAATTTAGTTTGATGACGATGAATCGTTGCATACATCACCTACGATGATGTGAATACACTGTTAGAATTGGACAAAACGAGGCTTTGCAGATGTTGATACTGGCGAAGAGCTGGACTTCTGACTAAATGACTTCATACACTGTTTTGCAATGGAAATGTTTTTCTTTTGGTACATTTGTTGGTAGGAACTGATTTGATCTTGAGGTTTATTGCGACAATAATCTTCCATTTGGACTGCCGACGACGACTGTTTGTTATCATCGAGTGAATAGGTTGCATTGCTTTCCATGCTCGAAGTGGATAATTTTTGTGCCACCCAATTTTGAGTAATGCATGCATTTGACGTTGTTGAAATATTTCTAGTCAAAGAAGTGCTGGACCCTGTTGTAGCAATTGACAATTTTGAATTCAATCTCAGCTTAGCTTTATTGATAGAGCTGATCGTAGGCTGAAGAAAGGATGAGCGACCACCACGCGTTTTAGAATAGTTGTGGTGAGAAGAAGACCCAACCGTTGGTGCCACGGACAATTGGTCGTCATCATCTTCACAATTGTAGGTGCAGGTGGAAATAACATTTTGGTATTGCTTTGCATTTTGATCATCATCTTGTTTGGCCAATGGATTTGACTGGATGAATGACCTATCAGAATCCGTGGCTCTGGATGCGTGGTACAGTGAGACCGTTGAAACACTAGCTGTTGGTATACAGTTTTGCGATGGTTGTCCAACTAGTGAAATTTTCATTCGAGGAGTTGCCAACGGCTTTAATGTGGCACGAGGAACTGGGATTCGACTTGGCAAAGGTTCTGGTTTGGATGTAGTTTTGGTTACCGAAAGTTTCTTTGAAACGGGTGGGATCAAATCTTGATAGAGTTGATGTACAAGTTTTGAAATTTTACTCATATCCTTGATTACTTTGTCATCGTGCTTCATCCTATCAAAGGAAAATTCGCTGTTTGGTGGTGCTTGTGGAAGCTTGTTCCTAAATGCAACTGACGACGATGAAACGGAAGGATTCAAATCGTCATTCACTGGGTTAATGAAGCGGGGTTGTTCATCCATTGGTTTGATGCTCTGATGCTTCGTGGTATTCACGGTGCGATTAGAAAAGAAGCTTTGCAGATTTTGAGGGGCCCTGGCTGGTTCTGCTGATTCAGCAATATGTTCGTCTAAGAAGTGAGGAAACAGCAGGTCATCGTTGTCGATGGGACCCTACAAATTAATTCAAATAAAAATTTTCACATTAGTGCTATTGGTGTAATTAAATAGTATTAATATTGTTTTTTGACGTGCTTCAATTTTGTAATTCTCTTGGACATCCCCGTCTTCACACGGCACCGAATTAAGTACACGCACATCGTCGCCTATTCTTTCGCTGTTAGCGCATAAAGAATTATATTTTAATTATATGATTAGTTGTACTTAAAGTTTATCTGCTTACACATTGTTCATTTCAGTAGAAAGTTTATTCTCAGAAATCCCAAGCAAATCTCGCTGAGTATTGTCGAGCTGTTGCCTGAATACCTATTTATATTATGTAAATTAAGGTTTTATGTTTTGTTTAGGAATCTCAAGTTGTTGTATATATTTGAAAAATTAGGTAATAATTATTACATTTGGATTTATTTTGTATTGAAGTAAACTGCTGCTTTCGTAGGCGATAGGTTCAGCACGTTGTAATAAAAGAGATTCATCCGTTCCAGAACTTTTGATAACAATGGGATCGTTGACATTTTTTAGATACTCATGAAAATTGCCTCTGTTGTTATTTGAAATGTCTTCTGTGCAGGGGACAAATTGTTGAGAGTTTGAATACACCAAGTAATTATTGTTAATGTCCACTATTTCGGCTGTGGTCAAGAGACCATTGGTTTGTTGATCACTCTTTCCATCCTCAATGTATTGCGATGTCATGAAATCTTCTTGGTTCGTCTTCGTATCATTTTCATTTTTGCATTCAACATTCATATCAGTCAATTCTGATGGCATTTCCAGTGTGGTCACCGAAGTCACAAAATCGACAACTAAATACGTAGAAATTCAACAAAGTGCTTGCAAAAATCTAGGATAACGAAACTAACGGGAATCTCCCAAGATTTCGGCAGCATCCACATTATCTAAAATAACGTTATCCACTGTTTCCGTAATTGATTCAACTTGTTTGCTCAGCTCATTCCACACTTCTGAATCAAAGTCAACCTCAGTATGAACGGAAGAAAGAGTTCGCATTACAGACAAAAAATCTTCCCTGCCTTTTTTACCACCACAAATCTAAATTAAATAAGGCAGGAAATTTTATCTGAGTTTTGGCCAAGAAAATAAGTACATCGTATGTGGTACCCATTTTATCACGGTGGTCAGGGCACCGTAAGTTCCTGTTCCGAGATCTTGTAAAACTTCGACCTCACCACACGCTTCACTGTAGATCGTATGTCGCAGGTTCTTTGGAACAGTGAAAATTTTGAGCTCCATGTTTTTACGATATAAATGTCAAATTTTTCACTCATACCTTAGGAACACCCAAAATCCTCATTAACTTAATTGGCAGGTCACTTTCGAGTGCGTTCATTGTTTCTTCGTCAAATTCCGTGTTAACGTCTGAAATAACGAATATATATTAGCTTCATTTTCAAATAGATTAACCAATATTAAGCCTAATGAAGTATTTACCCATCGAAACAAGATTCGCCAAGAGGGACAATGTGGACGATGCGGCCGTTTTCATACGGCCTCCCGTTATTTCTAAAGCATTTGCAATTGTAGCCAACATAAATTCCGTCGAGTCTTCTTTGCTCACTGCGTCCTCTGAGTAATCTAAGCTGCTCTCAATTTCAGTGGTGTCCATCTGACCAATTTTTTCAGTTTTCTCATCAGTCGTTAACTCGAGTACCGAGGATATTTCATTTTCTTCTTTAGGTATCTCTTTGATAGAGTTGATTCCCATTGCACTTGGTTCGGAAGTACAAATAGTTTCCGTCGTACAGCAATGCTCCGTTGGTTCCTGGAGAATTTTAACAAAGTTTCAGAAATATCCATACATAATTAATTTAATTGAAATATATGCCACCAATCATGTGTACGTACATCGCATGTAACGAGTTCTGCAGATAGCACTGATTTAACGTCGGGTCCCAATTTCTCCAAATTATCATCTGCAAATGTTTCCTGCTCACATCCCGAGCTCTCTGTTGCGACATTTATTGCAGAAGGGTCCTATTAAATGATTTTAAGAAAATACAATTACCGTGAGTAAAATTACAATTTTTATTTGGTGTATAATTTACGAAAACGATAGAAATAGAATCCAATGACTTTGAACTCCCATCACAGTCAGGACTACTAATTCCTTTGTCCTCATTTTTCTGGCATTCAGCTGCTTCGGTTTGCATTGAACTCTCAACTTTTGTGATTGAAGCAGAAGTTGATTTTGTGGCTTCAGCAGGAAATGCAGAACTATGGCTGTGACTTGAACTGTTCAAATCATACCCGACGAAAGAATTTCTGTCCAGTGGGCTCTACAATTTGTCATTATTAGCATTACAAAATTAGGTGGTCTAGTAGCTTGTGGTAGTAAAATTTATCTGTTTTACCAATTTTAAGGTTAAGTTGATGTTAACATTGGCAGCATCCTTTCCATTAATTCCGATCTCATTGGAGGTGGATTTTACTGAAGTATCTAATTTCGATCTATCCTGACTTACGCTACTATTAGACACATTAGTTGTTACCGGCCGTGTTCGTGATGACACACGCGTATTGCAAGTTTCGTCAAGATTGCTGTGAATAGTATATGCAGATTGGGAGAATGGTTCGCTGAATTTGGGCGTTGGCAAGCGTTGCTCCAAGCTAAATTCGGATTCATTTGCGAATGGCCTGCTCTTGATGGTTCGAACTTGTTCTCCTACCGATTCTAAGAACCCCTTGTTTAAGACTGAGGGGGGCCTTCCACCCACAGTTCCCTGACGAATGCACTGGTGAAGAATTTTGCTGAGTCGGAGGGGTACGTGGTGGTGGTGATGGTGTGGATGTACTCTGGACGTGATTGACGGTTGCTCGTACGAATTCCGAATCTGACCATTTCCCGAAGTTTGCAACAGTGTCGAAGATCCGTCATCCTTGTTGGAAAGGTCGCCGCCTACCATCATCAAGTCGGTGTCGAGGATGGCATTGATCCCAGAATTTTGTCTGGGAAGTAATCCGCTGGGTCGTTGGATAATAGGAAACGAGGTACTTGGGGTCACACCTGAATTTCGGTTGACATGAAGTGTGACACTTGAATCGATCTTGTCCAGCTCTTCTATGTTCCCGTTAATGTCCATTGTGAGAAAGGGGATGGTTGACAAAAATAATTAGCCAAATTGTATAAGCAAATGAATTCAGACTACAAATTTGAATCATAATTATTTATTTTTGGTAACAAAATTGAGCAGTCATGCGTAATATTTAAATCTATATACTAAGAATATCTTAGCGACCAATTTTCAATGGTGCATTCATGTCAAAAAGAGAGCAAGTTGTAGCAATGTTGCCACGATTGCTTGACATTTAGTATCTAGGTAACTCTTGGGTCTTTTAACGGTTGCGACAAATGGTGGAGTTACAAATAAAATAATTATTTTTTAAATCGTTGGTACACATCTCCTGGGCCTGTGTACCAACGACTTTGACCTTTAATAACTTTTGAATGGGCAGACATAGAGACTTAATTCGTTAAGATGAAATCATCGTAATTTTCAGCTTGATTTTTTAAGATCAAAATCTCGAGGGTACTATTTTGAAAACTTGAAACAGTGTACAGCGTTTATTTAGCCCGAGTCAGGGTCAGTGTCAGCTTCTAACTTTTAGTCAGACGACCTGCACCAACTACTATTCGTAATCGGCAAAAATGTTCCCATAATCCAGCATGCAAAATTTCAGCTCCTTGACCAATTTTAAAACCATTACGGGTCTCAGTCTTCTGGAGTTTGGGCTGGGCCCACAAAAATATTCATATTCAATGAATATGAATATTATTCATATTCTTTAGTCCGATGTGCCCTTACCCATGATACCGAATTTCATTTTTATTCTACTAATATAAAAAGCAGTGTGTCACCTTGTTAAATCTCTGTGGAAAAATCTAAATATTTATTTCATTTTTATTCTACTAATATAAAAAGCAGTGTGTCACCTTGTTAAATCTCTGTGGAAAAATCTAAATATTTATTTCATTTTTATTCTACTAATATAAAAAGCAGTGTGTCACCTTGTTAAATCTCTGTGGAAAAATCTAAATATTTATTTCATTTTTATTCTACTAATATAAAAAGCAGTGTGTCACCTTGTTAAATCTCTGTGGAAAAATCTAAATATTTACTTTATATTTTTCAATCTAGTCTACCCCCACGGGGTCATGCCAAATTTCAGTCTTCTACGAGTGTCAGGAGCGAATTTCATCTTTTTAATACAATTTTTAAAAATCGATATGGGTCACCCCCTTAAAGGTCCCTCCACATATTAATTCATATTTTTTCATCAGGGACCATTAGCAATCTCTGCACTAATTTCAGCTCGATTGGATAATTTTCAACAATCGGTATGGTATCGGGTCCCTCCAGTCGAAAATTTTCCCAATTTAAATTCATATTCTTCAATTAGACACCATTAGCAATCTCAATGCCAATTTTCAGATTTTGAAATACTCCACCCACCCAGATGACCACCACCGGTCAACCACTTAATCGATTTCGCCCATCTTCAAATTTAACTCCTCATTTGCCACATACTACACATACCAAATTTAAAGTCGCTAGGACGAGTTTAACGAAAGTTATCGTAAAATGATCGAACGGACAGACGGACGGACATGACGGTTCCATAAGCACTTTGACTGAAAATTACATTTCCAACTGTAACCAATGGCATATTTTCAACAATTTTTAGTTTTCTAAAAATGAAAATTTATTTTGTAACTCGGCCATTTGTCGTAACCTTATAGATTGATAAAGTGTCAAATAATCTTGCAATGTTGCATTTGGCACTTAAGAATGCATATACGTTTAAAAAATCTCATAACTAAAAGACAGAGACGACGGTTGCGTCTCCTTGTGTACCGAGAGATTTTTTTCTATGGAGGGGGGCGGGGCGAAGAGAGCAGCTGATTTTCATGTAAACAAGGCAGGCAGTTGCATGTAAAAAGTTGCTTTGGATTTTGAGAGTGACCGTTCCCAAACTCCAAACGGGGCATCGCGAACCAGAAAGGGAGAACAATCCCGACTAAAACTTCTAATTTGCAACTAATACAAAATGGATTGATTTCGTTTTGGTGGCAATAAATTCCTGAGTTTGTGCTTTACAATTTCCATTGGGCAAAAATTCCATAATAAATCTCAACGAAAAGTATTGGACTGAAAACATGATAACTTACATGTTTCAGTCCAATACTTTTCTTTGAGATTTATTATGGAATTTTTGCCCAATGGAAATTGTAAAGCACAAACTCAGGAATTTATTGCCACCAAAACGAAATCAATCCATTTTGTATTAGCTGCAAATTAGAAGTTTTGGTGACAAAAATCATTTACATTACTGGTAAGTGGCGAGCAGGAAAAGTCAACTCGCTCACTAGGATGCACAGACTGTACCCGAACTCAAACTTTAATCACTCTACTACCAGTAGTAGTGAAAAATATGTTGAATGTCTTATTTATTATTGCAATCAAATTTTAAGGTAAATATCACGGTTTAATACAATAAAATAATGTGTGTGCAACTTATTCTATTTTGGGAAAGTGGGAGAGTTATACAGCTTATAGATGCTTCTACTAATAGCGGGTCCAATAGTGCGACCAGTATTACCAAAATAAATTCCAGAAATAAGCATTTCGCCTTCTTTTTCTGATGAACATTCCTCATATGCACTCATCAAGGCGGCGAAAGTTGGATATTGTTTAACAATTGCAGAAGCCTTTGAAATTGATAATCCACGAAGGCGCACCAAATGACGAGCAAACATCTCCGTGATTTTCCATGTCTATAAGCGTATTTCAATTTGCATTAATACATTTAAATTATTACATTAGATAAACAATATTACCCTTTTTTTAGTGCCAAAATCGTTAAAATCACTAAAAGTCATAAAGTAAGTCTCTGAAGGGGTCTCAAGACCCTTGTAAGTTGGCCACTCCTGTTTCGTACACCCGGAAACTTTCTTGCTCTGTAAAATAGGATATTTAGTGAGTTCATTATGAATAAAAACTCGACAAGTCATCAGTGTGCCTAGTTAATATTTTAACAGCAAATGCATTCCGTACTTACCTCATACATTTTTTTGAAATGACGAGTCATATGCGTCAAATATGAGCATGTGTCCTTAATATTACTCGTTTCCTGGATCCAAAATCCATCAACTAACTGAGTGTTTGCTATAGCTCGTTTCAATGCTCCCTCAGCAAGTCCAAAGTCTCCTTGTCCTTTCCCATATTCTTCGTGAAGATAAATGACCTGCAATCCGGTTCGCCTCAGTCTTGATTTCTGCTCGTGGTAACGACCATCCTTGATACTATGAGCCAAATCATCAGATCTTTTTCTTTCCACGACGTATGGAAGAACCAGTTCCGCACTGCGAGAAATTGTTAGCCGTTTAGAGCTGTGACCCGCTTGCACTATTTCACGGCACACCCAGATGAAATCTCCAACAGAAAGGCGAACCACCTCCATTTTGACCCCATTTTTTCGCAGTTCTCCAATTACTTCATCCTTTTTGCATCTCCTGGACAAAAAATTAAAAGGCTGACAACTAATTCTAATTATTTTAAAATAAACTAACGTATTATTTATTGGGCTTACCCCGAAGTTTCAGAAGTATCCACATAAAGGATAATTTCAAATTGGCCTGGTTCAAGTTGAGTTCGATACTTAGTCATATTGCTGGTGGCGGAGCTTTGGCTGCCATTTTCATCACTATTTTCTAGATATGATATCAGAGACAAATCTTAATATTTTATTAAATGCAAATTAAATTTATGTGTAATTGCCTGGAATAGGCGTGAGACTCAATCCAAAATCTACTTGCAGCAACTTTGATGCCAGTTCTCGACCTTCGGTGGACAACAGATACCTAATAAAATACGAATATATATTGATGTTCATCATTAAGTCGATTTATACCATCAAATGCAAAGATCAGAAACAAAAGTATTATTACTTTGTAGGATTTCCCTCTTTACGCACTAATCCTTTGTTAACTAAAGTCGACATAGAATTCCAAGCCGTGTAATTCCCCCCTGCAACCTCACTTCGACTCATTGAAGATTCACAATGGGGTTGAGATTCTTGGACTAGTTCAGTTTTGGTCATATACCCACGATAACCTGGTTTGCTTTCTCGCAGTCCCAGTGCCACTAATAGTGCATATGGTCCTGTACGTTGACCTGGGACGTACGTTCTTCCTCCACGCTTCTGAAGCTTTGTTACTTTTGCAGGTCCTTGTGACCCATCAAGGTCGTCGTCATCCTGGCTCTGACTAGAATTGGCTGACGGTCCATCCTTTTTCTGACGCTTTTTTGCAACTTTCTTGTAAGGATCAACTTGAGAATCTGCCAAATCTTCGAATCCTTGTGATCCTTAATAATGCATTACACATTATTAAGTAAAACGTCACTCGTTTTATCAATAATTTATAAACTCGACATAAAATAATTATTACTTACCGTCATCCAAACTCATATTTTCTTGCTGCATTCTTCGGTCAATCATTTTAGCAATACTGGGTCCAAAATACTCAAGAATGAGACAGGCTTTCCCATTTGGTAAGAGCAAGGGATATTTTCTCAGGGAGGATATCGCCTAAAAATTATTACAAATTTGCACATTACTTATAAAGAAAGCAGAGGAGAGGTAAATGATTACGACGAACTGAACCTTTCCGTAAACATACTGCATCTTGGAATTCTTTTGAACTGCATCTTCTCGCCATTCTGTTAACCACTGTTCAAATATTGGATTTGCACAAGCCTTGACATTGCTCCATTGAGTAGATTTTATCGACTGGCTCATCACTAAAATGAGAATGTACACGAACACAGGGCGAAATCAAAATTTAAGAAATTATAAGTTTATTTTATTTTTAGTCAAAACGCGAGTTTGTTATTATTTTGCACGGCTTGAAAAAAAGACAGGACTGATCATGTCAACAGTGCTCCCGCCAGCTAACGAGTAAACAAAGGATTTGTTGCATGGACTGAATTTTGCATACCAATGAAATGAACCGAAATATAGAATTTCTAATAATTTTTATTGGAAACTAGGATGAGACGAGTGAAATAAATATATGTATATAAAGTGTTTATTTAGTCAATCACGAAAGTTGAAGTGTATTCGAGATCAGTCAAGTTTAATATGTAACACCATTCTTTGCAATCTTCTTTACAATAATAACTATTATTATAGTCTTATATTAAAAAAATTATTTAAATAATTTAGAAAAAAAGACTTAAGAAAAAGACTCAAGTAAAGGATAGTCGAGTCAAGTTTGCATAAGTCATAGGTTTTTCATACTCATTTTGCCATTGGTCTTTAAAGTTTAGGTCTGAAAAATAAACAAATAAAATTTTATTTTAAAACATTACAATTTCCAAATACTCTATGAATTCAAGTATTAAACTTCTAAATTCCATTACCTTGGCTTATATGCAAACATTGAAGAGATCTTTTGCTGTTTAGAGTCTTGTTTAATTTTTAATGCAGTTTTAGACATTCCTGCTCCTCGACATGGTCCCAGTTTTTTTCTTGGAGACCTTCTTGGGGAAATAACTCGTTTTTTTGGAGGAGATTTTGCAAACGAATTGCTTAGACGGGTAAATTTGCCATTTGGTATCACAGCCGACGATTCATCGTCATCATCTATGGTTATCACAGAGTCGTTGTCTTGAGAATTTTCCATTCCTTCAATCATATCTGGATGATCATTTTCAACGCTGTATATACTGACTTGAGAATCCCTACTTTCGTTTCTAGTTTCACTCTGAAATATAAACAAGTATGTATAACTGTTACAACAATTCAACTACGGGCGATAAAAATTGTCAAACGCACCACAAGATTCAGCAAGGCGTCGCTTTTCTGTACGTTATTAGTTTCATCTAAAATTTCGCATTTCATTTCAGTTCGAACTGTTCGAACAGTATTAAATTCGGTACATTTTTTAAAAGTAGTTGTCTTTGTTGAGTCCTCTAAACCTTTAAAATACCTAAGAAGCACGTAAACATAACTTTTCTATCTCATATTATATAAAACAATGTTTTATCTATTTATTTATGCTTCAACTTACTGGCTTTTGACAACAATGGTCATAGTTTCCTTATCATCTTTGTACACCTTATTTTTCTCAATAAGACAAATTGGATTGCTATGCGGCTGTGGTGTTGGTTTCTTATCCACTTTCAGAAACGGGTTTCTTGATCTTAGAGAGAGGCGTTTGGATGGTTGCTCAGCGTTCTCGTCATGACCTACAACATCTGTGTCTGGGGAAGATGTTTGAGACAAGGAACCTCGCTTCCGCTTAAACGATTTACTTTCTTGGAATGTGAGTTCCGTTTGGCTACAAATCTCTATTGAATCAGGAGCGTCATTGATTTTTGCCCCAGCATACATTGCTAATAGTTGTTCATCGTCCATTTCGCTGTTATTTGATTCGACTGCTGTACATTAAAAAGAGTTTAAATATTGGTATCTTGACATTACATAGCATAACTTTTTATTACTATATGCTGAAGTGAAAAATTTGTCACATTCACATATACCTTGAATTTTTTTCTTATTTAAAACAACGCCCACAGAAACATTTGCAAAAGCTGATTTAGAGCAAGTGGGTTGTGTTTTAGGTTTTACATTTCGTGCAGCCACTACTTTGACTTCCGTTGGTATTACATAATTTGGAGACCAAATGCTCTTATGACCATATGCCTGAATACATTGTTAAATAAATTATACTTTGAATAAAATTAATGATGACGAGCAAAAGTAAATTTCTTCAACTTTACCTTCCTTGAAATGGGATCAAAGTTATCCACAGTTTTAAAAGAATGAATGTCAACATTTCCGAGTGCCATATTTAATGCCATCTACACATAATATATCGCATTATTTAATTTTAAAAGAAGACTGAAATGTGATGTGATGTGATGTAAAACATAGTATACAATTAACTTACATACCTCTGTGTCAACGTAAGCTCCGGCAAAATGAAGGTCATCAGGGTTAACGTCTGCAGGATATGGGTTTAGTGGTGTAAGACATCTGTTCATAGTGTCAAATATCAGTTGATACAGAAATGTCTTGTCAGCTTGAAGAAACCCTTGAATGTATTCATCCGTCACATCAACCTCAATTCGAAGAATTCGTGGAATTAATTGGAGGATCTTAATAGAACGGGATAAATAATCTGTAATTTGCAGAGCTCAAATCCACCCCACCATAATATTTAACGTGGTTTTAACTAACGAAATGAACTAACATTATGAATGTCTAGACTTGTAGCTGCGTCCATCAATTTTTTCGCTCGTCCAAGACCAATGCCAGGAAGTGAAGGTAAATAATCACAGCCACTTAATATACTAGAACCACATTTTCATACCATTTAACTTTCACCCGTTCAATATCATCTACAAATACTGAGTATACTTGACCAAATTATAATTTATTAACTTACCACATCCATCGAAACTTTTCAAAACAGAATTCCTCTGGCTTCATTCCAAAACAAGTTGGAAGTTTGGCTTGGTCAAATAAAACGCCATCTCCTGTTATGTTCATCTTGAAAAATATCTGAAACAATTTGTCATTCTTAATATTTATAAATGGATTGCATGCATTAATAAATTAAAATAATAAGTATTTAGTGTAAATGAATTATTTTCATCATCTGTCATCACACCTTTGGACAGCCAAAAAGAACTAAATCAGAATCTTCCGTAATTACAATATCTACAATGTTCTTCATGGCCAAATAAGCTAATTGAGCGTCAGCTTCATAAGGAGCAACAATATAGTCGATCTTCATATCACGCAAAACCTGTAACACAAAATTGAACGGTAATAATCATTAATTCATCAGCAATATGGGTTAAATGAAAGCATGATGTCATGTTATCAACATCAATAAAGTAGACAACCTTGATAAATGCTCTAGCCATCGCCGGTGTGATATCAACGCATCTTGTGAAACATTCCCAAGCCTAAAATAGAAAGAAATTATTTAATTGTTTAATGTTTTAGCAATCCAATATCAGAAATTCTTAGGTAGACCTCCTTATTCATCCCTTTTCTAAGAAACTCCTTTGCATTTTTCCTGTTCTCCTCACGTTTCCTATAAAATCATGATTATACTACTCCTCTAATTCTTAAATAGCAAACCATATTTTGTATAAACTTACTCCCGACGTTTCTTCTCAGTGCCAGCCTTGGAAGGCAAATTTTGCCCATCAAGGACCACTATAGGTCTGATATTGTGGGACAAAAGTACGTTAATATATTTCACACAGTAGGAAATATATGCAGTCGTCTGTTCCCCTTTGCCTAATTGAGCTGCACATCCAAAAGCTCCTACAATTAAATTAAATCAATTAATACTTAGTTCATTTAGTTCATTTTATAACTATAAATAAATACCTTTGTGAAGCCAACAGTACGCGTCGATAGCTACTGTACATCCACTGAATTTACGAATATTACAGCTTCCAGAAGCCTTTTTCAGCAACGGCAACAATCCAGTGATTCCCATTCTAGGCAGTTAGTACTTCAATACGCTAGTCTTCGCCTCAGTCTATTCAGAAATTAGATGGTACTTTGCCAATATCGACACCACCTTTTATCAACAATCGGGTCATTAGTGTCAATTACATAAATTTTAAATGTAAAATGTAAACAACATTTTACGAATCGTAAAATATTGTGCTAAATTACTAGCTCACCTTATCAGCCTTTCCAGTTAGACACAGAATTTCCTATGGCCAATCGTCATGTTCAATTATTGTCAGTCAACGGTAAGGCAGCAGGATAACAAAGTTTTAAAAATCAGCGTTGCTTTCATGAAGATGAATGTAAATGGAGGGAAACAAAGTGCCGGACTCGCGGGCTGATGGTGGCTCGACTGACTCGATGCAAAAGTCATCAACTGTTTCTCAGTGTTACTAATATTAATCCATTTTCGAAATCGAAAATCCATTGGTGGAACTTATAGCAGCTGCTGAACCACCATCCCATTGCTTCGACTGAGCAATGGACCTCAGCGATTATAAAGTGGAGGTAAGCACAAGGTCAAAAGGTCATGAGTTACATAGTAACGAAACGAGTGTCAGGTCTCGTTCTGTTTTGTTATTGCCCAACCAAAACCATCCGGACATAGTTGATACTTGCATGAGTGCAGTGCAGTCCATAATACTGCAAGAAAACCAGGGTGAAAGTGAGACGCTTTAATATTTCCATGAATTTTCACACCTATCAATTACTATCCCGATTTCGGGTCCGGTTTCGAGTGGGGGTGCGGTCACGACCAGATTATTTTAGACCAGGTCATTCTTTCTTGCTAATGAGTGAGAAAAAGTTAAAGTTCATGTCAAAGTTGATGTTTTTCAAGTTGCCCCAGAATGTTATCCATTAAGATATCTTAGAGAGAACAAGGCCAAATCCTGAATGTTTATGTAGATTGAATGATCCAATTTTCAGGGTGGACCTCCTTCAATATTTTACGTTCCAAATTTCATATCAGAAGAAGATGAAACTGTTTTGCTGGCCAAGATTTACCAGGCTCCGAAACCAAAATGGACGGTCTTAACGAATAGACGACTACAAAACTGGGGAGGTCTGCCCCACCCTCGTGGAATGATTGCAGAAAAACTTCCGCCGGTAATCAATCTGATTAACACTAAGTAACCCCTTGTATTAATTGACTTATATATGCATGCATTTTCAGTGGTTGAAGAAGTATGTGGATGACATAGCTGAACTGAATCTCTTCAATGGGAAATTGCCAAATCACGTATTGGTCAACGAATATCGTCCTGGTCAAGGAATTATGGTAGATTAAGCACAATAATTGTAGAATAGAAATGAATTTGAAAATGAATCTAATGATGTATAATTGTCGTGTTGTAGCCACACTTAGACGGATCTCTATTTCATCCAACAATTACTACGATCAATCTGGGATCTCATAGCATAATTAACTTTTATACTCCATTGTCAAATGTGGTATGTTGCACGAGTTCTATAAATTTGTGCTTAAAAATGTACATTACAAATTTTCTTGGTTATTATTTTAGTCAAAAGAAGTTCCGGATTATAAGCAACGGTTGAGATTTTCACTCATGTTGGAACCAAGAAGTCTCCTGGTTCTTCAGGACGAATGCTACAACAATTATTTACATGGAATCGACGAAACTACAAAAGACGTCGTTTCGGAAAGTGTCATTAATTCCAAGTCTGCACATGTCACCGTTGGTCAAGAACTCGATCGGGGTACGAGAGTCTCTTTGACAATCAGATTTGTGCCAAGGACGACTAAAGCCCCCATTCGCATTGGAAGAAATTAATTTCCCTTTTTATGGATGCGTCATTTTATTTCGTTTTTTTGTATAAATTGCATTCACAAATCCTAAAGTACTTATGAAGTAATAGCTACTAATCCAAATAGATTTTGGTAATTTACACCCAGTTTTGAATCAATGAACAAAATTTATAAAGCTGCTCGCATAAATACATATGTAGCAAAAAAATGGAAGTTTTATACTGAATTACACTCTTTCGACAATGGCATTATAACTTAGGTAGCTAATGCTTATTATTTTTTCAGCTCTATTTGAAGTTTACCCAAGTTGGTTTGTACTTTGTCTCTCTACATACGAGCCGTTTTATTGCGTCTTTTTAATTCGATTGGAAAAATTTGGAAAAGTTTGAGCTTGTCGCTGTTTAATAACCCTTGTCTCCTCATCTTCCTCTTCGTCCTCGTCAATTTGAACAATAATTTTCTTCTTCTTTTGTTCTGGCTCCAAATATATTGGTGCGATGAGAAGGCACACAATGGTGAAAACTAAATATTAAAAAAAAAAACTTTGCGTCAAAGGCGGTCGTTATTATTTGGAATAAATTGCTTAGACAATTTAGGAATATACTTACATGACACGAGTATAGGAAACAGCACGTAAAAGTTCACCGGAGCGGTATAGTAATAGAAGGCTTCAGATCCATGAAGAAAAATGGACAATGTCAATGAACAGATTGACAATGAAATTATTGGAAAGTGGTGAATATATAATGCACAATGGGTCATCACAAAAAAGTTCAGAAAGTAATATTTTCCCATTAGTCTTGCCGTTATAGAAGTCACTGCATGTTAGGAATCAACAGAGGACACAAATGACATCAATCAGTTAATTACATATAAATAAGTGTGTGTGTTATATATCATACAAAATGAAATGGAAATTGAACTCCACCTTTGTCATTGTCCACTGGTTCGGAATTGCTAAAAAGGCCACTTTTAAGAAAATTATCCTCATCAATGAAACATCGGATCGCATTGCTCAGCTCAATAAAGGCAACAAATGCGACCCACCCCCTCATGCAGTATATTACGGCGTGTACCATTTTTCTCTCTGAAATTTTACAAGTATAAAGAATCCCGTTAGCAACAGACAATGGATTTGAGACGAATTTTATTCGCAAATCCAGTTTTTGATTTTATAAAATATCGTCAAAGTTTTTGTCGCAACAATTCGTAGAAAGCAGATACACATTTGACCATTTCATACATTTGATTGTATCTCATAAATTAATTCCAAAATGACAACTTGTCGAATTTAGCATCTTCATTACAAATCCAGATAGGGGATACAGCCATACTTCGCAGACGGGAACATTATGGAGCCACCTCCTCTCTCACTGACCTCTGTGTCTTCCGAATTTCTACAAATGGAAGACAACATTTCCAAAATTTTTGATAGTACTATCTCAAGAAAGACGATCAACAAACAAAAATCTGAAAGCAAATCTGACCATGACATTTCGAACCTTGACACAGGCATATCTACGACCAAGAAACTTGACTCTGAGACCCTTGAGAAAAAGATATCCAAATCAAAACGGACGACCGCTTCAACCAAGGGAACATCTTCTACAGCAACATCCATTCTCAGCACTGGCAAGAAGGTTAAAACTGCTTCCTCGTCCATTTCCGGTACAAGTAGGAAGAAGCAAACTAAGAACAACAAGTTGTTAAAAAAGACCAAAACCAAGTCGAAAAGAGCTCAAGAGCTAGAGCTCACTGCGATGGAAATCTGGGAGAGGAATGTGGGCAAGGATTACAGCAAGTATCACAAACAGCACCAAGGAATTAATAACAAGTCGTCGGCCCCCAACAATGAGAACAACTCCAAGAAGACTACTCCCTTCCCAGAAATGATGGTGGGTGTGGGTGTAGGTGCAACTGCCCACAAGTCGGCCTTCATCAAAGGTTCCACTCCTCGCACTGCAGCAGCTGCCACGACATTGACGAAGTTGCGACAAGCCAAAAAGGCGAAGGGGGGTCCGAAGGTCCTGGCGAAAACCAGCAGCACGGGAGTAAGCAATGGGTCAAACTCTGCTATTTTGGAGTCAACTAACTCCGAAAGTGGGGAAAGTCCAGTCAATACTCTCAACTCTGCGGAGGGCCTTGGCGGTTGTGCTACTAAGAAATCTCGGAAAGGAAGGGGGCCATCCTGGCAAATGAACATTCAGGAAATTGAAAATTTTATTGTATGTCCAATAATTTAATCATAATCTGCTTTCCATGTATCGGGTGCGCTTATTAGAAATGTGATCTGAATACTTTTATATTATTTAGGCAGAGAAAAACTCGGAAAAAAAGTCTGAAAATCGTACAAGGAAAGTGAGAGGTGTTCAAGTTACAAAATGCAAAGACGCCCCGATTACGGAGATAACAACTGCCCAACCGTACAACTCGGGTGACAACATGGTCAGAGAAAGGTCAGATGGGGATTTTGAAAATGCTGAAATGTTGGTAGAAGATATATTACTTCCGGATAAAGACGCTGTTCTGGACTCGATTGATGGAGAAGGAGAGAATCAAATGGTGCAGGATTCCTCCGAAATCGGTGATCAAGGAAAACAACTGAGATTAATTCGCCCTTCAACTAAGGTGAACCTATTTTACAAGACAAGCTAAGAATAATTTACATATCACGTTATTATGCAAACCATAATAACGTACAAAAATGTAATTAGTGCCGTATATAAGTAGTCTAACCGTGTCGCAAAGTCTGACATAATAATATTCAATACACAATGTGTGGATATTATTTGTGCAGCCTGTGTACTCGTGTCAGTCAATTACGTACTTTCTCTCTGCCGTATTCATATGCATATGCACATACAATGTTGAATCAATGACTTTCTCCTTTCACACCTTTCTTCATCGAATTCATCACCCTTTGCACTTATTTATTGAACTATTGAACCCACAAAAAGCAACCAAAGTGTGGGAAGGTATGTTGGTGATTATTGTCGATATGCAGAACAGGAGAGAATGAGTGGGCGACTACCGGAAGTCCATGGAAGGAATGTTATTGGACACATGCACTACTGTTCTGCATATAATGTCAACTGTTGTGGTTTCAGTTTATGGTATGCTTTTCACTCTTCAAGAAAACAGTACGCTGCTTTACTTTCACACTGTGTTTTACTTTCACACCTCCCAAAAATCTCAACCTCTGATTTTGACAACGAGATAAACATTTTTGCCGAGTATTTATAAGCATTTATGTCAGAATTATTTTTTTGGCTGACATTGCAGGAAGTTAGTCCAGTTACACACGTTACAAAAATTGTACCTCCTCTCTTACGAGCTGCAAATATGATGCAAATGTCCCAGTACTTGTCAAGGGTTCAGACGTATTTTGATCAACTTGGGTACTCAATTTCAACTAATGCATTAATTTTACATGTTATTAAGGCTGTGATTTTATTTTGAAGATATCATCGAGAAGGGGAACCGAGCACAACGATTAATCTTCGACTCTCAATTAAACACTTGATGTCTACGGCCAAAGGCTTGATAAAAGTGGGTCAACCAATTAAATGTTTACATGCTTTGGTTCTAGCTGTGTACTTTACAAACCATGTTCCACTCGTCGAGAGATTCCCTATCCACTTCAAGTATGTGCATTTTAGAATTAATTATGTAGAAAATTCAAAATTTTTAAAAAGCAATATCCTTATTTGTATTATTGTTGTTACGTTATTTAGGTCAAAAGTAAAGGGGAGAGAGTTCAAACACGTTGTTCTTGGAGTATATGTCCAGGGTCATTTCGGTGCTTTGGGAATAAGTCGTGATCAAGGTCTTCAGGACAAACCGGCAACTTACTTACGACTTGCTGATTTGATTAATAATTATTATCAGTGTTACAATCAGAGTAAAACATTTTAAACACAACGCATTCCTGCATTTTGTTTCATTTAAATTAATTTATGCGTTTAGGTGGACATTTTCTGAAAGAGTTGAAAATTGGAAATATCATCACCCATGATCCTCACAGTATCGAACATCTCACTTGGAAATTGGGGAAAGTCAGTTTCGACTTGGATCCTGAGCAGATTGAGATCGAAATTGAAAAAATTTCAAGGAAATTACGATCTCAGGTATGCATTTATACTCTGTATAGATATGCAAACATTCGTCATTCCAGATGAAAATATAAAACAAAACTCTGAATTGTATTTCTTCAGATGGGATCTGTTTGTCTTCGTGGAGTCAGACTTGACCAGTACAACCCTGGTCCACCTCTGCAACAACGACCAACCCCCAAGACTGGACCTGCAGGAATTATTCGTCCAACTGGAAAAACTGCCAACCAATTTCTTGGTGACCCCATTCAAACAATGCAACGACGATCAAGGTCCATTCCAAGCCACCCTTCTGACGAGCAGCAATTACCGACCAATCCTCGAACTTACACTCGATCTCGACCCCCTCATCACAAAACAAGCAATAAGAAATAAATTCTGTATCTACCGTCTGAAAAAAAAATCAACATGCCTTCACTCACGACATTATAGTATTCTCGAATAATGTCGTGCAACTTTTTCCAATGCAGGAATACTTATAACTAATTAAACTGTCTTTAAGCTATACGATGAAACAATATGTAAATACTCATGTGCAATTCCTTACTGCAAATAAAATTGAAAGTGACACACTCGACTCAATCATTGTTCAATTTTAATGTACGACAAATGGCAACTACATTGCATGTTACATATACATACATATTAAATATGTGCCATGTTTTAATTTTAATACGATACAACTATGTAACTTACGTGTCGTTTATGTAGGCAGACAGTGGTTTCGTTTTCTCAGGAAGATCGTGGCTTGAGAATTTTGAGATTTCTGAACAAACTAAAACTTATACTGATTAACTCACGCCGTCTGCAAAATTCTATTAGAGACAAAATGTTAAAGGCTACAACTGTTTCAAAGTATCAGGAATGAATAACAGGACAGTCACAATTACAGTGTAAAAAAAAATATTGGCCCGGTTCCCGGGTTTCTCGGCCTTCTTCCGAAAAACCGAAAAATATCCGAATTTGGGATTTTGCTGCATGCAGTGGAACAATATTGACATTCGTTTCCTCTGCAATGCAAATCGTTACACAGGATCATCAACCTATATAGTAACATTTAATATGAGCAAAAAATAAAGTATTATTCACGATCCGCATACATATATTTAGTATGAGATTACGTCATTCCTACCACAACATCTATATTAAGTCTAATAATAATATAATAATAAACATTTAAGGTTGAATTAGTTCCAATCGATGAGAAAATTGGAACATGAGCTATAAAATTGTAATTTAAATACAACCATTAATATTTAATGCACAATATTGTCTTCAATTAGATTGGATTGTTTCGTCTTATGCCCCCCATTAAACGTGTATATGCACTGCAGATTATGCAAAATGACAATGTCACTGATAATTTTCTTCATCAGGTTCCTCATAAGAGGAAGACCAAACTTCTTCTTCCTCCTCACTGTGTGAACTTTGATGGTCGCTATTATTTGTTTGCTGGTGCTCCTTCCACGCATTCAATTTCATTTTCGAAATTTCAGCACAGCGCACCACAGGATTTCCACGATCATTCGGCAACAGCAGAATGTGACCTTGCAATTGACGAATTTTGTCAGAATTTTGACAAATTATCTTTGAAAGCTTTGTTTTCCTTATGACAGTCAGTTGTTCTGCATCACATTTAAAGCATTGAAATATTTCATTCGAATTAATCTTCACTTGTGTTTTACATAATAAATAGTGAAGTTGTACCTGGTGTAAAATGGTGCGGTCTGATGTCCCCTTCATACCAAAACATGTCACCTTTTCTTAACCTGGAGAATTGGTCGACAATAATGCAACCCAGCGTTGGACCCACTTTACTCCCAGCTTCCGGACGTTCCGATAGGAGACCAGTGAACAGATCGACGTCTTGAACTGACCTGAACAGTAGATAAATCATGCTTTCGAATTCTCTCAGAAATTAAATTGGAAAAGTTGTGCATGTAAAATTTGAGCTTACTCATAAACCGCAATAGCTGCATTCAAAGAGCTAGATGCCCAGATTTCATGTAGGTCAGAAAATTTCTGTACGTCTATTAATAAGCCGCACTTTTTTGCAACTTCGATATAAGGAGGTATTCCTTGATCCCGTCCTTCCTGAATGATTAATGCAGCTAAATCCGTCCCATAATTGCTGTTTGGGTGCTGGTACATGTGATTTGTAATCTGTGACATAGATACGTACGCTTCATTTAATTTGAATAAGAAATTTGTATCCTGTGCATAAATATGTAAATGAACGTATTTACTTGTCCGGAAATGAATGCATCCACTTTTGTGACTGGGTGAGAACTAGATTATTAATGGGGAAGTTGTTAAATGTGGTTGGGCGAAAAAATAAAAAATACCAAACAACCTACCTAGCCCCCATCAATAATCTGTCCAATTCTCCATCTTTCTTAAGGACTGAAGGATTCCGCACCATTTTATGAAATTGCAGAAAATCTTCATCATTTCGATGTGGTGACATCTTCTTCATCAGTCCTTGCATCATGGACACGTAGAATTTAAAGGCAGCAGTAAATTCGTTCGAAATTTGTGGATTCAAGTTGACATCAAAGCCTTTAAAGTAGCTGCTATTGGAATAGCTGGAAGAGAGGGCCAGGTGCCCAGATTTAAGTAATTCTGTTCTGAGTAGTACAGGTAGGAATTCGTTGTATGTTATATGCTGAATTTGCGCAATCACAAGTCGTCGTGTTTCTTGAAAAACTTTCTCGTCATCCCAGTGCTTGTTTAAACCTGAAAGTGTTTCTGCGACACGGTTATGATGTCTCACCCAGATTGTTATCATGGCAGTGACTGACATTAAGTCATTTACGCGATCGTCACCTAAAGTAAGATTGGATAAGATATTATGAACGACTTGCTCGAATTAGATAAAATTTTAATAGGATTATCCTACATGGGTATGAAGATATAGTCAATATTTTCATATATGGACGTAATTTTCTTACCGCTTCTAAAACAAGATTCAGATGACGACATGTCATCTCGATCCGATATGCATTTTGAAGTTTCATTTGTCGAAGGGAGAAGATATATGCCATCCAAGTCATCAAGCATCATTTGTCCTAATTTTTGGGGATCTTTAACTCGAAGAGAGGCTGATATTTCAGGTGTAACTCCGTAGATATGCGAGGCATCGATGAAGGATGTTTGTTTGTTAAGTTGTTCTCTTGGTCCTAAAATAATTTCATTACAAACGATGCGGATCACGAATCTATAAAAATAATTATTAAAAATACCAAATCGACAAGACGTTCCATATGGAGCAGCTCTATGAAAATCCAAGCAAGTGATGTTCATTTTGTCGCTATAAAAGGCATCATTAGCTGGAACTGGAATAGGAAAACATCCTGGATTATTTCCATTTGCCTTGCAACACCCTTTCCCTGTTTCTGAAAAGTAAGGACCACTCTGATAAATCATATCGTTTAGAGTGTACATAATCATGCATGCATATCCACTTGATACAGTCACGTGGAAATTTTACCTCGTGGAAATTTAGCTGTGTACATAATGTCGTGTGCAACAAATTGAGCCCATAACGGTGTCATTGATGAAACTTCTGTGTCTGCTCTATATTCGTCAATGTGAATCATATGACTTACAAATCTCGCACTTGGCAGGTTGCTCTTCCCGACCCCTTTGGTTTTAGCAGCGGATATTCCTGTAATTTTCACCATCATTTATATTTACTTTCCTAATTTCTACTCAATGCATTATGCTACTATAAGTGTTTCTCTTGCCATCATCATATTTCGGAAAAAGGAGCCGTCGATAAGCCTGACCAACTGATCCCCAGTCTGGATCATGAAAATTATTACAACCCCCATTCAATGATCGATACCGTTCCGTCTTATTGCAGAGAAGCGGTTTAGTGGTCAGAAAATTTGGACATAGATCTGAAGGCAATGTTGCATTGATGAGCAGAATCTCTCCTTCTTCAGCTTGTTCATTTGACAAATTTAACCTGGAAATCGACAATCAAATTAAAAAATATTGGAAGGCTCGTCTAAAAAAATGTATAGAATTTACCGTTTAACTATGTTGTGATACGCCAATTCCATTACAAGTGCATGTTGGACGGGCTCGCTAAAGTTTATTGATAGTGGTTCGTTGCTCATCTCAAATGTGTTGAGAGCATTCTGGTAACTCTCTCGGATAATCTCTGGAGAAATACTAAATTTTGTTAAAGCCAAGTGACTCATGCGTCTCGGACTGATAGTTGTTTCTTCTGGCAATAAGTTCATTATTGCTGATTCATTAACATGCGAGTCTTGCTTCTGTTTGTCCAAATCATTTACATCTACGAAAATGCAATTTTCGTAAGTTTTATAATTTTCTTGGAGCATAAATCTTATTGTAAATTGTACACAAACCGAGTATTGGCTCATTGTCATTGTACAGAATTTGTTGCAAAAATGGTTTTGGACTATCGTCAATCTTTGTTGTGTTCTCTTTTTCTGTGCCATTATGAAGTTCATGACTGTCCAGTATAAACACCGCAGTTACGGTTAGCATGATTGTGATCACAAAGATTCTAGAAAGGAAATTGATATAAGTTACATAATGCGAGTATGGATGTCTCTTCTACTAATCCATTAAATTGTAGCTACTTATATACATCATTGCCAGGATTAAGCAAAGCCTTATTCCTCCCAGATTGAGCCTCCTTCTTGGACCTCGTCGTCCTCCGTGGTATGAGATTGGCCCAAGCAGCTCAGCTTCCGGATGGTGATGCTGTTCTTCATGTTGATGTGTATGGTCAGGGGTATGATTAGGACGACCCAAGTTGAGGTCTTTGTTGGGGTCATCATTATCCTCCCCAAAGCCCAGCATGCTTATAATTGATAAAGATGACGGATGTGGTACTATTGCCTGTTCGGGGATATCTTGAGTTGGAGAATTGTACACTTTCCTGTCAAAATCACTGCATGGCACAACAAAGTCGTGAGTAGTTGCAGATGACCTTCCTCTCAAATGATTATTTTCACCGTGTTGTGCGTCTTCATGTTCGGAGTCAGAAGAGTCGATAAGTTTGAGGTGAATGGATGACGGAGAAAATGCAGAGCCACTCGCTTCGTCGAGTTCCATGCGATCTGAATCGGAGGTGGTCACTTTATTAAATGAACGCTTACCCATCGGATTCAACTTTTTGATTAGGTCGTCAAACTTCATTGTGAGGCTACATACGCAGACAAGACACTCACTCACTACGTATTTGTATGTGTGCACGTCTTCTGATTTTACGATATTTGGCCGGGTAAAAGGAACAAGACGGAAGGATAAGGGCAAGGGTTGACAATTTGTATGTACAACCAGCAATACAGACGGCCAGACATGAGCCGTGTCATGTAAAATGTGATGTTATCATCATGTTATTTGATGTGGTTGAAATACAATCTTTATTTTAATGATCAAATCAACAGAAGACGCCAGGATTACACTTTACTGAAAAATTGTGATTCTAAATATTATTACATGGCACTTTACTGCAATAATTTATCTAGCTGAGAGCTGAAAAGTACTGAAACTTGACCCTGCATAACGTTACACTTTGGTTTAGTCTATGCAATAATTCGACAATGACTGTCGGGTACCACATCAAATCAAAAAGTGAGTTGAATGAAGTTGAATCAGTCAATAAAGTATGTTAACACTTTTAAACAATAGTACACAAAATGTGTGTGTGGATTGTAGAAATTGCACAGCTTATAATTTATCGGACTGAACCGAGTGTGACAAAAATATGCCATCCGTTTTAAACGGAATACCAAAGTTGGTAGGTATGTGCATAAAATGTTGTTGGAGCCATGCGGAATGTATAAACATAAAATAAGCACAAAAAATGTCATTGTTTATTCAAATTCATCAGTTTCTAATAACTTTTGTGGAAATTCGACCCTAATGCTTGTTGGTGCCAATAAGTATGTATTTACATATGTAGCACTATTCATTACTAGCACCAAAGATTCTTACCCTCGTAAAATTTTCCACGTCGTGCGTTTATTTTAATTTATTTGTCATTTGATCTTGTTTATCCGAAAGGAAGTGAAAAAGTGATTAAATTCTTAAAATAATGAATCATGAAAAGTGAACATCGATGTGTGGGAAGATATTTCATTGCCGAAAAATAGCTTGGTGTTCCAGTGAAAAAAAAATCATTACACAAACGTGTGTAATTTGATACGCAACAGAATATTTTCGAAAATTAACTGATAGCATAGAGGTTAAACCTGTTTCATTACGGATAGTGTGTGTAGATATGTAGATATACCGAACTGTATACATATAATAGCATGTCATATAGCTAGTTAAGTAAATTGACATAGAAAATTGCAGAAAACATATATGCAACAATGAACTACATATTTATATTATTAATCGCCTTATTAGTCTCACAATTAATTTATCATTACAAAAGTCCATTCATTACTGATAATGTTAAATGAATGCCTCACTTTCAACTTTTTAGGACGCGTCAAATTCGTCATAAATCAGAATGTAGATCAGAACTCTCTTAAAGCTGAAAAGCTTAATCCATGATTTTGTGACACTTGATACTTAATAATACCTTGCAATATATATGTAAACATAAGATTTTTGCAAACATTTCTTGATTGAGGCCCATCCAATTTTACAGGATGTTAATCGCTCGAATCTACATATATCAAGATCCGCTATATTCATCTATTTAGAGAAGCTAAATGAATTAGCTATTAATTAATAAAAGAATACTAAATTGGTGTCATATACATACTAAGCTACTTGAATTAGATTCTACATAAAATAATAATACTGCATATCTAAATATATAATTATTATGACACAAACTTATCCAGGAACCAGGCTTCCTGAGGGTATATATGCCGTAAGTTATGGTAAATTGTTCCATTTATAAAACAGTGGTTGTAGTGAGCAATAGCATGCAAATATGTTTTGGCTACACATTCAGAGCAATCATACATTACTGGGGCAGTTTATAATGGACTTTGAGATGCTGCTGGATAAAATATATCAATACGCGATCATGCATGTGAGACGAGATATTTGTCATCGTTAGTTTTGCCCAGCTAAACATTATTAGAAAGGAGAAGGAAGGAATAGGGTGAGACTCATGTGAGCAAGCCTCATTCCTGCATCACATGAAAAATTCATGTGATGAAATTTTTCTAATTTTTCTCAAAGACAATGATGCAAAGTTTGCACGCCGTTAATTATGTCATAGTTGTGATGATATAAATGATACATTATTCTAAAATCTGGAAATCCCTGATCCGCATTAAACTTGTTTATAGTTGATTACATAGTCAGTAATCATCAGTTAAATTGATACAATTGATATTACCGAACAAGAAATCCATCATCCAGATAGATATGTGTAAACACAATAAGGTAAATATGCAAGATTACACTGACTTACTTAATTTATGCAGTGAGAATTTGTTTGATTTGACTGATTTGAAATTATTGGGCAAATTTTATCTGAAATCTGACATATAAATGAGTGTGATGTATGATTTGTTTGTTTGAATGCGATTAAAATTGGTATAAATTCGACTGTTTACCTCATAACCTAATAAAACACTTTCTGGTGTACTCAGGTTGATTTATATTTAAATCAAAAGCATATTTATTAACAAATCTTAAGGAAAATGGCATTTCTTATCAAATTGACGATCACGCTTTTGGCTGGCATAGTTTTTCTACTGCAAAAGAGTTCCGCTGCAGAATGCTCCAATTGGGAAAAGCCCGTGCTGACTGCAGATTATACTCCTCAAGGAAACGTTGTTTTTTCGGCTGGAATGGACACGTATGAAACAGGAAATTCTAGTTCAACCAAAGTTTTGATCGCAGGTACAAAAAATAAAGTTCAATTATTATCGAGCTGCAAATTTTAAAGTCTAATTTATGCATATTGATAAAAGTTTTATCTTTTTATAAATCTAGTTTATGACATCTACGGCTTCAACCCGGGTCCAAACATTATGCAAATTTGTGATCGACTCGGCGAATATGGATATCGCGTGGGTTAGTCCATTACAGTTCTAACTAATAGTTTTAGTTTACTTGTGTGCATTCGTTGCAAATACACATTGATCTCGGTTGCTCTTGCTGACCTAAATCTTGGTAAAAATTTCAGTTATGCCTGACTTCTTTCACGGCGAACCATGGAGGAGAGAACATTATCCATATCCCACAGAGTATAAAATTGACCTAAAATCACTTTACATAAAATCATAGATATCAATTTTCATAGCGTTACCCGTTTTGTAGTGATGAGTTTCGTAACTTCGTAAAAGCAACTTCTTGGAACGAGTCTGTTCGAGAAGATCTGGGACTCGTCTTGCAAGAGTACAAGAGGCAAAATGTAACCGAATTCGGAATTTTCGGGTTCTGTTTTGGTGGCAAGATTACCGCACATGCCTTGGACACATATTCCAGCGACATTAAAGTGGGCGCACAGTTCCATCCAGCCGGAGCTGACGTCTACGATGCTACACGAATTAAGCGACCTGCAATTCTTCTTCCGGGCGCAAACGATCCCGATATGGTGGGACCATCTTCTTCTTATTTTATAGACTAGATATCAGGACTTTTTGTCAACCTCGGTTTGTTCATTTATGTAGACGGACTATTGTAACATCATCAACATTCTTTTGGGACAAGGATCCTGCGTGTACCATCATTTCACGGGTACTCGTCAAACTACTAATACCCATATTTAACATCTTTAATGTTTTATTTGTATTTATAGACGTGAATCACGGATTTTCGGGGGGCACAGCGAACTGGGCAAATGACACAATTCGAACTCGTGCTGAAGAGGCAGTTGGAATGTTTGAACAATTTCTCTGTGATAAATTTCCTGCTATATAAATCCATCTTCGTATCCATGTGCATACTTACATATACATTACACATGTAGACATAAGTAGCACAATGGGATGCAAATTCTAAATAAAGTTTCACTTGATGATGCGGGTGAAATGAAATCGTATTGGTATAGGTTCAAATTTGCGTCGGCGAATTAACAATGAATAAAATTATTGCAAAAAACTATGTTGCATATGCAGTTGCAATAAACAAATATCAACAAGAATGTTCGTTTAGGTCTAGAGTAACGGAAGAAAAGACGGAATTTGATTATGCAGGCAAGAAAGAAAATGATAATTTCTGCAACGTGTTTGTTTTATTGAAAAATCACGGTCACCCAGATTTGGCATATGAATTCGCGTCAACAATTATATTTTTCCGGACCGCAACAATTACTCATCAATGCACGAAACATTGGTAGCTGATCAACAATAATTTACATCACCGCTCAGTTAGTGTGTCATGAGCCAAGATAAAGGTAATAAAAGGATCATCATCAGGCCATAGTGAGGTAGAGTTGAGATAAGATTTCATTTCTGATTCCACTAAACTTTTATAATATAGACAAAACTGAAAAGGTGTAATTGTCAAGAATACTTAAAAAATGCGCTTTCGACATTGTGGGTTATCATCACTAGACTTATCAGGAACTTTTCCAGTTTTAGTTTTTTGCTTGACACTATACCTGTCGCAAACAGTGTCTACAGATGGAAGAAGCCTATCACTAAACGAACATTTGAGAAGAGGTCGACAATTTCAAGGGTACAGACCACCTCCACGACCACCTTCAAATTGGGTGACCAATACGTATCCTTATTGGAACGACGCCTCCAGATTTTTTCATCATCTTCAAAACATTTACTTGAACCAGTTTAACCCAATTTATCGGAGGAGTGGTCAACATCCAGTTCGTCAACACAGACCTCAAAACACTAGACAGCCCGATCCTAGCGAAGCAGGCTATGCGGCGATCCTTGGGTAATTGTAGTATCACAATGATACATACATAATAAAGAATAATATACTATCTTCTGTAAATCAGTAAATCTGAATTGTCAAAGTCTGTGTTGAACTGTTAAAACTTGACGTATGTATAATCAAATCATTAAAGCTTCGCTCGTTGTACATCGAAATAAAGTACATAATCATGGTAATTGTATGTATCATGTTACAAAAGCGTGAATCATTTTCATATATTGTCTAAGCACTAATACTTATCTAATGCAATATAGAGAATTTAATCCTACCCTACAAGCTACCAATCCATTGAAGATTTGCATTTTCCAGGGTAAATATATTGATAACGGTTAATCCACTGATTTGATGTCTGATTAAAAATTATCCACAAAATATGGAAAGACGGTGGAATTCAGGAGTTCAATACATACATATTGCAATTGCATGTATACATACGTGTTTAGTTTGTGTATCATGAAAGTTGTACATATGTATTTGCAATGAAGATGATGCACATTGCACAGTAGAAAATCCCGTAACTCTTTCCTTTGCTCTCACACTTCCACGTAATGTGAAAAAATTGTCTGTTTGACATACAGACAACACATTTCTGTTGCTCATCAAATGAGAACATCTGCTCGTTTTCTTGCAATTAGATTAGCACGTCTGGAAATAAATAATTGCAGCAAATTTCAAGTATTGTGACCACACTTGTGTTCATTTGTCTTTTGAATTATTAATAAATCTCGAATTGCGTAATCTTTATTTGTTTTGATTGTGGTGTGCAAATTGAGTACCTAATGAACAACTAAATTTAAAGGATGTACATAATAAGGTGAGCTAAAAAACTTTGAAGCTCGATTAGTCTTATTGAATTTAGGATATTGGTTTATCATTGCAGTCTGGGATCGCATAATGATCATTCGCGAATTGAAACAACCAAGGGGCATCAAGGACTCTCAATTAAGAAGTTTAAACCCACATAATTCAGGGCAATGACGAGAATAGAGAATATCTATGTACTTTGGCCCATAATTGGTCAAATCGGTGCTTAGCACCTCAGATACTAATAAAGATGCCCATATCTTCAAGATTGAGTAGTGAGCCCTTGAATGTCTTCACCTCCAAAAATTGGCTTTTATTTCTCGTCGCAGCGATTCATTTGTCGGCCGCACTGAGTCATTTTCTTCTCTCGGTCGTCAGCAAGTACGTAAGCAGAGATATTCATTATGGTGATCAAGCCTGCGTTCCTGCCACGGACTCCAATGCAACCCTGGCAATGTGCAGTGTCGCCAAGTCGAATGAAACGTAATTTAAAAATTGAGCATACTAATTGCATATGATTTCTAATGCGAGTTCTCAGACTAAAATGACCTACTGCAGATGTCAAAGCATTTCAAGCAGCGAAGGAAACACTTGCATTTGGGACTACACTGGACTTGGATTAGGTACAGGGGACGATCTTGGTTTGTGTTTTATTTACGAAATTATAATTGTAATTTTGTCTGCCTATTACCAGATTACCAGTTATTGGCAGGGCCTAGTTTTATGGCCGTCTTCACAACGACGAGCATTCTGTGGGGTTTGGCCGCCGATCGATTTAATCGAATAAATCTGTTGGTTTGGTGTAGCAGTGTCTTCAGTCTTGCAACGATTTTGACTGCATTTGCGACCAAGTTTTGGCATCTTGTGATTCTAAGGATGATTTTGGCTGCTGGGTTAGTAAATTAAATTATAAACAACGCTTAAGTAAGCGTGTTATAAAATGTTCATATGCAGGGTGGCCGGAATAGGTCCAATATGCCCAGGGATCATTTTCGACGCTTTTCCGGAAAAGCATAGAGCATTAGCAATGGGTTTTTTTCATTGGGGAATTTATCTTGGAGGTGGTTTGTCAAATGCTATTGGAAAAACTGTAACCGATCTCCACATATTTGTTCAGGTACGTGTACATGGAACTGTTCTATTTTAGGTACTTTAATTGAAAAATTATCATTTTCATTAATCCTATTTATTTTTGCCTGTCAGGGATGGCGTGGAACATTTCTTTCAGCCGGAATACCTGGAATTATCCTTGGATTGTTAGTGTTTTTAACTGGAAAGGATCCTCCTAGAATTCACAAAGGACATGAGCAGGATTTCCATTCGCATATGCATCATGGACACGCAACCAGTGGTTGTCCACCACCAAAGACTAATAATAGAACGCTAAACAATATGCATGTACAAGAAGAGGATGACGAGGACCAGGAGGATGTTATTGAATATGAAACCTGTGAGGCTCAAGTACTTATAGAGCAACATCATGTAAAATACCAAACAGCAAATGCGATCCCATTTTCTTTATGGAAATGCTGTCTCGAACCCCCAGTTTTGATGCTTGGAATTGGAGCTTGCATTCGTCAAGCTGGTAAACTGCTCTATTCTGACTCATTTATGCCAAAAAATTAGACCAATTGAAAGACTGAATATACGTGTTCTGAATATTTAGCTGGATACACATGGGGATATAATTCAGCATTGTACTATCAGACTTATTACCCAAACTTTGATGCTAGTTGGTGGCTGACATGGATAACTATTTTTGGGGGGTCGATTGGGGTTATTTTCGGAGGATTTGTATCTGACATCTTGGTATCTCGACTAGGCCTGTCAGCCAGGGCTTTGGTCCTAGCTGTTAGCCAGGTAACTTTACATGTGTACATATAATTACATCTGATTTATCAGAAAGTATGAAAAGAAAGATGCAACTGCAAATAATTTTTTCATGTCTTTCTTCATGTCTAAAACAAATGGAGGTCACCTCTTTGGGTCCCTCAGCCAATATTTTACAAAAACTTAACTTTTATTTCCCCCACCATTTAAATGACCTCCACTAGTCGCTAGGGCTAAAAATCGATTTTTGTTCTCATTAAACAGGTTGTGGCATTTCCATTCGCACTGGCTACTTTGTGCTATGACCCACCAATATCATTTTTTGCTCTGCTTATTGGCTACTTTTTTGGTAAGTTATATCAATAACTAATTATCTCATGACGTGTTAAAATCACTGAAATTTTCAAAGCAGTTAATAATGGTCGTACAATCTTCGTACAATTTCAGCTGAAATGTGGTATGGCGTTGTTTTTGCTATTCTCGTTGAACTTCTCCCACATGAGATAAGGTCTTTAGGAATGGCTGTAGCCCTCTTCGCCATTAACAATTTTGGGGGAAATGTTCCTGTGATTATCTCCCCGCTTTCTAACGCACTGTCATATAGGACCGCACTGATTTACTTGTATCCAGGGTCATTGCTGCTTAGTAAGTTATTTGATTCCATTTGACATATGCGAATATTCTACATTGATATATGTACATAGAAGTCACAATTGACTCTGCAACTACAATTTACATTTTAGGTTCGTTCCTATTCTTTATGGGATATCTCTCCATATCGAAGTAATCCCCCAATTATGAAGTAATTTACCCCGCTCGCTTCTATATGTATACATACTTATTACATTGTACCTGACGAACCTGACGACTGTCTAGATTGGTGCTATTCTGTGATTTTTACGAATATATCAATTTTGTTAAGCCCATTTAGTTTACTCATTTTTTGAACCGTATCAGAACTTATGAATCATGGTGAATAACACCTTGTACTTTAAATTATTAAATCCTGGGAAAAATAAAAATTTATTTTTTTACAACTCCAATAAAATGTCGGTGGTCTGTAAATTTCATTTTCCATTTGCTAGTTTATTTTATCTTCTATTTTAATGTTGAAGGTTATTTACATATCGAAAATCTCTTCAATTTGTCCTTCACAACCTTCTAGAGCTCGTCCCGTATCGGTATCCAAACTTTTTTTATGATTCCAGCAGCAGGACTGATATAAAATTGATGACACATACACTTGTATTTGACACGTTTTGTGGTAACGTCAAAACGTTATTATTAGTTAAAGTAATTTAGCATAACAATGAACATGTTCGTGTTTTGAACAACTACATTTTGCAAATACATCATTATATTATTTGTCATTATTAATCGTGAGTCATGCGTCGAATTTATTTTGTGACATCATGATCATTGATCGTATGTAATTTTTTCATATTCAATTTTTCACCCGACTAATAAAATTTTGCATATTTTGGTACAGTCATGGGGGACTACCCAACCGACCCTGATTGTGCAAAAGAATGTTATGTATACACGTATATGTCCATGCTAGAATGTACCTGAGCATTGAATAAATCCACACAATGGACAATGATGAGCAGTCATATTACGATGAAATAAATGACTCCAGAAAGATACAAAGAGGAAAAAGCTATTATGGAAATCATTTGTAAATCAATTTCAGACAGATGCACATATGTATCTACCCCTTTATAAACTCTTTGTGATCCATTAAGTTGAATCATTTTGCGTGCATGCTCATCAAAAGCTTCAGACCGAACAATTGGACTTGACTTCCGGTGCTCACACGAACATTGGTTACCTCCACCTGACCTCTGACCACAAATTGGAACTAGTTTAAAACTAAAGCTGCGTACTGGCATACCAAAATTAATGGTCGTTGGAAGGCCACAGACAGAAACTTAAGCTTATAGATTTAATACGTGTACTATTAATACTTGAACGATGAAGACTCAATTAATTATCTTCGTCGTGGGATCATTCTTATCATCGTCTTTAGGAACAGGTGCGTAATAAGGGACCATTTACTATTTTTGTACGTAATATCATACAGTATACAGAATGTAATGTGTCTAATTCTTAAGATGAAGCGAACAAATGTGAAGGAAACACTGGAAGTTTGAAGGTAGGCAAAAACCTATTATTTATAATGCAATGTTGTTTGACTTTCCTAGTTATGTTGCGCAAAATGACGGGTTTCTTATAAAATCTTTCATCCAAAAAAATAAACTCAGTCATCAAGGGCGTTAGTTATTTCTAAAACCTGAATACCAGGGAAAAGTCCTACCCCTACTTCGTACTTAGGCTTCTACTTACATAGAACCATTTCCGAAAATTAGTGGGGGTACCCTACTGGAAAATCACTATGATGCGAGAGATTTACTTAATCACGTGTAGTACAACTATGTTCCAAATTTAAAGTCGATCGGTTGAGTTTTACGACCGCTATCGTGTTTAGAACGGAGGGACATGACTCTTGAACCTTTCCAGTCGGAAAAGTAAAATTTTGCCGGAAAATTGATACCCAATGCCACTTTTGTAAATTTTTGGCATCCAAAGCGTGTGACCTCCCCTATTGGTTTTAAAAAGTAAGAATTTCACGAAGAAAATCACTTTGGGTGTTTTTTGAGTTGGTTCAAAAAGGACCAATGATTTTCTGAGTAATTAATTACTCTACTTGTAACTCGACTAGCTTGGTCGTTATACGACAATACAGCCTTAGCGTTAGTTAAATACTAAAAGTCAAGCAATAGTGTATTTATTGTAACCAAATCACTACCAATTATATGAATTATGTTGATTCAATTTTTCCAGTACGAAGTAGGAAAGTCATATTTATACAACTATGGAGTTCATGCATATGGAGACTTGGAATTTGACCGTCAATCTCACGAGAACAAGCCGGTGGTCAATATCAATGGGTCAGTAATATTAACTCGGGTGCCTGGATGTGAATTCATTTTGACTTTGAAGAAGACTGTCATCTCCAGTCGACTAACAAATAATGAAGGACATGAGGTTACCATTAAACTACCAACTCAAATTATAATCGTCATGCTATTTCTAATACTTTATTTTGGTTTCGTAAATCCAGACTGAAACTAATAAAGTTGACGTTGAAGAATCCTCCTTAAAGTTTGGAATGAACAATGGAGCCGTTTATGACATTTACTTCAGTGAGGATGATCCAAGTTGGTTGGTCAATCTGAAGAAAACTATAATATTCATGATTCAAAACAAGGATGAAGCTTCTACAGAGAAAGACATGGAAATCGAGGTATTGATCGTTGGTATTCGAAATTGAAACGGGGAAATTAATCCATTTGATTTAAATTTCAGACGTCGGTCTTTGGAAACTGCATCACACAGTACACGAAATCTGACAAAAGTAAATTTATTTTCAATTACTAATTGATTGAGGAGTTGAAGGCGAAACTATTTATATATTTTCTAAAATTATTCTTCATAATAGGTCAAGTTAAAATTACACATCTTAATCAGTGCGGCCAAGGAGAAGGGTCAAATATTGCTTTCCACGGGGTCCCATATCATATCCCCCTCGTCACGGTACATAAACACAGAACATTAAATATAAAAGATTTGTATATACCTATTTTTAAATTACATTGCGCTAATAATTTCAATCAATAACTTCTAGAATAAACCAATGTTTGAATTTCTCCGACATGGTCATGTTCGTTGTTCACAAACGTTTGACAATGGAATCCTCACTGATGTCATTTGCAGTGAGAGAAATAGCGGACCGACATTGGTGTCCGTGCTGAAATTCAGCGAAAAGACCTCCAGCAGTGTTCAAGAGGCAGAAATTGCTAAATTAGTTGCTACCACTCCAGTATTTTACAATTTTACAGTATCCTTCTCAAAACTTATGCAAGAAAATGCAGTAGAAAAAATGAAACAGCTTTTAAAATCCTTGAAACTTGATGGTTCCAACAAGGCCGAGATTTTCATCGATTTGAAAAAAGTAGCAAGGAGAATTTCCGATCTAGAGCAATTTGTCAATTCAGGTACAGTTAAGAACACGTTACTTGCAAAAATGGAGCACAACAATTAATTTCATTCAATGCTTAGAATACATTGCTGAAGATATTCACAAGAAAACTTTCTACGACGCATTGGTGGAAGTGCCAAATGATGAAGCTGTGCGAGTTGTATCTAACGCTGCCGTACAGGGTCAACTCGATAGTATAACATTGTTCAATTTCTACACCAACATTGCTTTTTCTACGCCGGGAGTAAAGGCCCTGCAAGCATTGGAGACTTTGGTGAAATCAATCAAGTAAGAAAACTACCTCGATATTATTACTTGCTTATTACTTATGTACATATGTACTTAAAACATTGTATGTGTATACACATTGTAGCTGTTTCAAAAATGACCACAAATTTTTGTTTTTATTTAGAATCAAGAAGCCTGAATCGACCGATGGAGGCTCAAACGAGGACATGGTCGCATTCAAAACTAACCTTTCCCTAAGCCAACATCTACTTCTGGGTGCATCAGGTCTTGCTCATCAATATTGCAAATTGAATAATCCACAGTGCATTCTGACACCTGAATATCAACACCTTGTTGACGCAATTACGACCCATGTAAGTGGACAAGGATTTGCGTATATTTATTGTCATCAACTACATAATTCATCTCTATAATTAAGTCTATGCAAATCGAAATAGGTCAAGTCGGAGGAGGAAGACATTGTCCTTGGAGCCCTGCATTCGCTGGGGAATTTAGATGCCCTCACGCCACAGGCTGTCGAAGATTTGCAAAACCTTCTTACTCAAACCACATCCCCGACTTGGCTGGAGATTCAAGCAATGGATGCATTCCGAAGGTAATTATTTTTGTTTATGCTTACATTAAGTGTTAAGGGATCAAATTTGAATGCATGTATAAATTTTAGGGACCCGTGTCAACCGACATTAAAAGAATCCGTACGAAAGATTTTTAAAGATGCGTCCAAAACGGATCAAGTCCGAATTCATGCTTATTTGGCTGCGAGCAAATGTCTCACCTCCGAAGACAAAACTGCTATTCAAGAAGTGTTTAGCCAAGGAAATTCACCTGGTTGGCATATAATGTTCTTATAAATGACTTTTCAGTATTTAATAATCAATTACGTTACATACTTTTCATTAACTAGTTGGTGGATTCATTGGTTCTCACATTCGCAACATCCGAGACAGCTCAAGTCCTTCCAAGGCTACGTTGAAGGCTACTTTTGAACAAGTTCAAATTCCGGATAACATCCTTGCGGTTTACAATCGCTCTCGAACCTCAAAGTTCATTGAACATTCGACGTTTAACGAAAAGAAAAATTTAGGTTTTTCTGGCGACGCGACCATCATTTTTATTCCAGGACAAGCCAAACCAGAATTTGTCTCATTTAATGGCACCGTTGACCTATATGGTAGATCGTTCAACTTTTTGGAGGTTAGATTCTGATAAATATATACCTCAAAACCTCTATTTATGGCCAGGTTCTAAATATGCTTCTAAATTTGGATTTTGGCTATAAATAGACGTTTCATATATGGTGCCACATAACTCATAGCTCGATTTTGTGTCCCACTATATTATTAGATTGGATTGTCTCAACGCTTTGTAATGAAAACAATGATGATGCAAGGCGATGAGGTACCTGCGGACTGGAGCAGCCTTTTCGAAGCTACCACAGCAAAAGATTCCTACTACAGAGTCCTGGGGACCACGATTGGTCTTGGTCTTGAGGGTTTGCATGATGCACTTCAAACTTCAATTTCTAAAACAATGTCTGGCGATTTACCTGGAGCGATTATTGACATGATCCAACCAAGTACCATTCTTGATGAAGATTTAGTTTTCCCCACAATCTCGGGCCTCCCGTTGAATTTTGATGTTCAAGCAGTCAGCTTTGATTCCATTAAAGTTGAACTACTCGGGATTTCAAACTTTTCATCTCTACTAGATTCATCCAAGGCACTTGAGTACTTGCTAAATTCTAAAGTGACAATAAATACGGACTCGGCCGTAACAATCATGGGAGAAGTTGGACTAGGTACAACAATTTAATTAATAAACAATTTAACAATTTAATTAAATAATTAATATGTTCGCGGTGTGTCCGAACTCAATCTGCATGAAACTGTTGATCCTTTTTATTTCTAGGAGCAAATACACCGGTTCACACGGGTTACAAATTAGAAGTCAAACTTGATAAGAAAACAAACTTTGGCGTTGCAATTTCATCGAAAGAGGGCCCAACCTTGGATGTGGACTTGAAGTTTAACTTCCCAAATCAAATCATAAGCAGTAAATATTTCTAGTCATTTTGCTACTAATTGCATTTATTTATTGAAAATCTTTGCCCAGTGGCTTTCGGTTCAATTTAAGACACGGTTTGTAGGTTGTAGGCAGAGGATGACAGCTTATTTGCATTATGTTGTTTTCTCAATCAATTGGACAATATGCTATTATGAAAGTTTACACGATTGAAATTGATTTCAGAAACGGACATGGCGTATAATATTTTTCGATTTGAGGATATTGAAGGAAACATGATAAAGAACGGTGGGAAAACTATGGTTGGAGAAGCTTTGGTGTGAGTGCGAATTAGTTTCCCCTAAATCATTCATGCATTCCATAAATTATCCGAAGCTATTTTTATGTTTAAATGCCAATGTGTAATTATTGCATACAGCTCACAACCTCGAGAGTGTTTTGACTTTAGCAACGTTTTAGGAGTTCGAAAATGCTATTCCATGAGAAACGGACCCAATTTTCCCAAGCTTTTTTCATGTTCATTAGAAAAGGAAAATGCCGAAATGGAAGGATTTGATATCAAAATTACTTCAGATGGAGCCCAATTTACTCCCACTTATGAAATTACTGCCACTACCCCTGGCTCTAAAACTTCTCGACTACTCAAAATGACCATGAAATTAGACCAAGGAAATGAACAAGCTCGTAAGTGGTATAAATTTCTGGCAAAGATTTAATATTCTGCACGTCACAAATGAAATTGTTGACCTATTCCAGCCGAGTACTGGGAAACAAAGGAAATTACTGTGACTGCAGAGTTGAATAACAAAAAGTTCACTGGACATGCTTTCTGGAATCGCTCGGAAGGTTAGCAAATTAGTGACAATGTTTAATCTTTGGTTCTATATATTATAACATAAGAGCTATAATTTTCTATCACTTTAATGCAGTTGTTCAATTTCAACCACTCATTTCAAGCGATTACTACATGACTGTCGATTATACTGATCCTGATGCTAAAGCACCAACACAGATTGTCAAACTCATGACTAAGCAACCTAAAGCGGATGCTATCAATTTTGAGGCCAAATTTGATGGACCCCTAGCTTTACTTGGCGATGTCAAGTGTAAATATTTTTTTAAACACACAATTTTGCATTTTCATAAGTAAGGAAACAGGTCAGTCATTACGTAACTAACAAGATAATTATATACACAGATAATTACGACCGGGAGGTATCACGTAACAGTGAAGGGCACGGTTATGAACACTCAAAGTACACAAAACATTTTGAGTGGACTTCTGATCTATTTGGAAAAACTTTAGCAGATTTCAAATCCGAGTTTTCACACGACGGAAATTCGACTAGTTCCATTAAGGTACGAGTCTAAATAAAAACTGCTGAAATGCAAAATTTGCTGATACAAACAAATGTTAGGTCAATCACAACAACCGCATTTACGAGGTGCAGCAGACAAATCTAGTTACTCGAGTTTTTGGAGAAGAAAGGGAAAGTACTGGAGAATACAAGATCAAGTACCGACCGATACTTGAGCGGCTGGAAAAGCACAGCTTAATTGTAAATTATCATCCAAACAAACGATACGAAGTTGATGTCGGAATCGGACATAAGATGATTCCTGACGATCAAAATATGAACAATTTGACTGTAGATGTCATAAGCCCACATCATAAGCCAATTTCGTACGTATGCATTCATATCAATTTATAAAAAAAAACGTAGTGCGAGACACCAGACAGCAAGTCCTCACAATACAATTTGTACTTTATTAGAGGAAAAATAACTTTAGTCGAAAGGAGGAAGGATAGCAGCTTGAAAGGAGATTTAACCATGGAGGTTGGTGGTGAGAAACAAGTTGACGTTTCTACAAAGTGCAACTGGACATCGGGCATCTATGAAATTATGGGCAACGTGAAAAACGAGGGAGAGTTTTTCGTAAACTTATCAACAACTGATGACGGACAGCATCAGCACATTCATTTCGACATCAAGTATAGTCGAGAGCAGCTTGAAATCACTTTTGATGCCGACTTTGATGATGACGGGAACGAATTCAAGCAAAAAACAGACCTTGTTGTGGACAATAAAAAACACAAGACAGTTTTGAAATCTGAAAGCTATACAGTGACTGATCGCTCAAAGAGAACAATGGATTACTTGTAAAGAAACATGAATCAGTGAACACTTGAAGAAATATATTTTCTTATTATTTCTATTACATTATTATTACTTTTTAGGTCAAAAACTACTAATAAAGATCAACTAATTGCAAAAGTCCAAATGCACGTTCAAGTTGCCCAAGATTTTTGGAATGGACGCAGTGAAGCAAATATGAGACTTGAGGATGAACACGGAAAGGTTTATACCGGAAGTGCAAACCAGACGTTGGCCAGCAAAGAGGACAAATACCTTAAGAGTAATTTGGCCATGGATTTTCACGCCCCAAAACAAGTTCCCTTCACCTACAACTGGAACCTCACGGTTGACTCGAACCCCATGCATGCAGAAACTCAAGAAATTGAATGGCACATCACCAGCGATAAACGCTTTACTGGTGAAATCTTGGCTCCCTTCAACATATTGATCGAAAAGGACATTCATTTCCACAAGAAGAAGGGAGAAAACGAGTTTGAACTGACTAGTTTGGTGAGGAGCATATTTATCATGCAATTTTTGATACTCATGTATATTTTTTGTAGTTGATTTTTTATTTTTTTTTTACTAATTATTTGTTTTATTGGTTTTATAGTCTAATTTTACTGATAATGGAAAGCTGGAAAGAACCACAGATATGGAAATGACCATAATTGGGAATGATGGAAAGTGGAGAAGTTTAACTGTGAGAGCAAATGGGAATACACAGACATCCAACTTTAGGGATAAATTCTCAGCTCAGTTGGATGCCGAAGAAAGAGCTGACAAACAACATGGTTCCATTCAAAGACTTGGTTTTACAGTGGACCGGACTGACCTCAAGACAAAGGTCACAAGTAACCTGATTGAAGGGACAGTCAACAAGACGAGTTATTTTCATGACATAATGGATTTTGAAGTAAGTTTTAATAATAATGCACATTAGTAATTTTTGGGTACAATTTCATGCAAATTCTCAATGTGCCCCAGATAACTGAAGATGCCCGTTTTCGCATTGAAGAGCATAAAATTATCACGTCGAAAGAACTCATCCGACTTCACGCTAATGAACTAATCATTTTCAAAGAAATTGAGGAAACTGATGGAGATAAGGTCCATGACACCAAATTTTTGATTGACATTAAGGTTATGGATGAGAATCATCAAACCAAATTCGTAGTGAGATCCAAAAACAACTTTCACCCTGCGATGCACGGGGAACACGTTAATTTCACTCTTTCAAAGTGAGATCATTACCAAACACTAAGGTACCCAGCGGATATAAACTAGTGCAAGCCGTCACAATCACAATAAGAATTTGCAGACTTTCAACAGTTTGATTTTTAAGATTCTTTAATTTTCTTCATAACATTATCATTCTGCATCAGAATTTCTGTCACCATAATATATTTCTAGTAATAATTTGTTTCCAGAATAAATGTTTTTTTTTCTCAATACTTCAAGCATATACATGTCGCATATCGATAATGCAATATGACATTGAATATTTATGAAGAAGACACTTTCACTGGAACATGTATGTCCATACATGAAACAAGGTCCCCAAAAAGGGGAAATCTTAGTGAGGTAGTGCAATCCTAATTAACGAATAAAATTAGATTGCCGAATTTATGCATCACCGCTCTCAGTACCATTTTTTACTGGAAGCATTAATCGTTTAAATAGAAAAGTTGTACTCTCAAAAGGTCCCATGATTTTGCCTGAATAGAATATCCAAATTAATATATTAAATTGAAATTATAGATTTGTATCTTTTTTAAACCAATACGTAGTTCATAATTGTTTAGCCATTATATTTTACATATCTATCTCAGTTAATTTAACCCACTGCTCGTTCACTACACAGTAATAATGCCCTCTTTCTCAATTTATTCAATAAAATTAAGAATTCATGCGTATGCAAAGAAAAATTTATACTGTATCCAGTAAAAATGGTACCGAGAGCGGTGATGCAAAAATTCTGCAATCTAATTTTATTTGTTAATTAGGATTGCACTACCTCACTAAGATTTCCCCTTTTTTGGGACCTTGTTTATTCATAACTTTTAATTGGAATTTGGAATGTCAATGGGATGATTAAATTGCACCACCCCCTTTCAATACTTGCATCCGGGATAATTTTATTAAATGCTTCGTTTTCAAAGTTGAATTATTTCGTTATTTCTTAACCGATTCACGTTATTTTGGTCTTAAAATGTCTGGTCTAGATTACTAAATACCAAATGACCTAATCTGAACGTGGAACACTCACAACAACCCCTTCATGCATTTTACCAAGAGTGTTACAGAATCAAATATTAGTTGTTCTGTTTACAGTTTTGAATATTTATTTTGTCTTAAATTTATTAGTCCTATGTCGTTGTCAATGGCATTGATTCGTAGCACGTCTATGAATTGGAATAACTAAATCAATTCGGAACGGATTTTGATATATTTATACTCAAAATTTTCGGGTTAAAATGTTCTACAATTCGTGGGGTTCAAACTGTTGATAAAGTTTTCTAGTAATTAGCAATAATTATAAATATGTTTCTAAGGCCACATTTTTGCCCATATTTCCGGTCAAAATCACATAATCGCTTAGTCGGATCAGATCCCATTTGTAAATTATGTAACAATAATCGGTGCAAAATTTCATCAAAATCGGTTAAGAAATGACTGAGATATCGCAGATGGTCACTTTTTTGGGGTGGGTCAAATGCATACTTAGTAATTTTTTCGTTGTTAGGTATTTGCCTCACTAAGAAAAAGTCCAATCTTATTCCGGTTTGGTTCACCACCAACCCTCTCACATCATTTCCCATGGGTCAGAAATGGACGAACTAACACATTTACACCCAGCCAAATTCTAGCATTTAAATGCATAAGTAAAAATTCCAGATTTATAGCCAATACCCAGTTTGAATTCCATACATATTTACACATCGTCCTCAAAGCAAGGCAGTAGGTAGTCATACAAATGTAGTCTTAGATCTGCACCAAGAAAGCTGGACGCGATAATATACCAAAAAATGCCAACCAAACGATCCGATTGAGTTATCAGATTGGACACACTGGTAGAAAATCGTAACGTCTTGAGAAAGTTGCCAGGGCGTAGAGAACACTTTCCTTTCTCCGTCTCATTTGAGTTGCAGGTGGCTGAAGGCAAACTCGTTGAATCTTTTGGGATTATACAGTCACAACCACCTGCTACCCCTCCGATCCGATCCGGGCATATCAGCACACGACCAGCAACACTCTCATCTCATCCCGTGTTCATTACCACAAGTTCCAATTATTTCTCATCCTCCGTCCCAACCCTTTCCCATCATCATCTTTTACAGTCCTTTCACCCTGGAAAACTCTGCAATTATCTTACCACCAAAAATACCAACCGCATAATTTTATCCCTTGTGCATGTTGTTGAAACAATTACTGCAAGTACTTAATACATACATATATATGTCTACTAGCTTAAATTACTACTGGCCGCTACGCTGGAGAAAGTAAAGTGGTTCAGACAATTGAAGATCAGATTAGATTACTTACGGGTGTCCAAGCATGACATTGTTTAATTTGGTAATTGAAACAGTGAGACAAGATCCTCCGTCAGTTAAGAAGAAGGAAGAAGGCAGGGTAACGACAAAAAGAGGGAGAGAATACAATGGGGGAAAGGCGGACCGAATTCCCAGGAGGGCTCACTCCTCTGTTGAACCGAATCCTCCAACGATGCGATGCAGCTTATGTAACCGATGTGTATGGGAACATTACTGGTTCTGGTGATCACAAGTGTCAACATTCCATTAAACCATCCCCACTGCATCATTACTCATGTTTCAAGAATAGGACATCACAATTTGTTGGGATTTTCGGATATGTTGCACGTGGCTGGCTATGTGTAGGTCTCAAACACACACATCTGGCCTTCCAATTAAATGCTCAATCTCATGAATAAATGAATCCCAATTACCACTTGTACTTGAGATATAGTAGCAGGATGTAAAAAATATTAAAAATAAGCACACTCCTACATCCATGTACATATGTATATCCTTTATTTTGCTGGGTAATTGCAACATATTGGACATTTTATATCCTCCGTCATTGTTTATTTAATTTTGTAATGGTTGAAATGTAATAACAAAAGCAATAAATCAGGCGAAATCTAGATTAGGTAATTTAAATTAGCAGAGCTTACTGTGACTGTGTTACGGATTTATTGATTGTGTACTAAATATGTTTTTTCAATTATAATTCATACTGATTTATTCTTCCTTCTATGCATAATAATCATTACTTTATTTTGCTAACGAAAGGAACCGAGGCTGCGTTCAAGGGAAATCTGCCTGGTAAAAAAATTGTTTTGATTTAATTAGACGATTGTCAACTGAGACAAATCCAAGCCGTGCTGCTAACCAATTAAATAGCGTATGCAGTTATCGTTCTAAAACGTGGTTCAAGTAGGCGATGTAGCAAATTGCGAGGCGAAGGATTTCTATTTTGGAAAGCCTCTTGTCCGGCGGAAGGGTGGGTAGGAGACTTCTCAAGTTGGCAAAGGATCCGTTGAAGGCTGGAATAGAAATGAGGGATGCCAGATCATCATCATTGTATATTTTCTGTGTGTATGTATGAATAGTTGGAAGCAGGATTTGCTAAGTGTTGAATTTAAATATAACGAATGGTGTAACCAAGCCACTTACACACCCCAAAAGACAGAATAGAACATATGACGAAGATCTTAAGCTTTATGTTAGTGCATTTTTGTCTAAATTCGCACCAATTTAGACCTTAACGCATGCATAATATGTATAAACAATTACCTTCCACCCGCACCCTTTCTCGGGAGGCGTGGGCCTTGCGATACTTGGGTGTGGCCCGACGACGTCTCCGCCGTTCTTCCCGAGTTAGCTTCTCCTCCATCCCTAAAATTGATAGACAACATAAAATTACAAGCCATTTACATGTTTATCCAATGGGAATCTTAGGAAATGTGAGTGCTGAATAGCATTTTCGGTACATAGCATTTTCAAAGTGAAAGCAACAAGAGCATTCTACACAAACACTGAAATGTGGTTGTATTGTTGTATGTGCATAAAAGCTGTTGAAGCATTTTATGATGGGAGTTATACGCACATACGTATTGCTATGCATGATGGCTAATTTGACCTAACTAAACTTATTAAATTTCCAAAATCAGTAAAATACTAATATGTCTCAAATTCCCCTTAAACACGATTCGTCATTATTAACTCAATGAACAATACATATACCTGATTCATATATGTAAGAATGTCAACAAGGCAATAATTTAAAAAATTATGTAAATATATATTTACTCGAAAACATATGTTTGTAAACCAGTGATGAGGACAATTTGTAATTATATATCTCACCCATTAAATGATTGTGAGATTCATCCGCACTTCCTCCACTGTCGCTTTCGAATCGCATTTCTATTTCAGAATTCCCGTCCACACTTTCACAATTTCTGTTGTTGGAATAGCTGCCACACCCACTTCCACTGTCGCCAAAATACGACATTTTAAATGATCCGGAATGTGTACTTTAGTATTAAGAAGGAAGATTTGCCAATTTAGGTCGACGGATTGAACTTGAAGTAGTTGTAAATAGCTTGCATACTACGAATTACATAAGAGTTGATAACTAATATTTATTAAACACTCTATATCGTTACAAGTTTACTCGAAATATGTCCAAAAGACCACACTCCACAGTTGAAGAGAAAGGAGGAGAGTGGAGGAAAAGTGAACTTGGTCGAAATCTGTTGAACGGTGGCACTGGATCTGGAGGAGAAAGCGACGGAAGGAATGCGCACACGGGAAACTTTCTTCTTCTGAACTCCGAAACAAGTGCCTCCTTCCACTCAGAAGACCAACCCACATCCGCTAATTCACTTATTCTCATTGGGATAGCAGATTTCTGAAAGGATCGGACATTATATGCACTTACGCTCATCGGTATATGCATATTTTACTATCCGAATAACTTTCCCATGCTTTCATGTTTCGGACTGTCCTACTTTAATTTTTTGTTAGCCTATTTTTCGTGGTTTGCCTCAATTGAGACAAATGAATTGGTCTACAATTTACGTATGCAAGAATGCAGTATAATTATTATAAAAATACATCCTCACATGCTTGTTTAGGCAGTTTGGCATGTGAATTAGTATGTGTATATATGTATTAGTGAATAGACGTACGTCACTAATCTCAACTCATGAACCATATTGAATGTGACGTGATGATTGTACTCTAATTAGCTTATCTTATTTAACTGCTTTCTATCTCACATAATTATGAAATCATTATTTCTGGGCAAATGCAAGAAAAAGGTGGTCGACTGGCTGGTTTCATAGTAAACATTTAACTGCCCACATCAAAAGCTGAACTAAAGAACTAACAAAATTAACATGTTTGACATATTATTAATTGGTAAGTGAGCCAATATGAGCATTAGGAAAAATTTATTAAATCCCGTTTAAATATTTTATCCTTATATTTGTATTACCTTTGCAAGTTTTCACTTTATTTTGTACGGGTACAAATTCATCCCCGAAAACTGTTGAGCAGTTCTCGTTCACATTACATCAGGTACATAATTCCGTAGCTTACTTGAATTATCCTATGACATTTTAAATACACGTGTGCTAATCAACAAAATTAAAACACACTTTTCAGCATTTGTATAATGAAAATACGAGTTCAAATGCGATCTGGTCGCCCATCAGCGTGTATTCATCCTTGGTTCCGTTCTTGAACGGTGCATCCGGAGTAACCTTGACCGAACTTCAAACATTTTTGGGAGTTGAAACGCCCGACGGTCAGACAATGGATACGCTCACTGTGAACGACACTAGCGTGCAAATATGCACTGGAATTTTTGTACAGGACGACATTAAGCTCAAGGAAAAATTTTCGTCCAGTTTCAAAAATGTTCAGACGTTTAAAAATTCAAGCAATCTAAAAGACACGATCAACGATTGGATGAAGAATGCAACAATGGGATTAATCTCAAGCGTGGTGAACCATGTTGAAGAAAATGCCAAATTGGTTGTAGTCAACGGTGTCGGATTTAAGGTTAAACTATTGCATCATATCTTCTATATTATAAGCTGGAAATGTTTGTTGGCAACGGAAGTGAAAGTAATTTGTCCGCCACGGAAGTGAAAGTAAGTGAAAGTATAAAGTTCATTTGCATGTTTGAACAAAACAGACAGAATCGAGTTTATTTGTCGACCAAGTCAAGGCTAATGACTGTTGTTCAAACGAATTTTCCCATCATCAACTTGGTTACAAAGTTCTTTCGCTTCCGTCGGCGACAGAGTTTCAGCTTATAATGCATAACATTTAATTGGGTATAAGTTTAAAAATCAATTCAACTCTCGCCCAGTGGGAGACGGGCTTATACGCTAGTATTTGCACAAATGAAAACTTGGATATGATATTGTTGGTGGAAACTTATGTAGCTACTTAATATCTTAAAACTACATTTAATTTTACAGGGCACATGGAGGGCAAAGTTCAGAAAGGATAAAACATTAATCAAGCCATTTTATGGGCTCAAGAACACCACACAAGTTGAAATGATGCAGCAGAAAAGCGTGCAGAACTACGGGCAATTCTCGACTGTCAACGATGAAGTTTTTGATGTCATGAAAATGGGCTACAGGGACAGTGCGATGCACATTATTTTTGTGATCCCGGAGAATCCGAAAAGTTTAATTAGCGTTTACAAGTACTTGAAAACAATGGAACCAAACAAACTTGGAGAAATTTTAGAAAGACTGGAACCAACCGAATTAGAAATTCAAGTGCCCAAGATGAAAGTAGAAAGTACGATTGGAATTCAGCAAGCTTTAGAAAAGGTAGGTCGTGCATGCAGATATGTGCTCAATCAGACTAATATGATGCAATATGAATTTGATTAAAATAAAATAATTGGCTTAAAATAGGCAGGGTTAAAATCAATATTCTCCACGATGACAGCAGATTTGTCCAACATGTTTGAGGAGGACACAAATTCTACCAATTCTACAGCTAGTTCTTCAACGAAACCAGCAGGGATTCATGTGGACAAATTTGTTCACAAAACAATTTTAGAATTGGATGAGGATGGAACAAAAGTGGGCGCAGCTACGGCAGCCATTTTTCTCCCCTTGAGTGGCTTGGCACCCAAAGTGTTCGTTGTGGACAAACCATTCATTGTGTTGTTAAGATGGGAAGGCAAATGGACTTTCTTTGAAGGGGTTGTGACTGATGTTGAAGGAAACTTGGTCAAATTGCAAGCTCAAAATAATTTGGAGGAAGGAATCAAGAATGAAACAGCAACGCCTGTCACCATCACTCGTCGTAATAATAGCAACAACGAGAAATGGTGGGTACAAAATGGGCCACCAGAATATTTGTCCAATAGTAGTGAAGATAGTTCACAGGATGAAAATAAATCAGCCCGCAGCAAATTTCAACAGCCAGAACCATTGGATCCTTATGGAATCAGGTTTCCTAACCATGTAGATAATGAGAAGCGCACGTTTTTTGGGACGTTTCATGGAGAAAAAATCAACCCTTTATTTGTATCTGAAGAGTAAACAATTTTTATTTAATGCTGTACATACTTGAATTGACACGTAAGCGTAATGCATTAATATTTGAGATGTATTTAAATAAATCTGCAGAGTATTTTTAAGAAAATGAAAGTGGGCGAACAGATGACAGCAGAATTCTAACAGTTTCGACGTAATGTGGACTGGATTGATTTATGATTTTTATCCCAGCATCTGTAGCAATCCCTTTTACAAGGTTGACCAAATCAGCATAGTACTGAAGGAAGAAGAAATTTGTTGTTAAAAAATGTAGAGCATATTGATAAATAATCAAATTGTGTATTTATATGGTTAACAAATCATTTCTCACTTCAAACTCCATTACTGGATCTTCGGTGTAGTTTGGGCTCACTTCTGTGCAATCTATTCGTATAGATTTTGTAGGCGTGGTAAGAACCATGCTGTAGTTTCCCTGCATAAAAACAAAACCAAGAAATCTTAATTGCTTGAGGCTTGGCAAACAAGCTTCAAAGAAAGTGGGAAATTACCGGACTTGCAGATCCATGAAGTCGCTGTCTCATTTGATAAACCATTCTGTCGCGACCGGCCAGAAGATTCCAACGACTCCACTGAAAGTTGAAGGCCGACGACACCACGGCCATACATCTGGTTTATGAATATATGGTTAATTCTAGTTTAAATATGCATACACATATTTAGCTGAGAACATAAATGCTTACTGATACAAGTGATCTTCGGCTGCAACGTCTTTCACCAGCACGCCATCCACATACGCGTACGAATCAAACTCGGGGAACAAATCTAAACCGTGATGTCGCATAGCCTGCATGTAATACAATTTAGTTAATGAATTTGATTAGAAAAGAAAAATAGATACATCAACGGAAACAGTGATTATGATGCAACATGTCCACCTCTGACCTTTATTAGAATATGGGGTTTCATGTACTTGTTTATTAGAGATGCTTCTACCTCGCTACTGTTGGCTACATTGCTCAGAGATGAGATGCAAATGAGATCCCCCTTAATTTCAAATAGGAGATGGTCACGATTAATTAACAAATAGAACTATAAAAAATATGCATACGACGCCTTCATACCATAACAATGAACTCTATCACGGCAATCGCAGCAATCAGAGAAAAGCACATTTTATCGCGACCAATTGGTCTCAATTCCCATGATTGATAGGGAAGATTTGACCAGCGGTTATGTCCAAAAGCAAACGTTCCAAATCTGACCGTTCTAAAACTGAGCTGAAGCGTGGACTCGTTAAATTTAATGTCATAAAACCCCTCCGTGGACCAGGCTCGTTTTACCGGATCCCAACTCACTGTGATAAATGAGTGTAATAAATTTACATCACAAATGCATGCTAAATACAAGAAAGGTGCATATGAACTTGCCTGGGGTCGGAGGTTCAAACCACAATGCTACTTTTGGAGCACTGGAATTAATATTAATGCAATAAAGGAAATTATTCAGTGAGCAATCATGCTGTTATAAAAATGATAAATAAACTCAGGTAAGCTGGATTTAAAGAGGATATGGTAAAGGTAAAAGATCTTTTCTAACGTGATTTGGACGCTCATTAATCCTTTATACTGAAGTTCTGCTGCCTCCAAGAGTTTTCGCTCAGCCTCCTCAAGCATTTTTTGAGCAAGGTAAGCTTCTTCTTCAGGATCTTTGGGCAAGTCAAAGTCTTGCTGGCCCATTCCAGCATTACTAAATATGTGGTAGACAGGAGTGTGAAGGTCAAGGATAAGCAAGGTGAAAAGAAGCATACAGGGTACAGGGTAATTGTAAATGTAGGCATTGGTGGGAAAAGAGAAAGCAAACGAAAAACAAAATTTGTTGAAAAAGTTTCATCTTACGACATGTCGGCTAAAACCAGTTTTTGCAGTTCTTCCTCTTGCTGCTTTGCCTCTCTCTCCATTTCTTCCGGCGTCTTTTTTGCACTTTCTTGATCGGCAATAGCTGGTGGAGTGTAGTCCGCTTCGAATGCAACTTCCTTAAGACTGTTGTCCGCTTCCTCTATATCGATTATACCCAATGGATAAATGACATTTCACATTTTCCAACCAAAACACCATACACAAATTGTTGCTAAATACGTACTAATATGGATAACCCAATTTCCTCTGTTCTTTGGTTGAGGTGGAATTTCCCTATAAACACAATAATGAAAATATACACTCCGACGAATATTCTACAGATTTAGTTTAAATATGTGTGAGTTATGAATTGGTAATTATGACGTATATGGTAATTTATAAAAAAAAACGACGAGAGAAGATCAAACTTACAAAAGATTGAATTGATAGACTCCACCAAGAATGACATAGTTCCGTAAGTTCAACTCATTTTCCTAGTAAAAGTACGTATGTAAATTATTTACATACGAAATGGAACATGACAAAATAATATAATAAATTAATATTCATCTAATATAGAAACTTTGTATTGAGAAATTTTCCATGTATCATGTAAGTAAATTTCACATTGGTCTTTTACACACCTACATATGTCAGTTTATATATGTATGCATCATTGATAACGGAATGATAAGAAATTCAAACTAAAAAAGTCCATGATTAAGAACTAGCGTCCTTTTATAAAAAGATTTATACACCAAACAACGCAAAAAGCATTCCTTACCAATTCACACTGGTCCGGATTCCTTTATTTGTTTGCCAAAACCTCTAGCTCTCGAACCATTTAATTTTTTCGAATTCTGCCTTCGGGGATCGAGATATGAAGTTCCAAGGGGCATAAGCTATGCAACTCTCATTGAAGCCACACCCCTTGGGGGGTGTGGTCACAGGTGGATATTTATTTTCTTGCATTACCCCATCAAGTGGGGTGTCATTTGAAAGGTCTAATCAAGCTCTAAACAACTCCGACCATTGTTGGGACATTATCGGCACACCCACTGCCAGGGGGGTGTGGTCAAAATACAAATTTGAAAGTTTTGTTTTGATAATTCTGAGGATGTATTTTCATAAAATGACAATATTCTATAGTTTTATGAAGTATTTCTACCCTCTAACTTGATTAACAAAGAAAATAGGACAAAAATTATAAATTTAGTTATGCCTCCTCAGGGGGTCACCAATTCCTAAAATCCCCCCGCTCGTAATAAATTTTTTGGAGGGGTGTGGTTTACCATATTTCCTTCCCCTAGGACTTGGCAAGATATTTCGAGGCGATTGTGTTATTTGGAACACTCGAAAATTTCATACGTGACAATAATGGAACACTCCAGATATTTTGCCTATGGCAATTTGCAATTACATAAATTCAAATCTCTCTGCCTATTTATAATGGTGGCAGCTGGTGGCAGCAGTTTTTGTAGATTATATATGGGGGATTAATAATACATTAACGGTTCCTCAGAAAAGCACAGGAATAGACAGGATTTTCAACTTGAAGTTTTCCCCATTTAGCCCAATGTTATCAGCCAAGTTTGAGTATACGCCACGCCTTCACCGGTGGAACAATCCAAATGAAACTTTCAGTTGAACATCTATGTCAAAGGTACTGAAGGGGGTACTTCGTTTTCGAATCGGTGAGAATAGGTTTTGGCCAAGAAATTCAGTATTCCGGACCAACGTGCAATTGTAAGCAATTATTTTTCCATGTTTCTTAAGTAATTTGCACGTAAATCATGGTTTAGGAATTAGTTAGCATAATTAAATAATTGCTTACCTGAAGTTGAGGAATAAACTTTGACTTTTCTGCTCGCTCCCGTTCTTTTGCCACTAAAAATCATAAAACCTTTACTTATTAGGTAAAATTATGTAGAGAGTTTCTATGTGGAGATTCAACCAGTGTCACTTACACTCAGCTTCGGTTTTCTTGTGGCGATCTTTGCTTTTACTTTTGCCACCTTTCTTCTTGGATTTCTTTGCATACGTATTAAACAGTCGGATTAAAATTATAAATTACATTAAATATTAAGTATTAAATATGCATGTCTAACCTTAGACCCTCCACTTTTTGACCTGCTTTTGCTCTTACTTTTGCCCTTTCCTTTACCACTCTTGTCCTAAATTGAGACATGATTAAGCTGTTAAGAGCAAATACTTAAACCTATGAATTGTGTGTTAAAAACTTGTAGATGTACTTTGGTTTTCGATCGAGACTTTCTGTCATCTCCTTTGGGCTAGATAAACAATTAAATAACTATTAAAAATAATTAATCATGTGCATCAATTAATTCAAAAGATTTTTACCGATTTGGACTTTGATCGACCGGAATCAGATTTGGATTTAGACACTGATTTGTCTGATTTTGCAGATCCCTGAAAACAGCTTTGTTTGTCAAGGAAGACAAAGATTCTGCAATTTGCACTAAAAACGTACCGGTTTACTGGACCCCTTCGGTTTTTTCTACAAACATTAATAACACAGAAGTTATAAGTAAATTAAACTTTTAACTCTAAATTAAGTATATGTATGCAATGCACCAACCTCCTTCGAAGCACTACGACTTTCACTTGTAGAAACCTAAAGGTGTACATTCGAAGATTTATCATGCTAGAAAACGCTATTATATATCGGATCATTACATAATTGCGACAGCTTGCAAAAAAAAAATATTTAGTGGTTAATTGTAACCACCGATTCATACGTCAGCTTTTTTCTTCTCTTTTGCATTTTTCTTCAATTCCTTCGCATCCTCTTTTTTCCCATCAGGCTTGTCCACTTTTGCTGACTTTGCATTCTTTTTCAAATCCTCACTTTTTTGCTGTTTTTTATTCGCTTGTTTATCACTCGCCAGTTTCTCGGACTTGGCAGGTTTTGCACTTTTGTCCACTGGTTTAGCCTTTTCTTTCTTCTGCTTGTCTTTCCCCTTACTCTTTTTATTTGGCGATTTAGATTTGGCTGATTTGGCTGTCTTGCTCTTGCTCGACTTGGTTTTAGAAGATTTCGCACCCTTTTTAGATTTGCTTTTCTTTGACTTGTCTTTTTCTTTCTTTGGTTTTTCACCTTTAGCTTTTTCTTTGGACTGCTTTTTATCAGGTTTTGACTTTTGTTTCCCCGTTTGCGAATCGTCAGTATCTGAAATTTGTACCCCTTTTTTCTCTGATCCTGTCGAGTTTTTCTTTGACGAGCGTCCTTCGCCCTTTTCCACTGTGACTGTCTCTTCTGCTTTTTTTTCGGTGTCGTTAGCTTTTTCTGCCTTACCAGGTTTGGAGTCAACGTTTCTGTTGTCTTGCTCGGAAATTGTTGGCTTTTTCTTTTATGGCGAGAACAAAAATAACGGTAAAAAACAAGCATTGCAAAGAAAAATGATTGCTGACAATAGAATGGTGACTCAACACACGTCGTCACTTTCAGGAGCTGTTGTGGTGTTCCCATCGTCTGCAGTAGAAGAAGTTACCTCACCGGCATTTCCACTCTCAATTTTTTCGACATCTTCTGCCTCCTAAAGTAATAGTGTCACCCATTCAATACGAACCCACATTGCCAATATCCAAAGGAATGCACAATAGTTATCGCCACACTACCTCCTCCTCGTTCCCCTCCGATTCTGACACTTCGGAGTCTCGGCTCTTCTTCTTCTTTTTCTTCTGCTTCTTCTTGGATCCTTTAACAGCTTTCTTGTACGACTCTTCGAGTTTTAGTTTGAGTTGTTCCTCCTGTTCTCGTTCCTGTAAAGTGCGAATTAGCAACAAGATGACAATATACGTACATTTAGTTTGCATACTTCAATGGATGTTCGTTCCTGCAAAGTGTGAATTAAATTTGTGTAGTAATAATTAAGCTAGCTAAATTATTAGTCATAGATGACAGTGCGTGTACATATATGTGTGCATACTTCTAAGGATGTGCGGTCGGGTCGCACAGATTGTCGTCGCGTGATTTCGGTGAGCGTCTTCCTAGCTTTTGCTGTAGATTTTCAAGCAATATTTCAAACATGTTCACAAATAGTGTGCATATATTACTGTTCGAATGAAATGTGGTATTCTGTACTAAACCCATGAAACTGCTCATCGAGAATGATTCCTCTTCTTCCTCTGCCTCAGATTCGGGTTCTGTTGTAGTATTAGCACTGGTGCTGAGAATATAAGTAATCAAGACAGATTATCACAACTGGAAATTATAATGGGTCCGAAAATTTTATGTCGTACTCAGTATCTGCGTTATCTTGGCCACGGTTCTTTTTCCCTTTTTTCGTTCCACTTTTATCCTTGCCTTCTCCTTTCGCTTTCTTTTTTGACTTTTTCTTTTTGCTCTTGACGGTTGCAGAACTTTCTCTTTCTGAGATCAGTTTGAAGTCGTCTTCGTCTCCCGTGGTCGCAGCGCCCGTGTCTTCAGAACCAGAACGCTCTTTTGACTTGCGCTTCTTTTTCCCCTTCTTCTCTTTTGGTCCTTTAGGAGACTTGGCTCGTTTCTTGCCTCCTTTTCCCTTCTTCTTTTTCTTATCCTTTCTTTTCTGCAGACCAAAACGTACTTAATTTTAAGAGATATATTCTGAAAAAAATTATATTGAATGACTATCAATTTACTACCTTTTTCTTTAGTTCTGCAGGAGATTGCAGTTCTGTGTATTCGCCCGATGCTAATTTATGAAGTTCTACCCAGTCCAGTATTGCTGTATATAGTTGAAATCATCATAATAATGGGAGGTAGAATGATCATGAGAATAATGGGGCTAAAACTGAGGTTAAAAAACAACTCACATTGTTTCAAAGCATTTTCAACTCCAGGTGGAAAGTAGCTGAGACATGAATCGGAGTAGTGATCATATTCCGATTTAATGAGTCGATAAATTCCAGGTGTTGAGAGAAGGACCTCTGGAATTTTAAACTTGAATTTCAATTCTTCAAATTCGTGTCCATTGATGTTTGGTGCACAGTAAATATTTCCCCAAAGACAGTGAGTAATGTCGGGAATGCTGAGTCACAAATTTAAGAAGGATTATTAATATAATTCAATTAAGCTTTAAATTTTTCTCGATTTTTACTACATAAATATTATTTTACTTAAATGGGTTCTTATTTACCTGAGCAAATAGTCACAAATACCAACTTCCGGTTCATATAGAACGGACAAGTCTGCAATTATGTTGTACGTGCACTTGTTAACGTAGGTGATCTGATTATCAATCATTCCTCGATAGAGGATGCCCAACTCTTTTAGTAAATCAGGTCTCATAGATATTTCCGGATCGATGAGGTAAAATTGGAGTTCGTATAAAAGCTGAAATTGCAATAATTGCTGTGATACGAGGAAAGACGAATTATACTGAAAACAAGCAATATTCACACCTGCAAGTATTCTGGCGTTAGTTTGAGCAATCGTTTCATCGCAGGAGGACTGAGTTGACTTAACCAATATGAAATATATGAATTGACTTCATACAGTTTGTTGAAATCAGGAATGTTTCTGCATGCTCGAAACGCTTTCCACTGAAAAGTATGTAGAACGACAAATGAAAGACTTCAATTTGTCCTCCATTACCCCAGATAATGGAAGATTTATTAAGAATAATAACCTCCTGCAAGCTTTTCATCCTCGTTACTTTCGCCACTACCCATCGGTTGTAGGATTCAATAATGGCCGAGCTTTGCGCTAATTGTCCATCTCGTTCCTTTAATTCGATGGCCAATTTCTTTTCCGCAGCAGCTTTCTCCTCTGCCTCCCTCTGCAACGCTTCCTGCTCCTCCTTCTGCTTTTGCAATTTTGCAATATCCATGTCTTTCTTGCTCAAGGGGCCTTTCTTCTCCTTCTTGCCCTGTAACATCCCATTTTATTATGGTCACAACCTAGCTGAGTGAGGTACCGACATTTCTTCCCTAAAAATTGACTTGAACGCTGATATACAAATGTGAAATTGCGTGGCTAATATGGAACCTTTTTCTTCTTATCGTCTTTCGATTTACTTGGGCCTTTCGCTTTCTTTTCTGAAGCACCCTTTTTGGGGCCTTTCGACTTTTCCTTTTTCTTTCCCGGTGACTTTGCCATTATTAGTTTGTGATAGTGCAATTATTTAAATAAAGAAACAGTGCCGAAAAGTAGATTTTTAAGACATGATAAAATAATGGAAATATGTATATCGGTCTCATAATTCTAGTGCTAAGTGAAGACATAAATCCTTGACAACTAGAGTCAGTACAAGTTAAGATGTAATGATTGGTTATGATAACGGCAGTAGAAAGTGAAAGCAATTGTACTTAACTCACCTTAGCTTATTGGTCAACGGACAATTATGTATGCCTTTCTAGTTGATTTTTCAGTGAGATTTAATTAGTTATTCGTTTTATGCCAAGAATATTTACTTTTTTGATGGAATGTGCACACTTGATTACTTGGTGTCATAATAAACGGAACTGAATACAACGATGCGTACATGATATGCACACGCACATATTTGTATTGTGATACGAGTTTCCTATTGTGCTGAGTTTGATCGATTTCATGAACAAAAAATAATAATGAGAAAGTCCAACAGATCATAATTGTCTTTTTAGTCTAGAGTGCTTACATACGTAATAATACTTTTATTACAACAATTAAAATATATATATGTATATATACATTTTGGAAATGGAAGCAGATTCGATAGAATAAGAAATCAGATCAAGTTCTTTAAAGCTGTAAGATTTACTACATCAATTTACAATTATTTATTTATCTACATAATATCAACTGTGTTGTATGTAATTGCTCCAAACTGTGGTGAGATGTGAGTAACAAAAATAAAAACCTTAATACTGTCATTTGACTATAAAATCTCTTGGCATATCTCAAAAATGGTAAACCAGAAGAGAATGGAAGTCAGAATTAATAGAAATGATATGCATTAGTCCTAATCTGTACAAAATATCTTGAAAACTGAAGATTCGTAAATAAATAAAGTTCACTTTACTTACAACACAGTTTCTAACTCTTATTGCTTATTACAAGTCCTCACTTATGTATGTACATACACATATCTGAAAATCTTCAAGTAAAATCTTACAAAAAATCGTCATGTAATTAATAAAACCCTTTTTAAATCTCTTGAACTTGTCAATTGTTCATATGGAATCTACAAACAGTATATTTTGTAATATACAAATGATACCACCCGTAATCAACACGTACTACAAAACATAGCTAAAAACTATTCACATAATTTCAACCCGCATATTAAAAGATAAATCACTATAAATGCAGATTGGTGGCACTGATACATAATTTCACAATGCATGTATTTTGAAAGTATAGGATTGTGCACACATTTAGATTATTTTCTCCCACCTCGGCCACGACCACCTCGACCCCCACCCCTCCCACTTCCTGTCCCACGACCCTTATTATTTCTACTCCGCAACGGTGATGTTCTTCCTTTGGGACGATCCTCCTCCTCTTCCTCCTCGTCGTCCTCCTCCTCCTCCGACTCAGAGTCCGTGTCACTCTTATCTACAGCAAGTTTCTTTGTGTGGAGTTTTTTAAAGATGCATCTCTTACAAAACCATTTTTCGTTTTCTGGAGGTTCATCATCCAAGCCTACACACGCCATGTGGTACCAATCATCGCAACCGTCACAGCAAATCATAGGCCCTCGACTAATTTCTTGCTCAGGCTCTTCGCAAACCAGACAAATCCAAATTCGTTCCCCCTTTTTCGTCAGGTAAGATGCAACCTTGTCCATGGCTGGACACTTGTAGTCCTTGCCATAAACCCTTTCGTCTCCTACTTCCTTCTTTTTTTGAGGAGATGTTGTCGAAGTATTTCTTGGCGATGGTTTGTTGTTTGTTTTATTCTTCCCACGGCTGGCAGCAGGAGACACTGATTTAGATGTTCGAAATGTTTTAGTGGGAGGAGGAGACGGGGTGGAGTAACCATATTCATCCGAGTCGGACCCTGATTCTCCACCAGATTGCGATGGAGATGGGGGTTGAGTTTCTCGTCGCAATGTACCAACAGCAGTTTTCCCTCGGCCTCCTCGTGCTGATGCAATGGCTAATTGAAAGAAATTATTCCTCATATAAAAATATATCAAAGATTATTTATTGTAATGACATATACAAACCTTCGCTTCTCCCACGTCCTCCTCGGAGCGAATTCACGGTTGCCCCTCCACGTCTAGCCCCAAGGCCAAGCTGATTTTTCGCCACCGAATCCAACAAGCTTGCAGTTCTTATTGCCACAACCGTTGTGGGTGGTGGCAACTTTGTAGCTTTATTACCTCCGCCAACAACCACACCTGGTGGCTTTAATTGCTGCTTATGTATCGTGATCGTCGACAATCCATCCGCTTTCTGCAAATTTGAGCCAAGCTTCGGATTAGTCTTAGCCTGAAATGCAGTGGGATTGAAAGTGACATTAGTTGGTCGTTGTGGCTGTGCTACAGCAATTCCACTTGGTTGTTCTTCATTGTTTTTGGGAATTACTGCTGCAACACCGGCTCCAGGTTTTGGCTTTGGTCTTTGAACTTGAGACCGGAGGAGTTGATACTGAGCCTTTGTTCGCGACATTAGTTTAGGTACGGGCATCCTGGTGACCCCCTTACCATTTGGGGACATGGGCTGATTCTTGTTAGCTACGACATGTCCTGCATTGCTCATGTTTTGTTGAATTTTTGAAAGAAGTTGTGGGCTGAGTTTGCTCTTGAAAATTTGTTCTTTAGTTTGTACTACAGGGGACGAGGAAGTAGAAGCTGCTGCAGCTACTACTGGGGGCGTGGAAGTAACAGGCTTCAACTGAGGAGTAGAGGGTCCACTTCCGTTGGATGTAGTGGGTGAGTTATTGTTGCTACCCCCAGGCTGAGGGGAATAACAAGCTGCGGTTGCCGCTGCTAACGTCCCACTGATTATGTTGGGTGGGTCGTCATCCTTCTTGGACCTAATAATTGTTGAATTTTTACAACTTCCAGAATGGTCAAGTCCAGTTTTATAAAATAACATGTACCTTTTTGGCCATAACTCTTCACCATGTTCTTCACGGTTATCAGTATCCGATCTGAGGAAAGACTCTCCGTTTGGGCTGTGGAATTGTTGTTTTCTAGATGACTGCAATTTTGGCTTCATCAGGTTTGGTGGAGGTTTCTGAAGTGTTTCATAACTGAAATAATTGACATAAAATTAGTAAACTAAAATTGTTTTGCGTATTAAAAGTTATGTACCTCTCAACTCGGGATCCACTTCCATTTGACACTTGAGGTTTACTGCAACAAAGAGTTACAAAAAGACAATTAGCTACCAAGACGTGTACGTTGTTGTGATTTATAATAATTAAACTCTTTCTTTTGACGACTTAAATTTTTATTAAATTGTTACACTATTTAAATTATGATTATTATACTTTTGCATATCCCGATTGAGACGATTCATCTGCAATCGTTGAATTTGCTGTGCGATTGAGATTGAAGGTTGATGAGAATGCTGTTGGCGTTGATGATCCATTAGTCCGGCTTTATCAGAGTACAGTTTTTTACATATTTTACAAATGTTTTGAAACTGGCTTGGAGGTGATCCTTGATGCTTTTTATCTGTAGCTTGGTGCACTACGTTCATAATAAAACCAACACAAATTGGTTTTTATTTTTGTAACTCAGCTTTAACACACAAACAACAATGGTCTTTTCGTACAGCGAAAACTTTTGGGATTAAAGAAAAATTCACTGTTGTAAAATACACTGGGCAAAAAATGTGCTTCGTGTGATGCTGATTCGTGATGAACGATAACAGATAACGATGTCCACAAACAAACAGATATCACTTATTCAGTGTATATATATCCAATCATTTGATTCCGATCCTGGCACTTTAGATGCCCAACTCTGCAATAAGCAGTAGAACAATGTTTAATACAAAAATTAAATGCACAAAAACTACTTCATTATATTCCGAAACGTTAAATATCTCAATCTAAATCTACAATAATATTTAATCCGGCTTGTCCGCTAATTCACTGGTGGAAGTTTACAACACAAAGTGGGTACAGGATGATACACGTTGAGGGATATGAATATATGGGGAAAAGAGAAAGCGGTCCGCCCCGATTTATCCGAAACCAGGCACTACATATGTATAGACTCATCCTCAGGCAAAGCAAAGATCAAAATGTGCTTCGTTTCGCCATGTTTTGTGATCTGTCCAATGTGCTTCATATATTATATTATTCAACATATGTACGACATACTTACATGCATACACATACTTTTTTTGCATTTTTTGTCAGAGAGAGACTCCTCAGCACTCAGCAGAGAGTTATGCCTACGGATGAACCATTTAATTATCACGATCTTTATGCCATCCATTCAGGATGCATCGCGCACAGCTTATGCAACAGACCCGTGACATGATGTTCCGTCCATATCTAGTTAGCATAACCAAGTTAAGGTAAATGAATTCATGTTGTCAAAACCTTGTTGCTATTATCATTTATGCATCCTCTTTATTATTGCAGCATCCTGACATTGACATTGCATTCTCCACAAGAAAAAAACCGGAGGCAATTATTGAGTGAAATGCGGTGCTCATATTTGCTACTGAAAGAAAATAGAAATTGATAAATCAGCAATATACATTAAAATGCATATGCACCTTATTTTGACAGTTTAAGTATATAAATATTTTATTTTTAACAATGAAAAGTCTAGGGAAATTTTGTTTTAGCATCATACACGTGATTAACAGTTTAAAACATAAATTTGTTGTGACTTGAAAAATGGTGGAGTTGATGAACCTTACTAAATAAAATGGCTAATATTTCCTATATGCACTCAGTATTGTTTTTCCAAGAAAAGGAGTCATAAATATGGTTTTATGACCCATGAGAGATCAATTTTGCATATGAGTGATATTCGATACTCAAATTATCTGAATAATTTCTGCCATTGTATTATTTACATGCTGGACAATATCGTTGAAAATGTTTATTTTATTTTATGGATGAGTCAGTCAGTGGTCTGTCTGGCTTGTTAAATTGCCTAGCTTAATTTCAATTAGCAGTTTGTTTATAACTCGTAAAGTTTTAAAAAATGTTCCATTCCAATGTTGCAAGGAAGCTATATCAGATTTTATGCTTTCATGTAAGAATAGTAAAATCTTTCCGTAGTTAAGCTCCATGATTCTCATATTGTTATTATTATCACCACGCCACCGAATCATTAAAAAAACCACTTCACCACCGTCAAACTATCGCCAAAAATGTAATATTGCTTCGATTTTAGATTTTTAGTAGTTTTGTGGTCCGAGATAGTTCCTCTATCATATCCAGTACCAATCTCATTTTTTTTCAGTTTTGAGTGGGTGTGACCAGCGCAATAAGGTTTATATAGCTTAACCACTGGTGGCTCTTATTATTCTAGAAAGATAAAAACGCATGAATGAATGTCAAAATGGCATTAAAGTCTGGCATTGCAGATATTAGTCCTTCATTGATTACTACATATGTAAATGTAGATTTGATCTCGCGTCAATTAAAACAAATGCCACCAACCAAGCGCACAAAGTGACGCGTGTTTTGTTCATATGTAGCATTCCCTTCAATCGAAGATTTTGGAAATATATATTGTAATTTAATTTCTATTTATCCCATTCCATTTATATTATCCACAGTGTGGATTCCACACGATCACTACTTAACTGTATTTACCTTTGAAACATGAGATATATCTTCAATAGTGGTAATACCTGCTAGCTGCAAACTTAAATGATTACCCTAATGACTTAAAATTAACGTCCATGCTTCAGTCAGGAAGTTTTAATTTATGTAAATCGTTTACACAAAAATTCTTGAACGAATTATTAATACCACATTATTAATACTATTAATGTATACTCACTAAAGCTAACCACAACTTACCATTTCCAACTTATCACTCGAATTCCTCACTGTGCAACTTGTTGTTGAAGAAGACTTGCTTTATTAAGTTGTAATCGACTTAAATTGTCCATGTGTAATATTCCAACTAAGAATTTGAGAAACTCTAGAATGTGGAATTTTTGATAAAATCTATGTAAAGTGTGTATAACTTAAAACTTTGGGAGTCGGATTTGAGGGAACCTTGCACTTGACGGAGGGAGCGTTGACTGAAATGGTGGAAGGAAACCTGGAACGAACTCGGAAAGATTTTGTATCCCAGGCCATTCCTGCCTTTCTTGATATATATTTATACGCCATATAATGAACTACCTTCCCAAAAAAGCTTGTTTAAACCAGGCAACAACCTACCACATACATAAGTACGTACATACATATCGGGGGATGATGACAGCAGCGTTGTTGTTGGGATCGAGGAGCTGCACGGCATTTTATCACCATGCTTTTACTCCCACTATTACGACAACTTTTTTGGTGCATGTTGTTGTTATATTATGCAAAATGTGCTGCGGTGATTAGTGAGCATGTTGGCGAACTAATATTATTACACGCTAGTTTTCCAATTTCATTTTAACGAATTATGATTTTGTAAGTCCAAGAAATGGTTGCGATTTGACACATTCCATTCCAGTCAACCATCCATAAGGACTACCCATACATTCATAGTACTGCTACATATAATGTTGCTAGGCCGTTTGGAAGGGGCTGCTCCTGGAGAGAAAAGTGCATGGAGGAATATGTACGATTGCGTTAACTTGTTAAGCGAAATACCCGGGTGGGTTGAGAATTTCGGATCGATACATGCATGCATATTTCCGAAATTTTTGTGGTTTACGTGAGGATATGCAACAAGCCGCAGCAGGTTTATTCCAGATTTATAGTGAAACGAGAAGGCATGACAGAGTTACAAGATATGTGCATAGATAGGAATAATACTTTTATAGATGCACCATACACATGTGAATTGAGCTATAATAATCCAAAGACCAAAATGTGATAGATAATAATACAAAGGCCAGAGGAAGTCGCAAGGAATGATATGAAAATGAAGAACTAAAGCTAGTAGATATGTGCAAATTATAAAATTCATTGGGACCAAATCCATTGGTTAATATTATAATCTAAGATTGGGACCAATCGATGGTGCATATTTCTTGTATCGTCTACTGTCTGCATAACTGGCTATCTACTTACCTGCCTATTGAGAAGAATTCGGTTGTTATACACATTCATTAATACATATTTTTGTTCATTGTAATATAAGGGTAGATAAAATGATTCAAAAAAGGCATAAGTATACATACGCACTTAAAATTATTATATTGTAAATTAAATCTATTTTAATTTTTCTCCCATTTTCACACGCTGCTAGCTGCAAATGATATCGGCATGAAATTTGGAATCTTGAGTGGCTTCCCTTCCACCCATATCACAGAAGTACTATTTGTATTTTTGGTGGAGCTAACTAATTTGCCGAAATCATTTCTTCGTTTAAATTTTGATTTGTTGGAAGATGATGATGAGACCGTTGTATTCGAGACTATGGGCTTGGACTCTGACTCTGAGCCTTGTAGTGGGAAAAAGTTGTTGACATCAGGGCCCGTCGTGGAGTCATAATGATGACCATTTCTATAAGGATGATAAAATGATGATAAGTCAGCATCAGTATTGTCCAATCCATCAGGAAATTTTACATGGGGAGTGTAATCCTTTAAAGCTCCTACAATAGGATAATCGCCGATGTCGGAGTTCTCCAGGGGTTGGTTTATCTTGAAATTGCTAACTGACTTGTGTTGTTGCACCGTTGTGTATTGTGGGGTATTAACAGGTTGGTGAACAATGAATGGATGTAAATGAGCAGGAATTATAGGTCCATTCTTCTCTTCGCCGATAGTTTGAAATTGTCCTAAAGTTTTATAGTTTGACTCTAGATTTTCACTCGGAAATATTATTTTTGAGTGAATAGGAGGATGACCTCTGCTGTTTTGAAGAATAGGTGGATGAGATTGCGGAGAATTGTGATGAAAAAATGGAGGGGGGAAAGGGTGATAATGGTGCTGAAAAGGTCTGCCTGGTGGTGGTCTCCGAATTTTGAACCGTTTTTCAATTACTAGCAGGGGGACAATTTGAAAGAGAGGATGTTGGAGAATTGATGGAATTGGCTGATTTGCAAGTGGAAATGGGCCATGCTGGTGACCCACAACGTTTGGATTTGGATAATGATTCCGAGACTTGACGCGATAATAATTGCTTGATTCAGCTTGTCCCACTTTTGATTTTCCACCACCCAGCATCTGCAAAAGAAAGCTCAAGGTGCTGTCGGGACCTTTGTCCTCCTCGTGGTGTCTCACTGGCCGATATCCCAAAAGAGTTGATGCGTCATCAGACCTGCGATTCCGTTTCATATAACTCATTCCATTTAGAAGATGACTATACCGTCCATCACTGCTAATTGATGCAGATGGATATCGTGCCTTCGTTGGAGTGTAGTCATCGCTGATAACAAAGGGATAATGGTAATGGGGAATATGGGACGAGGAAGCACTCGTCATGTACGGATTACTTCCGGACAACATTCCCAAGACAAGTGCTCCATGTTGATAGAGCCCGGAAAATCTATTGTTGAAAGCTGAGCACTTGTGACATGTTGAAAATAGGATTGTTGTAGCTATCAAGATATACTGCAAAAACAGGGAATTCGTATTTTTACATGGTAAATATTATGTTTCTTATCAGCAGTGCATAAAGTGGTGTGAACTTACCAGATCTACTAATTTCACTTGGGAGGCAAGCATTGCCAAATTTTGGTTAATTGTGAATCGGGATTTTTGATTCGAAATTAACTTTCTCACGTCATGTTATTCACCTCCTCGTCTATGAATGAAATGCACTTTATTCATTGTGTAAATGAGGTCCAACTTTAAATTGTTGCATGAATTTTAAAAATTGCTTCATCTGACACAACTTACAAAATTATAACGCTGTTTTGTACGTAGTAGTACATTAGTGTACCTTCAGTTTCACTTTTCAGTGCAAAACGACCAAGAATTTGTCAACACACACTTTATTGAATGTACCAAAACCACATGTGCCAAAATATGGGTATATATTTATGCATATAATTAGTTTAATTCCACCCTTTATCGCAAATTATTATGATAGCACCCTAAATTACCTTAATTAGCGCTTATGTGACCATTTCACCTGATATATAAAAATAAATAGTGTAAAAAAGCTCAATTACGATGCATCACAAAACACAAGTATTATGTATGCATTTCAGGCTATAAAAGAAAGCATTCTCGTAGATGAGCATTACATGTATGCATATGTACGTACGTAGGATATACGCATATGCTTGTGTGCATATTGATAGTGATTACAAACCGAAACATTTCATGCAACCTGGGTTGAGAATATTATTTGTCACATTGTCATTATGCGTATAATATTGCGTGCAAAAAATATTGCCCCACTGAACAAACTGTGATTTCCCTCTTCTGAGAGAATGTATGCATTGAAAGTTGGTCATTAAAATCGTTTCTCTCAAAAACTACTTGTATATAACAACTACTAATTACATAATTAATAAACATTTTATTATATATGATAACCACTTCATGCAACAGAATGATCAGATATATTATGCAATAAAAATACTTATTTACAGTCGTTTAAATTCTGGAAGTCTGGTGAGTCCAGTGGTGACATCACTGCCTCCTTCCTCAAATTCTCCCCCAATGCCACCCCCACTAGTCGATGTAACACCCCCATTCCACCCTCCATGACTGTACTCATTTCCACTTCCGTAATTGTACCCAAAACCACTCCCTGACGTAGAATGATGCTTGTTAGCATAAGCATTTAGCTTGTCCGGACCAGAATTTTGGTCTGAATTAAATTGACCTTTATTGGAATCTGAGGTGGCTTTATACTTCGGGTAGTACTCGTTAATATTGGTAAATCCAGCCCCATGACTTAACCATTTTTGGCCTTCTGTCCCGAAACTATACCCTTCCCCAACAAGCTTGGCAAATTTACTAACTCCTGCCAGACTGGACCCGAGACTATATCCTAAATTTTGAAAAGTGTTGCCACTACCTCCTCCATTCCACCCCCAACCGCTCCCAGTTTCTTCGACGACATTTCGAGCAGCATGGTCATTCCCAGAACTTTTCCAACCATGGGTGTTAATTTTATCCGGAGAGACGGTGGGTAACCCGTTGTAAAAGTAATGGTGCGGGTTATTAGGATTACCAAACTTTCCAAACAAAGGCAAGGGGACGGATTTTAGTTTTCCCAAGAAAAGAATCATATCTGCAAATTTATTTGTGGATATCCTGCTAAGCTCCAACATTTGAGACATCAAGTGCGCCTTACTTTTAATTATTTTGGATATTTGAGCAGCCTGTGTTAATTTGTGATGATTTGGTTTAGTATGCAGACTGATTCCTCCTGAATGCAGATTTCCGTCTCCAAAGTATTGATTCATTAAATTCACTCCCCATGATCCCCATCCTGTAGAATCTCGTCGGTTTAAAGTTTTTCCGAATTCGCGAAATTTGTGTGGATGATCTGAACTTGAAGAATTTCGTTTTGATATAAATAAGACACGTGAAATGTTCCCTTGCTTGTAAATGGTTGAAAAACTTGGTTGTGTGGTATTTATTAGGCTGGAATAATCTTGAGTTGGAATTTTAGCTAAATTTGTTGCCCCTCTTCCATTGGAAATATTGAGAGAACACGTGGAAATTACACATGCCTGAGAAAATTAAAACAAAATTAGAAATCCAGTTCCAATTTGTACTTACTAGTCCTAAGAGCTCACCAAACAGAGTAGCGTCAACTTCTGAAACTCCATTGATGACACATGCACACACGCACACCAAGAAGTGATCTTTTGAAATTGAATCGATTGACAGTCTTTATTTCAATATTATGATGTTATTGGAGTTCTATATTTTATATGTACATTTCGCAGACGCTCTTCTTGCCAACCTTGATTTTGAATGGTAGCTGAACCTGTATATATTTTCAAACCCATTTCATGACTGCCCTAAGATACCATAAATTTTAAAGGTGAAAATTGAAATAAATTACAAAGTACGACACGACTTTCTCGAGTTTATGTTTTTGTCGCCCTCGTTTACAAAAAATTGTATGCCTACACTAATAATCGCATCTAACAAAAAAATCTACCAAGCGTACGCAGTAGTTCCAACATAAAACTCAAAAAATTGCTATAAAATCGTTGACCATGTTAATAATTTTCGTAATTCATGGCATTAGCCTTGAACTGGTAGCTGTCTACCAGTCGACTGAACATATGCATAGTTATAAGAACGGAGTGAGAATTCTAAACTCTAGTCAGAATTAAAATTTGCATATTTTTTTTTATTTTTCAAGGACCGCTGGCTATTATGATATAATAAATTTTATTTGTTCTTATTATTCCTTTATCAACAACAGTACGTATTAAGTGCACATCTTCATAATCAAAGGAACATGAAAGTAGGAAATGAAGATAATGATTAACGGTAATAAGTCTCGATATAAAAAATACACTAATTTTTAATAATTGTAAAATAATTAAGCTCAATAACAAATTAAAAATTAATAAGTCTCAATTCAGTAATAATATATATATGTCCTTTAATTAAAACAACAATAGGTACGTAATAACGTAATAATCTAATCTTTATAATTTTATATGAACATTAACACGAAAAATTATGTAATATGAGCATTGCAGATAATAAACAATACAAAGAATACATAAAAATAGTTCAAGTTAGCTCTAAGTGAATATGATGAATGTTTTGATTATGTAATTTTAACCGGTCATGATGGGTAAACGCCTGTCCGCAAATTGAGCACAGCAGACAATTTTCATTTCGATGGACCATCTCATGAAATTCACGCTGATGATAAGATTTGAATAGGATGGGACACATGAGGCATGGAAATGGCCTTTCTTTTTGATGAGTGTTTTCATGCTTCATGACTTGGGCTGAATCTGAAAAGGGCAGCAAGCAATATCTGCATTCGAATTCAGATTTCCCATGTTCGTTGTAATGTGGCAAGAAATCATCTGAAACGATATATACATAAGTTATCACTGCATTCCAATTAGTATTTGTGTAATATAAAGTAACGGAAAAACTAACCAGAACAATCAAACATGGCACCACAATAATCGCAAAACAAAATTGACTCATCGCACGGGTTGTTTATTCCTTGTAAGAAAGTTATGGGTTTATCATATTCCTCGTGTCTGGTGCTGTCTCCAGTTCCATAAATGTTCTCCGATTCATCATCATGATTATCTTCCTCTCCTGCTCCTCCTTCTTCATCATTGCTGCATTGTTCATTTGAAACTTGACCAGGATGCGCATATCCGTTTCCATTAGTAGCACTGGATTGTATTTTGAACTCTGATTCACCAGCAGTAGACCTTCTCCTGATTATTACTGGCGCATCAATTTTTCTACATTTTTTGCACACGTTAATATTGTTAAATCCAGTTTCTTCATCTGGTTGATTTTCAACTTCTTTCAGACTCATGGACTTTCGGCATAAAAGACAGCTCGGGTGATAATTTTTCAGATGCCTCTCATAGCTTGCCTTGGTGGAATAAAGCTTCCCACAATCTTCACACTGGAAATGCTTGGATGATTCCAAGACATGTTCTTTTTCATGCCACTGCAATGAACTTAATTGTCCAAAGGCTTTTCTACAAGTTGGACATTTGAAGAATCGTGAACGGTTTCTACAATTGTATCCTGAAGTTGATGAGGCTGGTGAACGTGTCGTATTTAAAGAATTTCCATTCATATCGTTCTCACTTGTTTGTTCTTTTACGTCGTATACCTCGGAGTTTGTGGATTTTTGTTGATTGTTTGAACTACTGAGATCACTGGACGCAATTTCCTGGAGAAGATTGGGATTCTTTTCATTTAGATGAGAGTTGCAATTTCTAGGGAGTAATGGAATTTGTGAAAATTCATTGAGCTAAAAAATTATTACAATATTTTGTAAATAAACTTACGCTGTCCGCAGTTTGAGATCACAGTTAGGCACATCACTTTTATTGATGTCCTTTATATTTTTAGGATTCGCCTGCACTAATTCGGTACCATCAGATCTATTCGTAGCACAGAAAGGAGAAGAGCAGAAATGCCAATTATCATTATCTATTTGTTATTTATTATTTGTAAGGTGTTCTACCTATTTTGGCGTTTCTCTGATCCTGATGATGACGAACTCTGCTGGGGAGTTTGAGGTCCCTTGATAAAATCTTGATATTCCTTCAATTTGAGATACTCGGGAAATTGTCGTTTCCCTAAAAGGACTTTACAACTGCAATGCCAAGTGCAGAAGCATCCCTCGCCGTCCTCCTCCATCCTATTAAGTCCAGTATGACTACCAATCAAATTGTGACTTAAGTGATGATTAATATGTAATTTGTAAAGCGAAATGAAATGAGGACTATTGAGGACTGTAAAATTCACGAAAATTGAAGAGCAAGATAAAGGGAAAAGAAGATGAAAATCGTTATTAGATTATGATGATGGAGCGGTTTTGCCGGAAAGCGGGCTAAAAGTTCATGGTGAGACAATTCGTAACACTTAGCACCTGAGCACGTCGTCCCCCGGTGATTTTTGAAACTTCTGCCCCAAATGCACGAATTCATCATATGGAGTACATTAGCCGAACGAGCCGAATTATCTTATTATTCAACACCACTTATTTTTATTTTGGCGTTTAAATTGTTCAATTTCGTATGATTTAAACGCCAAATTAAAATAATTTGTGTTAAATAATAAAATAATTCGGCTCGTTCGGCTAATGTACTCCATGCGATGAACTAGCGTATAAAAGAAACCCAAAAAAGGAAAGCTTAGATGAGACTTAAGAAGTGCGATAAAAAGTATTTAATAAATTTCTTCTCCAATGAAGGGTATAGAATTTTAATATTTCCAGTATCAGCGCCCCATTTTATTTTATATACTAAATTATATAAGCAACATGTTCACGTATGCATATTACTGGGGAAAGGAGTCGACTATTTGGTAAGACCTGTATATTATGTATCAACTTTAAGTATAATTGCAAGCATTCATAATTTTTTAGTGACAAAAACAATTAGCAAATGATTTTAATATGTTTCGCTACATCATATTTGAAATTTGATAGTTATTGTATATTTGTATCTATTTATATAATAGTGAATGAAATGGGGCGCTGATGCTGGAAATATTAAAATTCTATATCCTTCACTGGAGAAGAAATTTATTAAATACTTTTTATCGCACTTCTTAAGTCTCATCTAAGCTTTCCTTTTTTGGGTTTCTTTTATTTAATAGTTTTTATTCGCAATTGAAAGTAATTTATTAAGTAGTGTAAGCCAGTGTACCCTTTTATTATTCGTAATTATCACTTTGCTGAGTGCTGGGCCTTAGCAACTAAACTTGGTGGTGGTGGGAGAGGCAATATTTTGACCACCATCAAAACTTTCTCAGTTTTAAACTGATTTTCGGGATTTTAATTTTGTATTTTTATAAAAAATATGTATCAACTTTTTGCTCATTTACATTTAGCATGAAGGCCTTCATTTTTTTCTAATCTCAATAAAACACATTTTCGATGGTGTTTTTCCTGCATATCTCAGGGACAGGGCACTATTCCAGCCTCCTGGTCGACAGTTCAATTCTAATTTGCATAATTGACTCTGGACACTAATTTCATTAAAATCGGATGGAAAGTGACCTAGATCTGAAAAAATTAAGCTTTTCAAAACCGTAGTGATTGCTTACTTAGATGATTTTTTTCCTGCAGTAACTATAGCCTCATCTAAGAAAAACGGAGTTTAACAACTGTTATTTTTATTTTGGCGTAAAAATCATACCAAATTGAATAATTTAAACGCCAAAATAAAAATAACTCGTGTCAAATAATAAATGGGAGACAAGCATGCAAACGTGCTCAAAATGCGCTTCCTGCACATTTCAGAGCCACCACCACGAGCTGGTCAATCTATTTGTACATAGCGTGTTTTGTTCTCTGAAAATTAATTTTTATACTTTTATTTGTGCTGTACACAATTTCATTTCAAATTAACGCTGACTAAATCTAGTTCTAGCTGAGTGAATAACCTCATAAATCTCTAAATTGGGCACAAAATCGCGCAGGTCCCATAAAATCTGCTGAATATCTCTCTCGACCCCTCGTTTTTCAGCTATCATTGCGTTTCTTGAGCCTACGTAGAATACAAGAATTTCCAATCACACTATCACACATAGCTTTTTTTTATAAGATTCTTACTGTTTTCCAGGGGGAGGGGTCTTATTTCCATTTTAAGTGATAAGGCTATCATAATCTTGGCTTCCAGTAATATCACTGCGAAAAGAACAGTTTTTTAATCGTGTTACAAAAAATATCCCAAATTTACCAAAAATAAAAAATATCATTATGTACTTACTTTTGCGTTCAATTTCTCCTGGACTTAATTGTTGTTGAGCCAATATTTGAAACAGCTAAATAGGAACAAATTAATTTATGGACGTGAATGATATATTCCAATATACAATACATTTATCTATCTGAATATGAATAATCAAGAATATGCATACTTGATTTATGTAATTTTGACAACACATCTTAATATTTGAGGGCTTTGCTACGGTTAATTACGGCTAAAATTGAATAGGAATGGAGATTTAAACAATATTGCCTTCAAATCAAGGTCTTTTGTAAAAGTTTGGCAGGTGAAAGGTTCAGTAACGGACCAACAAAACGAACCGAATTGTACAGATCCTGCAAAGCACAATACTACAACAATGCATATAACCACATAGAAAGGATTTCTTAAAAATGCATGAAAGATACAACTCTTTGCTCCTCTGACCCCGCATGTTTCATGGTAGGATCATACATGGAACATAATTTCATGAAACTACTAGAAATTATTTTGCATAGCGTAATTTTCTAAATTACGAAAGTATATAAATTTGGAAATACGAGTAGATCTTCCTATCATGTGTAAGCAAATCTCGTCAACCTAGACTGAAACAATGTCTTAGGCAAACAAGGAAGGTTTTGGTTGCAACAAAAAACATGCCGTTTGTTTGCATTTCTTTCAATGACGTCAAATTACCATAAGTTACTTTTAGCAGAAAACATGGCAAACAAAATGCATTGTCATTGTTTAAGTAATATTTCAATCTTTGCAAGCTTCCTTGCAATTTCGTCTTGTTCAAGTTTAGGCATCTTACAAACGTGTGCACATTTAATTCTGCATTTGTACATATTTACTAACTGTTTTACTGTCTTACAACAAAAGCAAGACCAGTCAACACAAAAAGACGTAATAGGCAAAAGAAGATGACAAATATTATGCCTTTGTTTTAAGTTTTGTAGTGGCAATATATTATATTGTATGTGTATCTGTATCTGTGTATGTAGCAAAACTATTTGTATGAATAATACAGATAAGTGTTCAAACGTGTGGTAGAGGTAGAGATGTAAGGTGAATTTGAGATTCGCAATTTCTTGCTATACGAAAATGACCCATCACCATTTCTGCCATAATAATATTCGAAGATGACTTCATATTTGAAAAAAAATCTTCTTGGGCGTGTCGGATGAATATTTAAAAGAAATAGACTAATAATCTGAACAAGGTCAAAATTGCTTTCAATATGATTCGGATTTTCATTTAGTAAGGTGGTAAAATTTAACTAAATATCAATACATGATCTATATTGCATAGTCGAATTAATCCTGGACTGAGGTGATTTATAATTTCTTACATATAACTCACGTCTTTTGATTAGTTTCATGCAAAAAATTCGAGGCCAGCCACTTTATTAAATATTAGCAAAATACTACAAATGAAAAGAAATCATCTTCGTCTGTGCTTACATATTTGCATGAACACGAGCTGGTACTACTGCTACTCCTTTGTTTATCATTCTACCAATCTTGGCGATACTCGAATTTATGGCTGAACATTACTAGTACAACAGGTCATTCCGTACCTCATGCAGTGACTTGATTACGTATACATAAATTACATGTGTACTCTTGGAAAAAAATTGCGATGAACATATCCATGCCGTTCGAGACGCGTCTGCAATGGTCTGCTCAATCTAGGATAAAAATGCTTAGTACTGAAGTACATATTTCAGCCAAAAAATGTACAAGAAAGAAAAGGTAAATGTTCGGCATTATAAAAGCCAAGAACTTCATGGAGAAATTATCCAGTCATTACTTGGTCTTTGTCGAGAGAGGAAGTTTACACCATGATCAGAAATATTTTCGCCGTGACCCTTCTTCTGGGAGTGGCTTGTGCCTTTCCTCATCCACAAGCACGTAAGTAGTAAAAGCAATATGGCGTCGATTTTAATAACCGCATTCTTACATCATGACTTTTTTTGTAGCACCTCTAGGCGCTCTTCCTGCCCCAGGTCCCAACGGCGTCCCCCCACCTGGTCCTAATGGGCTTCCACCACACCCACCCGGCTGTCTGCCCCCACTCCCTCCTAACCAAGGACCACCAGGATCCTCTCCTGCCTCCCTTCCTCCACCACCAAACGGGCCTGATGGCAAGCCTCTCCCCACCTGCCCACCCACTCTTATTTCTGGCCATTGTGGCGGAGTAACGTACTTCTGGGACACCGCAAAGGGGGAGGACCAGCCTGCCGATTTCAAAAAATGTTTCTTTGGTGATGGCGAGGTCGGAGCTATCTGCAATGGAAAGGAATACACCTGGGACCCTGCCAAGCAAGAAAAACCAGCCGAACTAGAAGCCTGTGAGAAAAAATTTAATGGACAATAATAGAAATTCAGAGTTGTTTTTGTTATACTTATTGATTCAAAATCTTGTATTTCTGCGGCAATAAATTTTGGACTTTTTCAAATTGCATCATTATATGTTGAAGCTATCTTTCAGTATATGTAGATTTACTAATTAAATTGTATTTCATCGACAACGTACTATATCATTTTTACATAAAATTGTCTACCTAGTGCATACATGGTCCGGTATTTGCAATGTCGGTACAAGTGAGAATCTTGAGCAAAGCAATGGCAATGCGGCAATGGAACACGTGCATGTTTTGTGTCAGCTGCGACAGCTTTTTGTTTGCATTTTGTTGAGTTATCTTCATGGATGTATAGTAATCTTTGAAAGAATTAAGCATTTTTAATATGGAAAAAATACGCGTTTTGGAACTATTTTGTGGCATTGGAGGGCTGCATTGGGGACTGAAAGGTAAAAGAGTTGTTCCGTGTGTGTAGTCATTCATATGGTTCAAATTATCAAATTACTTATAAGGTTTGATTTACGTTTCAGAGATAGGAGTTGAGTTTGAAATTGTTGCGGCATTGGAGATAAATCCTACCGTTCTAGAAACATACGCCGTCAATTTTCCAGACGTGCGAATAGTCAGGCGTAACATTGAAAGTTTGACAGCAGAAGAAATCAACGAGATGAACATTGACGCTCTTGTAATGAGCCCTCCTTGTCAGCCTTTTTGCAGGTAGAATTTAATATTACAATTATTTCTGAAAGAGAAGATCTGCTGGAATTGACATGTAATTTTATACTAGAGCAGGGAATAAGCAAGGGTTGCTGGACAAACGGTCTTCTCCGCTAATTAACTTACTCCAAATACTTCCTCGAATAAGGTTTAAATATATTTTTGTGGAAAACGTCAAGGGATTTGAGACGTCCGATGCTCATGGCGAATTTGTCGACATGTTAACAAAGATTGGATTCCGCTATCAAGAATTCCTCTTGAGCCCTGTGACATTAGGAATTCCGAATTCTAGACTGAGATATTATTTAATTGGAAAACATTCTGATTTACAATGGTCATTTGATCTGTCAGATCAAGTGTTGGACAAACTTCCTGAAACAAGTGGAAACAATCCAATTCAATTGGTCAAGGATCGGCATAGGCAACGATGGTTGAATTATCGTGAGAAACGTATAGGACGCCATGCAACAGAGGTACATCTACTGCTAATCTTCACGTTTCATGTATTATGCATTCAGTTCAGGCTGTTGTATTTTGCATAAAACGTAATATATACTTCATTTTCCAGGGAAAACTTCATGGTTCTTCATCGGAAAAATTCCCATCTAAATATCTGGAATCAGCCACAAGCAAATCAGAAGAATTATGGTACCTAAATGATATTTTGGAGCCTAATGAATTTATTTTTCCGGAACACAAACTTTCACTAGAAAAATTACGAAAATATTGGAGTGCGTTAGACATTGTAACTCCATTCTCAACCACCTCGTGTTGCTTTACCAAAGCCTATTTTTACTACTTAACGGGGAGCGGCTCAATTTTAGATATTAATGGAAACGATAAAATTGAAAGTGATGAAGTTAGGCAATCTGAGGGAAAATTTAGGTATTTCACTCCACGAGAAGTAAGTAGATTGATGTGCTACCCGGAAGAATTTAAATTTCCATCAAATCATTCCTTAAAACAAAAGTACAAAGCTTTAGGCAATAGTGTAAATGTGAGCGTAGTTGCTTTAATGTTTGCATTGCTATTTAGCTAATATATTGATTGGCATGTGTATTTATGCAACTTCTCTGAATGCACCATGATCATGTATTATATTGTTATCAAGATTTGTGTATTGTCTTCCATTCAATGTCTTTTCACGTGGAAATAAACGTGGACCAATACATATTTCAATATATTCATAAGTTCCTTTATTTACTTGAATTGCCTTTAATTTCATGAAAAAATAATCAAAACAAGTGACTATAATTAGCTATGACACATGATGATAAACGGAATATAGAAGAGGTAAATGCTGCTTTCCGAGAAAATCATAAAATATATGCAATTGAAAGACGAGTCGTAGAGCGCTCAAACAATATTGAGATACTCGATAGCAATCACTAGAGTGCTTAAGTATTATACCAACCAGGTACACGATAATTATTTTGTTCCATCAGCTTGGACTTCCAGTGTAATTTTAGTGGCTGAAGACGAAGACACTAGAGCTTCCTCAATATCTTTCATGTCAATATTATTTCCATTAGTACTACTGCTACCCATTTCCATTTTACCTTTGGAAGGATTTATGGCTGACGCATATGCATTTGAAAAAGCTCGGTGGGGTGCCCTTCCAAACCCAATATGTTTCGGCATTGACCGCGATGCATTATTATTACCACCACGATTGGTGTTAGATTTGGTTTGATCTTCATTCTTTTTAACTTGTTGAGATTTGAAATCACTTGAAGCTCCGACGACGACGCCATCAGTAGATTTCTCTTGATCCACCTCCATCAAAAATCCCTTCGTGGTTGTGCTCGAATCAGCTAACGTTGATTTTAAGGTTTGCTTGGTCTTACTATTGGCCTTTGTTGAATGTTTCTCACTAGTTTTAGACTTTCCTTTCTTCTTATTACTGTCTAAATTTCGGGGAGGTTTACAGTCCCAAAATTGAAATTTTTGTGAAAACTTGTGCTGTTCAATACAATGTTGCTTCCGTTCATCCGGGGTTGCAAACTTATTAAGGCAAGTTTCCAAGAAACATTGATACTGAAAATCAGGTTATCAAACATTTATAAGTCATTTTTATTCTCAGTAGGTATGACTTATGCTTTTGTAAATGCACAGTGATTTGACTTAATACAATTTGATAGTTGTTCCCTTACCATAGGTTTCTTTTCCGCCATCAGACCAAACAACGTGTCATGTATTTCTAGGACGTGTAGCTCCAAAATATGGTAGGAAGGGAGCGACATTTTGCATATGGAACAGGCATGCATGTGACGACTATTGTAGTGATATTGATAGTCCTCATTCGTTTCAAAGGTCATGGTGCAACACTGCACTTGACATGGAATGCGACGACTACCTTGAGGACCTTCCCCCTTTGATTCATCTCCAATATCTCCTCTGCAACAAATCATATTTTACACGGTAGTGATAAATTGGCGAATAAAATAAAGCCAAAATGGTATAATATTTTTTACCTATTTAAATCTTGATTATCATCCTCCAACTTTATTGTCGGTTCAGGAACAATGTGTTCTGCTTCCACTTCGTCGTCTTCTGAAGAAAACGCAACCTCATATTTTCTTCTTATCGGAGTTTTAACGTTATCCACGATTTCTTGATCCATGATTGTGTATTGAGACCTAGGTGGAAAATTTGGAAATTCTTTCCGAGAAAATTTCTGTTTCAGAAATCAGAAATGTTCAACCAACTCAAAATTATTTAACCGAAAGTAGCTAACGTTCTTCTACTACTGAATAGATTATGTAAAGAATCAACCCCCGCAAGATTTTCGTTCATTAATACCAATATGGGGAAAGTGAGTTTGCTGGTAGGTAATGGGGGCGACGCTACCCATAAAGCCTCTGATATTTTCTTAATATTTCTGCATATTATTTGAATTTGAGTCCTTATTATGATTAGCTTGAACCCTACGTGAAAATTTGTCCATTTTGCAAAGATTCTTTAAATATGCATTTAGAGTATTTAGTTTACAGATGAACAAAGGAAAAGGACGTAGTTAAGTTTATAAAACCGATGATGTCAAACATTTATTATCGATTCCAAAGGATGCTTGAGTTAGCTTTTATGAATGTTAATCGTAAGAAAATAAAAAAATATTAAGTACAATTATTGTGCTACCCTTGCATTTTTACATCTACCATGTACTACGATTTGAGGTTGCGTTGAGAATTTCAACTTGAGATTGCTAATAGCCTAAGGCAACTTTTTTGCAACTTTTGTACACTCTACTTTTATTTTCATTTTCATCCTTTATCAAATCAAAAATACACCTGTTTAGTGGCATACTAGATTCGGTTTTAATAAATTAGTTACAATAATGACGGGATACTTAATTTGTATCTGTTTCGAAAGTGGTGTTCCAATTTTTGCCCGAAAAATTGGCGATGTTTCCCCAGTAAGAACAATATTATAAGCATTAAGTTGACCTGTCAATGACAGGCTGTCACCAATAAAACGTAAAATCATTCATTGCATTTTAATACTTTATGTAGATTAGCTGGCCATTGGCCGCCTCTCTTAATGGACTGAAAGTGTTTGGAAAAGCCAACAGGGTTGAGCTGATTTCAAGCATTACAGAAAGTAGTAGGGTAGTTTGGAAAGATTTTCATGACAGGTAGTTATTTAACTATTTTTGCTTCTCGGTATTACAATTACATTATGGGTTGTATATTTGTTTTCGTAGATTGGCTTTAATTTTCGCTGGCACTGATGATTCCATAACCGATTTTCATGTGGAACATGTACTTGTGAACGTCTTTAGCGTTTTGGTCCTATCGGTTGGGTTGGATGAAATTGTCAGAACCAAAAGTGTCGATAAATTGAAGAAAGAGTTTCGTGTATGTAAATTATTAGGTTTTATATTTGGCTGTAAATATAAATTCAAAAATATCATGCATTTTAGATGTGCTACCCAGTCATCGACCTCATTCTTCAAGGTCTAAAGCCTAACGACAGAACTTTATACTTTGGAGATTTAACTGGTTGTGCAGATGTGGCACTGCAAATGGACCCTCCCAATAACCAAGTTAATTTTCAGACCGTTTTAGACAACCTGATGGAATCCATCGGTTTTAATTATGGATGCCTAATCGCGAATGGCATATTAATTGGATGTACCGAGGGTGAGTCATTCCGATGAAATGATTTGTTTAATGTCCCGTGTTAAAAATTAATCCGTTCATGTAGATTGGTGGACTTTGTCTGGCACGGAAATGTGTCTCATTACGTTTACAGCTTCACTAATATCAGACCCCGTAACAGACGCTGCTATATTTTTACCATCTAGCAGCCCTAATGCAAGTTTGACCGAATTTGTATAAATGCATATGTGCATATTTACATGCATATGCATTACGCATATATACATGCGTAACTGTTTCCTGTAATAATTGAATTTCTACATTTGATTTCAGCTTGCGTACCGATTTGTGACGTTTAAAGTTGTAGAAAACGTCCGGCTTTGCGTACTCTGCGGACAAGAGCCGACTTTACCAACAATTGAAAAGGAAATCGCAAAGCTCAAGAAGAACTTTAGTGAACAGTTATCACTTTTTCAAAACAGACTGACACCTTTCTGTCGCTATTCAAGATTTTTTAACATTGGCAAATCTATCTCTGGGTATGATTAATTAAATGATCTATCAAGATCTTCTACATGTACGTATGACCTATAAGTTCTTTCTGCAACCAGGTTCCTGCTTGTATGCCTTGACCGGAGGCGGTGTACTTTTTCCGTCTTTCCCGAACGGTCTAATGAGCAGATGAATACGGGGCATAAATTGGACCTATTGAGAACGTTTTACAGAAATACCGTGGGCTCAATTTTTCCTTGGAGTTGTGCAGCTCCACCAATGTTCGTTTCTCCGCCAATTCACTTACACCATGGGTCGAAACGTATGTCATTGACTTATCAACATTAACTAGCACTTGCCGTTGTGCTGATACATATTTATGTGCATATTATGTTTCCAATAGATGTTGGCCCCACAGTTCACAAAGCATCAGAAGCATATTGGACATCTGAGTATCATAAATGCCATGCTATGACATTTGCCATATTTCAACTTTTTGTCATTTATGAGCCCGATATTCCCATGCTACTCATGAGGTGATGTGAATTTCAATTTACTATGATGCAAATACCCTATCCATACACACATTAAGTTAACTTTTGTCATGTCTCTGGTAGGCAAACCACGAGAAAACTTTTACAAGAACTGGTAAAGGAGAAAGTGATGAGATGAAATATATGCAAAGTTTTAAAAGTCACAATTGTTCATTTAATTCATTTATTGGATACAAAGAATGGAATTAATAATCTTACTACACAACTATACGTTTACTAGAGCTGGCTATGTCTTGTGATAGAAATATATATATCACATACGCATAGCTCGTAATATTTACTAAAAACTAGATTATGTAGCTACTAACTTGTACTAAAAATTTAGATCGAGTATTTAAATAACAAAATTGCAAGTCTCAATGATAGATAAAAATTACTGTAAATAAAATACCAAGATTACTCGTCGGAATTATCTTCTTGATCATCCATCTCTTCATCGTCGTCCTCTTCTTCAGAAGCGGCCCCATCAAAGGGTACATTTACTTTAGGGCCATTCATAATAAAATGAAAATCTACATTATCCGGATAATCCACACGAGGCAACATTTTCGGAGTCAACAAGAAATATTGTGGAGTGTTGGCTCCCTTTGCCAACGAACAGAGAAGGTTAAAGAACCGTGACTCGTTTTTAGCGTCCATCCCCTATAGGAATCAACACGCCATAATTTAATATTTCTTTTGTTTATTTATTTACATTATTTTATAGTCACAAACTTTGCTTTACCTGATTGATCTCATCAATCACTCGAAACGGTACGACCGTTAGTTCTTGTAATGCTAAAACATAAAGCGCAGTTGTAATCACTCGTTCACCACCGCTTTGTAAGGTTCCAACGCGAGTGCCACACATTTCTGCCAATGGTTCCGAATTCCTAAACTGCACCATGATTTTAATTCCATACTTTGCAAAATCATCCTACAAAAATTATAAATGTTATTCAGAAGAATGTAAATACTGATAAAATTTTGTTTCACAAGCATACATACCTCGTCTTCTGAATGGCACAGTGAAACCTCACCAGCACATCCCATGTTTTCAAAAAATGTACCAAAATTTTTGTTAATTCTATCAATTAGAGATTTAAGAGGCTGTAACCATTCTTCTTTCTTTTGGGCAATTTCGCTTTTCAAGTCTGCCAGCCGTGAAATATCCGTTCCACGTTCCTGATTTAATTTGTCAATCTTCTTTAATCGTTCTTGGTAATCTTTTACAATTGAAGCATCAGTGTCCACCAAGAAGCCCATCTAAAACAAATAATACTAATAATGTTACAACACGCAAACTGTAGAGTAGGGTGTATATCAAGATTCCTAGACTTTTAGGTTAGGAATCTTGGGTGTATATATAAGAATATATTCATCCAGTTGAACAAATCATAAAATTATGATTAATTTTAATCACCTGAGACTCAGCTTGTGTGATTTCTCTGTTGATATCTTCAACTGTAAGGTTTCCATCAGCAATATCTGCAGGAGGCTCAGACACTTGACTAACTTCTACAGCTTCTCTTTTGGCACGCTCTGCCTCGGCTGCTCGAGACTTTACTTGCTCACTTAACGTTGCAAGGTCTCCCTAAGATAAATTGAAATATAAAAATACAGCATATACAATATAAAACCTTTAAATAAGTTCTATTACCAGGTATTTAACTTACGTTATGTTGATTTATGGAGGCTTGGAGATCTTCTAGTAAATTCTGTTTAGTCATAATCCTACTTTGAAGCACACTCACTTGGCGTTTAAGAATTATGAGTTGCCTCCCTTTTTTGGCGTGTTTTTCAATCTCATTCACCGACCACTCCAAGTGAGATGTCAACTTTTCTCGTTCGTTCTGGGTTTTGCACACAAATAAACATGTAGGTATATGATTTGAAACAATTGAAACGTAATTAATTTTATTTGTAAATTATAGCAAGCTGTACCCATGTATCTTTTTGTGCCTTGTCCCTCAATCCTTGTAAATCAGGAATATCCTTTTCCAATTGCTCCTTCCCTCTCTTAGCTTGTGCGATCTTGCTCACAAGTTGTTTCTTGTATTCGACCTTCTTCTTAGCATCGCTCAAATCCCTTTCCTTCACAGAACGACTTTCTTCTAAGGAATGCAATTCGGCACGTCGAATTTTGAGCCTTTCTTCGATCCCTGACTTTGTACTTAAAGCATCTTTCACCTGGTCTTCAAGTCGTTCCCTCTCCGCAGCATTGATTTCGGTTGTAAATACTCTTGCTGGTGGGAGAAAATCCACCGATGAACAAATTCCATTTCCATAACTTGACTTTTTTATGAAGTATGAATTTTCGTCAGTATAAAACGCTTGAATAGATGAAGTTTCAGATGTAATTTCCTTGAATTTTCGGTCCGTCTCTGGAGATTTTCCTATTTACAAAAATTCAGAAAACCTTACGTAAATAATTGTGATGGCTATGTTAGAGTTTAATTAAGGGTTAAATGGGATTCAACAATACTTGCCACGAAATTTTCGAGTATATGCCAAGGTAAAATTAAACTAATTATATTAACTCGATTTGTGTAAATTTGGCATCAAAAAATTAATTCAATAAATGCTCCTATCATATTTCTTATCCTAAATTGTTGTTTCTTTTCCATTCTATATCTTACCAATTGGAATGTCATGGACCCTGTGTTTCTTTATCATGTACGATAAATAATAATCTGGTGCTTGAATTAGTTCAATCAGCGTCTTTTGGAAACAATACTTTCTGCAAATTAAGAAATACAATTTTTTTGTAAGGTGAAATTGACGATCAACAGACCACCACCAATGAGCCAACAACAATAACATATGTATAACAAAATTAAGTAGGGCTACTTAATTTTTTTAAGGTAATACTTGGCTCCAAGTATTACCTTAGGTATTCCGGCTTGAGCGTTGGTTTTGGTTTCTGCCAATTTGCTGGAGGAGCTTCGTGATGGATGATTGAAATTCTGAGATTCTCTGGTTTCATCATATTAAGCATCTCTTCCAAATCATCCTTATCCTCGCAGAAAAATGCAGTCATATCCGCGATACCAATATGTCTTTCAACAACGGGCCCATACTTGAGATCGTTTACACAAATATGTAAAATCATAGGCTCATGGATTTTCCCCTTTAATTTGGCCTTTATTTCAGGTCGCTCAAAAAACTGGACTGCAGCGTAAGCATCCTTTTTCTCCCGTTGCATGTACTTTAATCTTGACATTCGCAAATTTCCAAGCCCGTCAATTTCCCGATTCCACAAGCGCATTCGTTCATTTAACCCTTGTATTTCTTGTTCATCTGACGCTTTTTCTTCGGTTACTTTATAAATGGACTCGGAAAGATTGGTTACTTCGCTATTAATGGAACGTACATCATCTTCCAATCTAGCCACTAGAAATATAATAGTTTAGTTCATTATGTGTCATTTTATCATTTATTTATGCCAATATCAAAACTTCTCTTTCAGAGTAGTTACGTTTTGACATAAAGTATTTAGAGTAATAGAGTGTTACATATAAATATCGATAATTAATTTGTAAACATAAACTTACAATCACTGTTATATCCTTGCGAGTTAAACTTATCGAGCTCAGAATTCAGGGCGTTTAGTTTCTGAGTCGCCGCTTCAACGTGTTTCTGTCTATCCTTCTCCTGTTTCTCGACAGCTTCCAGTTCGGAATTTATTTCATTCACTCGGACCTCAATTTTGTCGCATTCCTCTTCATACTTTGTTTTCACAGCTTTGATTACATTCAGGTTTCGACAAGTGGTCATTTCTCTATTGTAGGTCCCAAGTTTAGTCTCCATCTGTCGGACGGACCTTTTCATTGGTTCAAGTTTTCCTTCTTCCTCTTTCTTTTTTTGCTTAAGAGTTTCCAGTTCCGTGTTTACCTAATTACAATTATAAATAACTGTACTGTACATATATACTTGTATACATTGCAAACTGAAAACTACGTTACAAGACACTATTCTAATACAACGAGAGCGATGACGTCAAAATTAGAGGTATACATACATACCTGCGAAAAGAGTTGAATCGCTTTTCGATAAATTATCCAAGCTTTCTTGCCTTTCCAGTCTGCGATAACCCTTTTAAACTTTTCCCTTTCATGATAATTTTTCACTTCATTCTCCAACCTCTGGTTATATTGTTGTTCAGCACGGAGGGAGTCGGACGTGTTTTGAACACTATGTTCTTTCTGTTTAACCAGCTCATTTAGTTGGACGAGTTGATCGTGCTTCCCAATCAAGGTGTCCTTTCCCATCGCCAACTGGGTCGACCGAAGCAAAGAATACGAGTCCATTTTGGAAAATTCCTGCACTCGATCCTGTGGTAGAAATTGACACAGATTGTCCAACTGAATGTTGAGCTTGGTCAGGAGCAGTTCGACCTTTATATATAAAGTACATTAATTGTATTGCTCTATAAGCAATAGTAATAAAAAAAACCCTATAATATAATACGCTGATTGTCGTATACCATACCTGATTCTGTGAAGTCTTTTTCCCATTTAATTGCCAAGTGGAGACTGCACTTGTATTTGAAGCTTTGATGTGTCTTTTTACTACATAATTTTCTCCATTTGGATTGTAGAGCTCTATCTCGATACTGGCATAGGTACATTCGTGTCGAATATATTCCTTAAGGGACAAAGCTCGTCCTAGAATCTTGGGTTTTCCTGCAAGTCCAATGCAAATCGCGCACACAATTGTGCTTTTACCTGTCCCGTTTGGACCCAAGATAAGATTTACGTTTGGACCAGCATGTAATTCAACTTTGTGATATGTCCTAAAATATATGTACAATCAATCACACATCAAGTCCAGCATATATATTGTTAAATGAAAATTGTAAATTTTTGAACTTATGTAGATTCTTACATAAAATCATAAACCTTGAGTCGAACAATTGAACCCTTCACCCCAAGGTACGGAGTTTGTGACCCTGCAATCGCCTCCAGTTGAGCCGTATTGAACTGCACCATGTTGAAAAATTTGATGGCTCTATCCTCCTATTATTTAGTATTGGGAGGTGTTATGAATATTAAATAAATACTTGTCCCCTCACCCCCAAAATTAAAACTTACCGTAAAGTGGAAACTCTATTACGTCAAGCACCAAGTGGTTGAAACGTGCAATGCACTTTTAATTTAAAACGACATTACTGTACGGATTATTATCACTCATGTTCCCTTCGTCAAAATTAAAAAGCGAGGACAGCAAATGCCCAATGGCTTGACCGTGACAAGAAAGACACGCTCAAGTAATTTTATGAACAAAAATATTAAAATCCAATGTTATATTACAATACAAAATAAATTTGTCAATCGAACTCAAAAAGAGCGAGAAGGCAGCGAAATGTAAGACGAAAAGGAGGCAAGCAGCTGAAGCTGAACAAAGCAGCGCCGAAAGGGGCGAGTTGCGACAAAGTATTATATTGTTTTGAGACCCTGTGACAGATTCAACACGAATTTTTATGGATAGACGCCTTGCTTGACTTTGAATTTCATTTATTATTCAATGACAGAGAAAATAATAATATAATGGATGAATCGGTAGCCTGAAAAGCTAGATTATTATCAAATTGTATAAAACCAAACTCTAAAGATAATAAACTTTTATTGTGCGCAATTCTGGTCGGTGGAAAGGTCTGATCGTCGTTGTCAGGTCAGCCATATGATTTCGTCATCATCATCATCATCTTCATCCACCAACATTTTGTCGTTTTCCAAAGCACTCTGGTCAATTACTTCGGTTTCTTCGCTACAGTTTCTAGTATAACGAATATTCTCAAGGAATTCTTCATATGACTCTTCGGGTTGATTGACGTTCGCATTTTCTAATAAAACAACACGTTTGATAACATCGTGAATGTAAATTTTATTGCATGCAAAGATTAGGTTAAGATACCTTGACTCTTAATAATAATTCGATGCTTCCATAACTCGTCCCAAAAATCGTTGTGTACATTATCGATATTATTCCAACCCAAACTGGTGCTATCAGTAGAATTTTGCCGATCATTTTGATAACCATAAAAATCCGGATCATCGTTTTTATTTTCTTCAACACGATCTGGTAACGTGTCCAAATCGTCATTGGTTTTCTCTTGGAAGAAAAAATTGGTAGGAGAAGAACAACGAAATGAACCTTCTCTCTCCAAGTTTCGCAACATCAACTCACGCAAATTTGCGTCGGACTCGTGAATTTCCTTCAGCCATTTTTCTTTATCTATAAATGTAATTTGTTCGATAATCTTTTTAAAAATATAATCTCTGAATTCGATACGCGACACAAAATCCGTACCTGACGAACTCCATTTGTCAGACTTGGTGGTCTTGCAAAGTCCATTGGAAGTGGCGTCCATATGTTTATCCGATTCTGCCTTTTCTAGCAATTTGAGGTCGATAGACATGCACTTGACCTGACCTCGGGACATTTTACTCAGTGTCTTAGCAAACAAATTAAATGACAATTTACAGTCCGACTCGAAGTTTCAACGAACTGTAATGGATTTAATACTTATTTTGTATAGTTGCTTGTAAATTAAGTTACACAACGCCAGCAAACACCTAATTTAAATTACAAAATAAAATGTGGAAAGAAACTCAACTCCGGGCTCTTATCTTTCATCCAATAAATCTCATTCAACTTCCGAAAATATCAAGTGGGCCATAGCACGTAAGTGGGTTGTAGTTGCCGGTTGAGATTTTTGATTTTCATGTCGAGTGAGATTGCTACTTTATACTTTCATGAAAGTATAAAGTAGCAATCTACTAGTGAAAGTCTTTCACATGTAAAGTCCACCTCCATGCCAAATTTAAGATTTTTACTATTCGAATTTGAGAAATAAATTGAGGTGACTCGTGGACTCCCAAAAACCACAACTAGGTACTAGGCATCACATTTAGACTTAACATAATATTATTTTGCCCATCTATAACGCCGAATTTGGAATGTTTTTAATAATGTGCCTGAGGAAAGAATAAGAATATGATGAGAAATATCGGCACAGATTAATGAACACAAGGGTATATTTACATATTTGATATTTGATATAACACACATAAGTAGCTCTCTGGCTTGAGAGTTATTATGGAAAAACATACGGATGGACATGTATGACAGTTTCATAAGCTCTGAATCGGGCTAAAAACACACAATAGCATCTCAGCTTTTGTATGACAATTCATAATTTCAACTTGACAAGCTTCAGACCGACCTTGATTATTTCAACATCTTGGTCGGACATATGCAAAATGATGATGGGAAAAATACTCTTGTTGACACGCGTTTGGTCTTGAACTTGACATGGACATAATAATATTTATAACTTTGCAAAATGTACAAAACGATAATTAATTACACAAAAATGACTTGCTTTTATAATACAAATATCACAATCTCTTAATTCACTACTTTAATATATAACTTCTGCGAAAGATCTCGAACTTGAACTTGAATTTTTTAAGGTCAATTCTCATGGATAGTCATAGGATATAGATCATGCGTGACATACATAAATTAGCAAATTATTGTGGCTGACGAAGTATTAAGCGATGACATAATATATGTGGTACGGGTTATTAAAAGTATTGCATCATTATCATTACAGAGTTTGTTCTATATATTCTTCTGAATGAAATAAATAAATACATAAATTGAGATGCGATCTTGAACTTCAACTTCTTCAAGGTTTGCTGGAATATTAATTACGTATTATGTACGTAGCTGGAAATGCATAAAATTCCCTGGCCCTGACTTGTTTAGTTCAGTCGCCAATTCGAATTTGGCCACATTTGACCAAGGCCTTCTGCCTACATTCTTATTTAGCATAAAGTCTTTTTTGGAAAATTATTTTCTGAAAATATGAGATTTCTAATTGTTGCCGCAGCAGTTGCTGTGCTTGGCAGTGTTTCTGCTGGAACCGTTCTTCATAGACCGGTAAGTGGAATTCTTATGCGTACCTTCGACGTATATAATACACATATGACATATGTTATCTACGGCCAGACCTAGGTCCATTTTGAGTATTTGTAACGCAGACTTTACTGATTTAGAGGCCATTTCTTGAGTACAATCTAACAGAATGTCCAATTTTTTTCTGCTTTAAGACACGAGGTTTGGTAGATGAAGCCACCTGGAAAGTTGAGAGTGAAAGTGATGATCATATCACATACGTCCGGAAACCTCTCGAACCAGCACCAACAGGAAATGTCGACTGCAACCTGACCACTACTGCTACCCCTCCAGCAGCCGTGCCGCGTCGCAGATCCGGTTCTTCAAGGTGGCGTCCAGAAGTGAGGTCAGGAGTTGAGGAATCTGCGCGAAGAAAGAGCAGCAGAGGCCGCACATCATCCCAAGCAATTTCGAAACCTAACGATGACGGAGATCATTTGTGGTCTATTAGTCACAGAACGGATGATCAGATAACCTACACGAGAAGAGGCAGCAGTGGTCATACTCAAGGACAACCTGGAGAGTTGAGGAGGCTTGGCTCAGGCAGAGATGCAGTGAGTAGTTATAGCTTAATTACATACTGGACCATGAAAATATTACGCGTATTTGCCGTTTTGCCAATACATAATCCACATATGTATACTTATGTAACTCCATTTTTTCCTGCTTACACTAACATTTTAGAACAATCACCTGAATATGTATTAAAAATAACTTAATTAAATAGTCATGGGTGAATTCATATAGGTCTTGGCACGAGTCGTTGTCCCTGGCAAGGAGGACGAATATACTGAGGAGGCCTTGATTGAAGGGGTACAACCACAAGGTTCCCGTCACACAGGCTATCCTACAAACGAACTGGTCCACCCGTACGTCAAGAAACCAGCAGTTTCTGCAACTTCCTCTTCTCGAAGCAGTAATCGTACAAAATCATTGAGAACTACCAGTCGTGGAGGAAAAAGACAACTGAAATCCCAAACCACTTCTTCAACCCCACCAAATATTGAACCCAGCCATGAGGATCACCCTCCAAGAGTAGGTGAAGTAGTTAACGGTTGGGTTGTTATCAGCAAATCCAAGGACCATATCTCTTGGGAACGTTGGGGGTCCACCTCATCCTCCTCCAGACAGGCGTCGTCGTCGGCTTCAAATGCGGCTGCCGTTGCCAACCTCCAAGCAAGAAATTCTCAAAATGAAAATCGACTTCGGTCTCTCAAGTCGCTGAGATCAGGTTCTAGTGCTGGAAGACAAGTCAAAACTCAAAGAAATAAACTTATCCCAAGTGCCGAAGGAGAATTGATTGAAGGATTCCCTCGTATTTTCAACACATATTCGAGAGCATTTTATGTTAATGAACGCAACGTTGATGAAGCTGGCTCTATCAGGACCAGCTTGAGTGACACAAGCAATTGGAATGTGGGAGACGAACTTGCTGGATGGAAAGGTAAGGTTTAGTAATTTCTTAACATAGTTTTGCGACGTAACTTTTTTTGCAAAAACACGTTTCCTAATTTTTTCTATTCATGTCCATAAAGTTATAAGCAAGGATCACCGTGGAATTGTTTGGCAGAGAATGCCTCTGCCCCAAACCTCTCAAAATGGAAACGTTCTCAATGAGGAAGATTTACTAGATGAACTCAACAAGAAGAAGGGTGGCCAGAATGAAGAAGAATCATCTGAAAGTGACTCCAGCTCTGAATCCAAGTCCAACGAAGATGACAACATTTATCGAGGCCCCCCAGGTGTGTAGCGTAATAAAATTGTAGAATTTGATGAAACTATAATCAGACCAATATTTTTGTACCAATGCAATTTTATGTTTTCTAGGAACTTGGTATTTGTCCAACGAGACTAAGAACAGCATTACATGGTCAAGAGACAACACCCCTGCTGATCTCGTGTTCGAGATGAACGCGTTCCCAAGAATAGGGGACACTCAATCGGGCTGGAAAGTTAGGTAAGGAAGATGAACCAATAAGTTCTGAAATATCTGTTGACACCTGAATAAAATTTATAATAATAATAAATAATTATTTAATAACACTTGCTTAGGTCAAAGTCCAGGGACCATATCACGTGGGTGAGATTAAATAATGATGGTTCAGAAGCTGACAGTAATGAGCAACAATAAATAATGCAAACGATACCTGTTTTTCTTTGTTACAATGACATAATGATTATTATATAATGATAAGAGTGAAATAAAAATATGTATACACCAATGTTGCTGATCTGCGGATGTTCATACTTATTTTCTCTCTAATAAATAAGTATTTACATAAATATATTAATGAGAGGGTGGTTCATGGAAACGGTATCGAGGATGTACATGAACTTGTATGAATACAATTTTTATAGCGCGGTGCCCCTAAAGTGTCAAATGATATGGAATAGTCATCGACACCGATCGACCTGACTGACAGTTTGGTGTTCATAAAATGGAGGAACTGTCACGAAGTCCTGTAAACGGTGCAATGGTCAGAATGCTTTATTATTTTCCTCGTATTATCATAAATGTACTTGTTTCCTTGTTTCAACGTTAGCACGGGTGTATTGTATTCATAATATGAATTTCATATACTCTTTAACATATTATTAGTGGAGAGAATTGCGTTGCTGTCTCGACCTGGGTTTAAAATGGCAGTTAATTTGGACCTTGGCATTCAATCTTCTTCCACGTGAATATGCACGAGTGTGTAAGATCATCGTCACATTTTATCTGGTATGGCGTTCCATCACAGCATACGAGACAATTTCTGGAGGTTTGCTTGTATTCAGAAATCACCGGATACTTACATATTTGCATTTATTTGTATAAATTTTAATTTTTTTAAATTTAGATCCAAATAATTTTCCCAGTGCTGCCCAACGATTCTCCGTTTCAATGTTGTTACTACTTCTTGTCCTAAATATTTTGGGGTTTGTTCCAGTCCCTGATGGGGTCGATCACCGGCCACTTAAAGGTTCCATTTATAATGAATATGGTAACAATTTCCTTAACCTGCAGCCATACTCCGTGATTTCACACATTTGCGACATTAGATATAGGTCAATCATTGTGAAATCAGGGAGTCTGCATGGATGCAGGTTGAGTCAAATTAGAAGAATGTACCGTGCACATATTTAACCTATATTTTTAAACCTCCTGTGTATAGGATTTCCTCTTGAGTCCGATATTACTTCATTTTTCGTCCATTTCATGGTTTTCATATGTTTTCGCTGTCTGTGGAACTTTATGATACTGATGACCGAGGGATGGCTCGTTGCTCAAGAAATGTTCAGAGTGGGAGATCCTGTAGCCGTTTTGAATAAAGCAGGCGTTTCATACCTCAAGGCCAGAAATAAAATGACGGCAGCTCTTTCAACGGCGTACACCATGCATTTCAACTGGGCTTTATTCAACGCTACTGACGCTTTCGTAAGATTTACCAGATGAACCTTTCCAATAAAATAATGCTAATTTGCATGTAGGTATATGACTATGACGTATATTTTAAGAAGTATTTGTGTGTAGTGCCGCGAGGTGGACTGTATTATAATTATGGGAATTATTTCTTCCATCATCTATATTTTGCTGTCAATAACCTCGATATTAAACTGGAGAGCGATCTTCATCTTTTACTGCGTGGGGACTTTGCAGTCCTTCAACTATTTTCATGTGGGCAATGTCCTCTGCAATACTCGATTTCGGCTTGGAGTGAGGATCCTGATAAATTTGAGTTTGCTGGCCATATTGCTCAAACTGATGCCTACGAAACTTGAGAACGATGGGATGGTGGGGTTCACAGGCTTTATTGCAATGCGTTTAACTCATTTGCTGCTAGTGGAATGGAAGCGCCTGGAGCTCACATGGTTAAGCACTTTCTCCTGGACTCCAGAAGTATATATCATATAATTTAATAAGATTAGCCACATCCTTAATATTAGTCAATAATCTGTAATACTGACAATTACTCTATTATTTATAGACGCAGAGCAAATTAAGTCTCATCCCTCTCGCGTTGTGTTTCATTGTACTACGAATTTTCAAAAACATTAGGAATTTTGTTCAAAGAAAATGGACAAATATTAAGTCGATCGTGGATCAGCACACGGCGACGGCATGAATGTAAATAAGAAGCCATCTCGTCATACAAAGATGCATAATGTTTAATGAAACTGAAATATAAACTTCATAACACAAGTTAAAGACAAACTCAAGTAGTTGACTTTCATTTTATTTATATACTTAACGTGCACAATATTCTTTGTTACAATTTCTGCACAAAGTCTCCCAGAACTAATAACAAGTATCATTAACACCACTGAACTTTGATGTATAAATTCAGTATGATTGCAAATCAAGTATATTTGTACCAACCAACAGCAACTTGTCGTGAGCAAGAAAACGAATCTGTGCATAAATTATTTTCTGTGGTATGTGGTACACAAATTGAGCTAAAATTTTTGACAAAACTATCCATGTTTCCCACATATTTAGCCCTAATTTTCATAAAATAGGTACTTGTACTGAGCTTACGCAGCCAAAGACTAATGCAAATGCACGTAAGTATGTGTAGTGGTTGAGGAGGTGGCAGGGTAAAAATGTGTGCTCACTTTCACCCGACTCCAGTCAGAAGCTACATCTCTTCTTGAGCGGACCTCTCTTTCACTCACAAATTTTCTCCCAACGGCCACACGCACGGCTTTTGTTCTCAAAAGTCACATTTTGTACATGGACACAAAATATAGTGACATTTTTTGTATTCAGAAAATCATTGGCGACTTTACTCGTTTAACACCAAATTGACGAATTAGAGAAAATTATTATTTTTTGAATCATAAATTTGTAAAATCACACAAGTGGACATTATATAATTGGACTGGTCAAAGTTGACGGTCATAACGTACCAAAAGGTTCCTCCAGTTTGACCAGGATGAAGAATTTCCTGCAGAAGAGAGATTGCGTGGGATGGATTCTACAATTCACTGTTATCTTTGGTAAGTAATAAAAATCAGCTAATTTCCCAATTTATCCCAACTTTATTCATAATGAAAGGAATGTGTGACCGTAAAGAAGTCAAGCGTTGATTTATATGTCCATGCGATTTATACGAGGAAACTGAAATCAGACACGTCAACTGCTTACTTCGAAGAGAAAGTCATTTCACTTGCTATTCAAGTGTCAGTGTACTTTATCGGTATTTGGTTCTGAAAGATATTGCGGCATTGGTCGAGGAAAGTTGAGCAAATCGTGATATAATGTCATTCCTCCGTTTGGACAATAACACCCGACAATTGCCCTAAAAGTAGTATTCTAACTTGCTGGCCTCATATTGCAGTCAACACTTTTTGGCGATTGAGAAGTTGACTCTGACTTTGTGAAAGTTTTATGGTCAGAAAAGTTGCTGGGGTTGCATAAAAGGATATAAAGAGAAGTGAGGATCATCTCCTTGTCATATAAAATAAATCATATAATATAAATCAAGGGATAGTCTCCATTATTGTCACCACCTTGGACAACGACATCACACATAATCCACTGGCTGCTAGCATTATGCACATATGCTCACTCCCACATTTTATGCTTTATTTGTCCCTTTCTCAAGAGAGCTTATATGCTTTCCCTCAGCAGCACTGGGGCGAATACTAATGATATGGACATCAAACAAATATGCCGTTCAGTTTTATTCAGCTTTTATTATTCTCGGGCGATATTGAAATGTGGGATTTAGATGTGGTTTATGGTGAACATAAGTCGCACCATGGAATGCTCAAGATCCCGATGAAATGATGTAGATATAGAATTGAAGTTGTTATCATATTCAATGATATTCAATGAATAAGGCATGTTGCACTGCTAAACACGACGACGTTTAAAGGTGAAAAGTAAGGGAAATGTGAGAATCAAACTTAGCATCCTTAAGAAACTAGCATATTAAATATTTAAAAAAACATGCATGGAGGTAGGTAAGTGCAACTTACGAGGAATCAAACATGTGAAATTTGATGCGTGAAAGCTGCCATAAGGAGATACAAAAAACTTGAAAAAATGAGCAGATATGTTTCAGCCCAACTTATTTGGCTTTCTCTTGTCTGGTTTATTCTGGTTGTTTGCGCCTACCAAATCATGTCATGTGAAAGACTCATAAAGTCCGCATGTAAAGTTCTCGTCTAAGTTTTTACTGGATTTCCTTCTTGTCTTGGCTTAGCTTTGGGTGTAGTTCTTTTTTTTCCTGTAGTGTGAAGCAGAATAATGTTATAGTTTGGCCTTTCCTGGTCGCCAGGATAAAATACATGCAGGAACAAGAGGAAGAATTTTTTCAAGTTTTAAATGCATCTTGTCTTCCAGGAGAGTAAATAACGATTTGTATTATGTGCATTTTAATTGTGCACAACACAGCAATTAAATTCAGAAACATATAAAACTTCCAAGTTGTACATACATAAACGTGCATATGTGTACTTAAGATGTGCTGAATATCTCAAATGCTTTTTTTGTTAAAATTTGATTAAAACTTGATGCTAATCTATTGTGCATATCATTTAGCAAGATGCACTATGTACCTTCGTGTTCATGTATTCATGCATCATGTGCCTTCCGTGTTTAGCAATTGGTCGACAGGATTTTAATTAATTGGATTAAATTCGAGTTGATGAGAACGAGATTTACAGCCGTCGGGGACACTTATGAGCCTCTGCATGCGAAATTCCACTCCATTAGGAACACGGCGCATATTATGCAGAACATAACTCCAAATATGTATGTCGGCCACCCCACATACAGCCACACAGCCAACCTTACACCTTCTATTTATATCATTTTAGAGTTCCGAACAATAGCGCAAAATATGTGCATACGCTGTGGTGTGTTACTTTCCTTACCTCAGGTTATATGATTTTGCTTATTCAGATTAAAATCAATATCAAAAGCCAGCCTAGGAAAGTTAGTTCAATCTCTGCAATTTGACAATTCCACCAACGTTCAGTGTTTTCACGTGCATATATCCATATGTATATACATTATATACAGATATATATTTGCTTTAATGCATCCGCCACAGCCATTCGTGGAATACAAATGTAATGTGCACGCAAATCCGGACGGAAACTACACAAATTTCAAAGGCTCAAATCAAGATCAAAGTAGTGCTTAGCATATTAAACTTTTAGATTTGTCACCAAATAAAGGGGGATCTGCATTCAGTCGCAATCTACATTGCAGAATATCGATTGTTCTTTTCTAACTAAATATGTAAAATTGAGGTTTTTGTGCCTACCGAATTTCACTCAAATATTTTTAACTTGTAAAAAGTAAGTAAACCAATTGAGCGCATGTATATCTTTTCAGTGGCACAGTTGGCTGTCATATTTCCATTTTGTTTTCATTTTCTGCTGGCAACCTTTTTAGTGAATAATAGAATTTAAGTTTCCCAATTTCATTTGCTGAACAAGGAAATTAGCTTGTTTAATGGAAAAGTAACTGTTGCGAGTGATACTTGGATGGATACGTTAAAAATGTCAGAGTCAATCACAAGCATGCTTAATATTTCAAACCCCTGTCAGAACTTCACTTTGTGACAAATCTACTAAAGTTTGTCTTTACTTTAAAAGTTTGACAAACTAAATACAGGGCAGAACGAGGGCTTTCTCTTGTCAGCAATGTTCAAACAACAGCTCATTTTCTTTACGTCGTTGTTAGTACACCTGTTTCTCAATGTATGCAGTTGTTCATTTTCCGGGGGAAGTTTACCACTCTCTGATGGCAGTTCCAAGAAGATATATAATATCGTACAAAAAAGCTCACCTCACTTCGCTTCACCTAAGCTCACCTTATAAATACATGAGCAAGTATACATGTACTAGTAGTCGGTGGAAAGTTGACGAATGTTTCTCCCCCCAGGTTCATGTTATTATAGGTGTTGCTTGTGGATATTACACAAATAACTTTTCCATCCACTTTTATGATGTGATATTGCTCCGTCGACATTGTTTTGTTCTTCACGTCAGACTAGAGAAATTCTTGGAGCTGAAAAACTAATCCGACTCAACCCCGTATTGCAATTGAGTTTGCATGAATAAGCGAAAGGAAATGCGAATGCTGTTGAATGATTTATCTGCGTTTGTCAGCTTCTTATTATTAATAAATGGGTCATTCAAGAAAACAAACGAAGCGGCCGTCCTGAGCAGAAATTTTTTTTCAATTACCATACAACTACATATTTCTATAAGATCAATACATATGCACTAGTATTTTTGCAAATAACATTTCGTCAAGACTTGCACAACTTATAATTCTACTTTCCCCGCAGTACGACACTTGGCCACTTTTACTAGCAGGCAAGGGAGCATCTTACATAATATTTCGTTTTAAATGTTCGGCAGGGGTTTTATCACGGACACCTCGCGTGGTCGTGGGTGACGCAGTTATCTCTCCACTCTGCTGTCTCGTCTTCATTGAAGAGCGATATCCTGCTGCTTTCTCCTCTCTCACATACATGTCAGTCAATCAATACGAACATGGATGGCAAAGAGTTGATTAAGTACCGTTTCAGCCGTTCATGTGGCAAACCAACTCCACCACCACGCCAACAACTTTGTAGAGTTTGACTGACTTCCTTTCCCACTTCTCATTCTGGATTTCATTCTGCAGAATTGAATTTCGAAGCGAATTGAATCTTTCACTCAGTTTGCTTTCGTCAGGCTGCGATGCTCGTTTCTGTATAGGAGGAAATGGACGCTGCTGGATACGTATGTACGTATGCACATAGATATATGTTGATGTGTTAACCGTCGACATTAGTTGAGGAGAGCAATGTGATGGAAGTAAACGAATGAATGTCTCCGGAAATGGGAAAGTCTGCAGATTTGGCTTCCCTTCCTCTCATGTCTATCAATAATTAACTTGGGCAGCTCTGAATTGCTTTCACCAAGTCTTTCGCTCCATGAGAGCAACAGGATTTTAATTGTGGTAAGTCATTTTACTGCCATGCAGATCAGCATATACATAAATATTCTATTGATCAATCCGGATGACGGTTGAATGTGCTTTCACTTTAGTGGTGAGCTTATAAAGTTTTCAAGCAGATTGGCCCCTGGCATCCTGGTTTTGTATGTGAGGCTGTCAAGCCATGTACGTAGCTCCATTTCCTGTAGTAACAAAGTAGTCCAGGGGTTTATACCTACATATGCACGTAAGTATGTACTCTATGCTGAGTATTTTATTGGAATTTCTCACTGCAACGTCCATCCAATTAACAATTAGAGCTAATTTGTTAAAAAGTTTGAATGCTTGAGTTAACTTGCATAGTTTGTTAACTTGTTAGGGCATAGGGCTTGGTGAGTACTGCATTCCGCAAATGTATGTTATGCATTAACATGGTGGCAACTGAAAGAGAACAAATATAAAGTATTGCGATCCAGTTAATTTTTGGATCTCGCAATAAGTCTAGAAATTCCGTATTTTTGCAAACTTTTGAAAGTGGCAACCAGCGTGACGGCTAATTTTGTGGTATGTGTGGCCCTTTTGAAAAGTTTAATCTTCAAAGAAAACTTTTCATCAAGGGGAAATTGGGTTCATTAATTTGAGCTGATGATAACACAACTTTTGCCAATTTTGGTTACACTGTAATCCAACGGATGATCTGACATACATTTTATAGATATACATACTTGGCTTTAGTTGAACTTTGCTCAGATAACTGGTGCTATGAAAGTCTTGAAATCTAAAGTTGTGCTTTATATGATGGAACATTTCCTAGCAAATGTCACTTATGTAAAATGATTTTGCATGTGCTAACACTGCGAAAGAGAGATTAGCGCATAATTATAGTGATCGGTGATGGAAAATATATCGATTGCAAAATGTATCGGGCTATTGAAAAGTGTGATACTTTCTCCTGTTACTTTATGTGAGGTCACCACACAATACAATGTCCTTCGATGTTCCCGACTATAGTGCAATGACAATAGGAAATTTTCTCCATATACCGTTCTTGGAA